ACCCTCAAAACCAATTAAAGGGGCTGGGTGGTTGTGGCCATTTTTAGACTATTTTGATCTCCTTTAGAAGAAGAGCTCCATGTAAAGATATAATAAAATTTCTAGTATCAAATTTTAAAACTAAAATTTATGAAATTTTTCTTTGCCAGATGATAGTTGACAGCTTAAGATATCATATCCCAGCATTTAAGTTATATCAGGTATTTAATAAAAAAAAATAATTTGTTGACTCTCTAACCTCCTTAACAATAAGATGCACTGACAAAAAACAAAAAAACAAAAACAAAAAAAAAACAACAAAAAACAGCAAAGGTCTGAGAAGAGCAAAGAATTGTAAGAACACAAAGACAGTTTTATATGCCATTTTCTTAAAAATTAGCTGTCTTGTTGTTCAAATTATTATTCGGGAAGACAGTTCAATTTCTGGAGGAGTATAGAAAGCAAAATTTCTGCCAAAAAACGAAAAGTTTATGAGAGGAAGGACCAATTAGAATCGGGAATCCACTACATTTAATGTCTTCACGACAGCGTCCAAACCCACACGCCCTGAATGTTAAAGGATTTTTGAGGATAAACAGTTAATGTTTTGTCACACCAACAATATTCGCCAGATCTTTCACCCTTTCACTTGTTTCATTTTCCAAACATGGAAAAAAACATCTTTCAGAAAGGAGAAACAAGTACAGGAAATCATAGGACCTGCCATATTCGAGTATACGAAGCGCCATACTCAAAAATTGTGTTCTAAAACAATCAGAAATTGGATAAAAATGTTTCGAGCATATATTTATTGATAAGTAAATTCATGAAGACTAAATCATTGAAAAGTGTTCTTTGTTTCTCTCCGAGCACCGCGAACATTATTTATTGAACAGTCCTCGTATAAACGAATCTTTAGATTAGACTCGGACACTATCAAGAATGTACTGTGTGATAAGTTCTTTAAGGATGACGTTTACTCAGGTTTCAGAAAACAGAAATGAAATTTTATAAAGTATACTATTTTAAATCAAAAATTGTTCTAAATGGATAAAACAAGCAAGTTTTAAATCAAAATCAATTTGAAAATTTAACATTTTATTATTTAAAGAAAACATACAGGAACAAAAGTCAATGTATGGTAATGCAAAGGAAATTCTCCATTTTCTTGGAGACCGCTTCAGGCAGTTTCAAACGCATTAGCGCTATCTACACATTTGAATTTGAGCACGCTGCGGGATGTGACCGTTCATCAGGGGGTTCTTATTCCTTCTTGGTACCTTAAACAACCTCCGATGTTTTAGAGATCCGTATTAACGATTTTGTAATTTTTTTTACAGTCAAAATTTTGAATTTTATGTCATATATTTTGGTCTAACTACCTATTTGGAAATTCATCTAACCACCCTTGAATTGTTTTGCATGTATACACCAAACTGATAAATGTATTCGTGTTCGAAAGGTTGTGAGTTTGAAACTTAGTGGCGACTGACCTAAGTCGATCAAAATGGGAAGCAACTGTTCCTTCGCCATGCGTTCAGCAACTTGATTGTATGTTGTTTAACGCCCTCCTGAGAATTTTCCTGTCATATGGAGACGCCATCACTTGCCGGCGGAAAGCTTCAAAATTTGTCATATACTCAGCACCTAGGGCCATTGAGCAATGAGGGATCTTTTTTGTGCTAGCACCTACTGCGACGTCCCACTATGGGATACGAACCCGCGACGTAAGGATCAACTCCTTACTTGGCGACTCTAGAGCAGACACTCTAACCACAGTGCCACACGGGCGACCTTGAAATGAAATTCAAAACATACCATATTTTCAAACAGGTCAGTCAAGATCATGCAGATTTCAGTGAGAAATGCCAAAAAACACTCATTTTTTAAGTTATATATTCTTAAAGAGGCAAATTATAGCCAAAAATTAGAATTTCTCGCCAGTCATGCAGTTAAAATATTTAGATTTCATACGGATTTTTGTCGTTTCTTTGCGTTTTTCCTTAATTTATGACAACCTTTGTTTCCGATAACCAAAACCGAGTTATCCGATAAGAAAGTGCATTATTCAACCGTATTTCCGATAACATACTGAAAGTTAAACTCGGGCAATTTTTGCCCTTTAATTACATATTCCCAAGATTCCGAGGAAGTCTTCTTGTGGAAAATCATTGACGCAAGGTAAATACAGTGTATAAGGATTTTGAAGAAAAAGAGCCACTTACAGCAATGCCAATCTGAAAAAAAAAAACTTGTAAAAAATAACAAATTTGACTTTTAAAGCATTCCAAAGGCTAACAAATGCTATACTTGTACGTATCGGGGCTTTATTTTGTATCCGTATTCATTTCTGTTTACAAAAAGCACAATGAATATTCTCTGTTTCTATTTTAACACAGTTTATTTAAAATAATTTACTATAACCTGTCAATAATTGTTATCAACCGAGTGGCCGATAACAACAGACTAGCCGATAACGCGTTGAGCAGTGTGAATCTTTCAGTCATTATTCTATCACCGTGTGAAATTGACTGTTTTACTTTAAATTCAATTTGGACTCTAAATGTTTATATCTAATTTTTGTTTTAATATTATTTCTAATCTGAAATTATTTTCTTTCACAAGTTGGATTTTTCCTATCTTTCTTAGCTAAGTTACTAATTGATAATTTCTTTACTGAGTGACACTTGTCGGCAACCAAAGGTGTTTATGCCCAAGGACTTTTTAATCACTTTTACAGACAACATGTAATTATTCAATTATCGGGCTTCTTTATGTCCACGTCATCAAAGCATTTAATTATTTGTTTCACTTTAACTCATTGTCAACACCTGTCATTTTTAACTCATTGTTCATTTTCACATAAATACCCTTGTCAAATTTTACTTATCAGTTCGGAGGCCCGACGCATTACTGGCCACTTCCGTCTGTGTTCCCCGCTTGTATTTCTTGAATGTTAAAATTGTTGTCCATCGTTTAATTACATGCATTTACAAATAAACTCGGAAACCAGATTACTCGTTACTTTGGACCTTTGTATGTGTTATCGGGAAGAGTCCTTGGAATACGGCTCTACTACTCCGGCCAGCGACGCCACTCACTTCCCCTGCCAACATTCCCTCTTGCCCGATCAACGACACATCTTTTAGACCCAAACTACGCGGTCATAATTGGTGGAGATATCCTAAGGGTAAATCAACGCCCGGGACTGCTGCATATATTTTGCAGTAGTTTGATCCCGTGTACCTAAAACAAGCGAGTTTCTCTACGTTATGTGGACTTCTCAGCATGATGATGGACAACTTCCAACTTCGACCATCTTGGACGTCACGGACTTTCCCCACAACGAATAGTGAAAAACATCCACACCGTTTCACTAAGTGCTTTAGATGTCACAGACCTGGACACTTCGCCAAGGACTGCAACTTTCACAGCTCTCAGAAGTCAAAGTCGCATCAGGTTCGTGACCGACACAGAATTCAAGAATAATTCGGACAAAAACAGCTTCTTAAGGAACTTCTATTTTACAACATTAGAAATTCGGCACTGCGTAATTTTATGGACTTTTCATCTGTTTTGAAACACGAGCTTACCAAAACCAAACAAACTGTAAAAGACTCCCGAAATCAACTGCTAGAATTAATTTCAAAACTTAGGAAAACAGAAAGTGAATTAAAGTTGACCAAAAATCAAAATTCCGTCCTACAAGAAACATCCCAACAGAAAATCTCAGAACTTCAGTCTAAACTGAAAACAAATACCCAAGAAAATCGTTTGAAACACCAAGTCGAAGACCTGCAGAGTCAACTGAACGGATCCGATCAAATTATCAAAATGGCCTCGGAACGGATACAAGACTTAACTCGTGAAAATATTCACCTAGTGAAAATAAATCAAGAACAAAAAGAAGAAAATACTGCTTTAAGTTCTCGAAATTCTGCTTTGGAATATGCCAGGTCCAATCATTGCGAGGTTATAGATGACTTACGTGAGGCTAATCGTCGAAATATTCGAAAAATAAAACACCAAAAAGAAGAAATTGAAGACCTACGACATCAAACTTGTGATTTAGAACATGCCATAAAACAACACCGCGAAGTTATCGACGACTTACGTAATGAACTAAATCCGAATCGTAGCAGACACCACAGACGCAATCAGAACAGGGACCGCCGCTACTACCGGTGACCTGAGTCCATTCCAAACACGAGGACGTGTTTTTCCCGGACCGGTGGGAAACTATCACCGTGTGAAATTGACTGTTTTACTTTAAATTCAATTTGGACTCTAAATGTTTATATCTAATTTTTGTTTTAATATTATTTCTAATCTGAAATTATTTTCTTTCACAAGTTGGATTTTTCCTATCTTTCTTAGCTAAGTTACTAATTGATAATTTCTTTACTGAGTGACACTTGTCGGCAACCAAAGGTGTTTATGCCCAAGGACTTTTTAACCACTTTTACAAACAACATGTAATTATTCATTTATCGGGCTTCTTTATGTCCACGTCACAAGAATAAAGAAAAGATAAATACCATTGAGCCGATGAATAATATCGTCATATACACTTTGTCAATTATGACATTGCTCAAATCAACAATAACCTTGTACTTTAAAAAGGAATACAATAAATAAAAGTGTATGTCTATTATAATATGGAATTGTTGCATCATACATATATTTTTGCCTTGTCTTCAGTATTGAGTAACCCAAAACCTTTTCACTATTATCCGACTGAGCTAAATTATAAGCTGGGAATATTCAATAATCAATATTGGAAATTTATACTACATAGAGATTAGAGAGAGCAATGTTCTTGCATATGAATTTTTCAAAGGAATAAAGGATTTTTCATTTATTCCAATTATTTAATATTGCATCATTTTGCATGACATTTTGTGTGTCTAGATCACTGAACCTCCATGAAGCGAAAGGGTTGAACTTCTATTTAACGAGTCACCGCTTACAGTTATATCGTAATCACACAAACGCTTTACTAGACGGCAAATAAAAAGCTTGCATATTTGTTATCGTTTGACATCGATTGAAGGGAAAAATAAAAAATGGCGCTAAAAAGGGAAAATATTTTCAAAGATGTTATATTTTTCTTTCGCCCTTGTGCCGCTAGAAGTAAAGTGCAGCCAATAATAGAGGTATATGCATATATATTTTTCAGTGTAGGATTCTTTTGTAGCCGATCTCTTGATCTGTACATGCAAAAAATGAAAAGTCGAGTTACAAAATCATATAGGCCTACACTGATTTTTTAATGTAATGTTTTCACTTCTAATAGGTCGTTTCAGATGTCTTTGACCAAGCCTCTTCATTTTTTCTTTCAGGAAAATGGTGGGAAAGTTACAGCCAGAATGACCTTAAATGCAATCAAGTAAGTATTCTACTCTAATAAAACTTCAATACAGTTTGTGAGCAGGTTTTGGGACTATTCCAAATTTGAATAAGTACATCTTTATAAACATCTGATCTCAAAAATTAATCCTTCATTGGAACTCGCAGGTTTTCTCTACATTTGATATAGATTAATGGAGAGAAAACTGGTAGGTTCCAACGATGTAATTAATCCCCCTCCACCCCACCACCCCACATAGTACAAATGTGTACACACTCCATTTCTAAACAGCTATCGTCCAGATTGTAAGTAGACCCCAGCGAAGATTGGAGCTGTGCCGATTGGGATCATTAGATCCCAGGACCGCTACGGAAGTCAGATTGGTCTAATCAGAGGAGTTGAAATCAAGCTGGTACACACACTTTTATCTCTTTTATTCTGTTTTTAATCACTAATTTTTATCGCTAGCGCTGCTCACCGAAATGTAAAGGTCTAAGAAGACCGTATTTTCGTAACCTGTAGATGTAGATTTTCTTTTTTGGATGGGAAGGTGGTGTATAGTGGAATTATTGTTTATCATCATTATATATGAAAACTGTTCATGAATATTTTTAAAACTATTATATTTTATCTGAAGCTCAACTGAGCCCTGGGATTAGGATGGGATCATGTTATGGAATCAGAGTTTTATTTTGGGAATATTTAGGAAAAAATCAAAATCTTTCTAGATTTGTATGTTTGCAAGTGTGTTCAAATTATTAGTCAGGAGAGAGAGCAAACTAACATTATTTTAAATTATTTTAAAGATATAACCTAAACATGTTTCAATGATGTTGTCTAATCAGCATTACTTGTAGCATGTTGTAGGATTCTTTAAATTAGTAGGTACTCAGTAACAAAGTACTTGTGAACCTAAGCATGATTTTATGCCTATTTCATAAGCTGTTGGAATTTATTCTCAATGATAAGTGTATTTTCTGTTGACAGACTTGCCAATGATGATGATTATTTAGTGTCAGATGATTATTTCTCAGTGAGATACATTGAGGATTGTGTGAAAGCTAACGAGATGCTTGACAAAGAAAAGTACAGGTATTAAAGAATAGTCCTAATAAAATTTTTCAGGTTCTATTATGTAATTTTATATAATATGAAATTATGTAAAAATTTATATTGAAAAATTTTCTAGGCATGCATGGAGTTTAAGAATTGCTTGATTAAAAATACACTACTGTTTATATTGTATGTAAAAAGAATATATTGAAATAAAGCAATGCACAGAAAAATATTGAGCTCATTTGACATCTGTATGAAATAAATGTTGATATATGACTGTATGTGAATAAACTGTTAATTTCAGGTTGAAATAAATGTTGATTTCAGGTTGGAGACCAGGAGGGTGGTTATTCGGAATGCCAGCGATGATCAGGTCAGCGACATCTCATTTGATGAAGAGCAACCACAAATATTGCGAGCAAGCAGTAAATACTTACAAGGGTACGGCCAACAAAAAGGAATTCTTTGAAAATTGTCAGATAAGGCCATATAAAATTGAAATCTTGGTTCTCAGGCCCGCGCGCATCCGTTTTGAGGTAACCGCATTGCCGATTTTATTATATTTTTGATAAAATAAAATGTTGGTATTGCGGAGACCAATCCGGGAAAAAAATTTCCGACCTCATTTGTTTCGTAGTTTAGTATTCAAATATCACTTCCGGTAGCCATTTACAATGAGATTTTTGCTACTTCGTTTGAAAATACATTCAAGGACATTACCTACGATGTTTACACGCTGTTAAGCAATGGATAAAGCAGAAATTTTGACCAGAAATGGAAAGTATATCTGTGATTAAAAAAAATTATCTTTATGTTAAAGAAAATTTGGAAATTAAAATTAAAAAAATACCTCCCTCATCTACTTTATTGCCAATAAAATGAAAAATAAAATGCCGCCCTCCCGCATCTGTTTTGGAGAAAATTGGCCTGAGAACCAGGGAATTAAATTTAGATAGCCTAAAGTCTAACAATTTTATTTTATTGCTCACATCCAAAAATAAGTATGTCTTCAGTTTCTGAATTGATTATACAGGAGAAAGATGTACACCTATGCTGATGACATGGCCATACTTAACTACATCATAAGTAATGATTATCACGATAAAGTGGCTGGAAACACGGTGTGGAAGGAAATGGAAGATTTACAGGTAAAAAAATTCACTGCAGAGGCAGATCTAAGAGGGTCTACCACATGATTGTTTAAGCAGTGTTTACAACCTGCCATATTTACACATTGGTGGGGGATGTGATCTCGTATTCACTGGACGGAAGGACTCATTAACATTTTTATAAACTCTTGAACTTATTGAATCATAGATCTTTGTCCAAAAATGCATCTTAGGTAGAAAGTGTAGATGGGCATTTGTAAAACTTCAACACAACCATTTGAGAAATATGATGTATTCTTTGCTTAAATAAATACACTCTTGGTGATGTACGTCAAACATTAGGAATGGAAAAAACATTTAAAACTTAGTATCAAGAAATTAGTTCTTGTTCAAGTATTAGTTCATCAATATCTTTGAATAAAAGTTTATGAAAAGCAATATTACATGTGAGATACATGAATTGTTTCATATTATATGTATTGAGAAATGTATTGTAATGCAAGGTCTGTGTATTGTCTCACCCCTTAGTATCAAGAATCACATGATTTTCTTTCTTTCACTCCATATCCTGTTTATCATAAAAATTGAACAATATTTTACAGCTTGGCTGTTCACTATTACAAAAAATAACTTACAAAAATGTTGCATATTCCGAAATTTGAGTATTTTGTTTTCTTTCATCAGTTTATTACAATTTTGAATGTAGAAGCTACATATGATTTTTCTACCCATTTTCTTACAGATTACGAAACACTCTGCCTCCTCCATGAATACGCGTTACAGGAAAATAATCAAGCATAATCTGAATCTATATACCATCCCAGTCACCCACAAGAAGAAACTGAATCTGGACTATCTGGGTAATGTATTTATGTCACATTGGATTATTAGGGCCCTTGATCAAGATGCAGTTGCCCTAAAGAAATCACTATGCCTGTCTATTTGTCTTATCTGCCTATTTGTCTTTCAACACCTTAATATGGTGCAATAACTAGAACACATTTACCACATAGAGTAATAAAGACATTTTTTGGTAGAATTTTAAAATGACATTTATTGATACTTTACATGAAATTTAAAGTGATACTTTACGTTTATATTCACAGTGACATCTGATGATAGATTACAATGATATTTTACAGCATCATCTGATGATACAGATTCCTCAACAGAACTAAAAATGCCTAACAGAACGAATAGTGAGTCGGACTTTTATTGTATGATGTCATTTTTGTTAGATACGCTTTTCTCTATTCAGCAATCAGGAGCACTGTAATTTTTCATATGCAATAAACTGTGTGTCACTAATTCAAACATGATGTCTACGATATGTGAATGTAAAACTTTATAATGTTTAATATTATAATACTTTTGTGTTGATTTTCAAGGGCTTAACGGCTATTAATGGATAATAAAGCATTTTTAGTAGACAAATTAGGTACCCCTCAAATAAAGAATTCTCAAAATCTTCCTCTGATTAAAATCACTTGATGGCACGGTGATGGATTTTCTGACAAAAATATATTTAAAATCATGACCCACAAATTTGATTTTGTTTGAAAATGCCGCAACTGCTTTATTTATAACTACTATGGAATGATTTTATTTTAAAGGTAAGAAAGATGAAATTACCATAAATTCTCCCTCCAAGACCAGTTCCCCAAAAGTCTCAAAGCCAGCTAGACAGATGGAGGAGGACAAGAGCCCCAGAAAGACAACCCGTTCACAAAAAACCAAGGATTTCAGCAACTCTTCTGCTGATTCCAGCGAACTGAGTGATTCCATTCCTGTGAGTGTGAAGAGGAAGAAAAAGAAACTGGACTTTGTCACTAGTACGAAACAGAAGACATCAAAAATTAACAAACAGGCGAAAAGTTCAAATGTAGGCACACCTCAGAAGTCAAAGATTGGGAAAGCTTCTGAAGATGAGGAAAACAAGATTGATGAACAGTGTTCAGAGCCAACTAAGAAACAAGCAAGCTCGCCATCAAAGAACTCTGTTGATGAAAATATAGAGTCTTCAGACAGCATACTAACGAGAGGAAAGGAAAGACTCTGTAAATCCAAACCATCAGTTGGTACACCATCAAAATCCCCTACCAAGACCAAAGAATCAAAGAAATCTGTAGAAACTAATGGAAATGCAACCACAGACAGTGCAGCAAAAGGTAATGGCAAACAAAAAAAGACAACTTCACACAAATTACAATCTGATCCTTCTGGTCAACAATTAAATACATCAACTGCCGAGAGGAAGTCCCAGAGGACTTTGTATAACACGGAAGGGTTCACGTTAATGCCAGGACAAATCACGGACAAACTCGACTCTTCTCAGACAGAAGAACTCAATACATCAGTCAGTAGTGTCTTTAAGCCTTCTTATGGAGATTCACCTAAATATAAGCGAGGCTTCAGAAAGAAATCTGGCAGAACTCAGTCTCCCTATTCTAAAGATGTTCGTAAGTTAGATGATTCTGTGGATGAAGATGAATTGGAGGATGATTTTGACAAAGAACTGATGAAGCGTGTGGCCAAAACCTCGACACAAGCCTTTGATGAAGAGGGTAATACTGTAGATTGGCAAATAATCACGATGGTTTTAATTTTGCTATGTTCAGGTTTTATCATTTTTCCGCAATATTAAACCCATCGTGAATGTCATTATTAGTTTTTAGAAACATTTAAATGCTTATACGAATTTAGAATTAATTTTTTGCATCTTAAAATTAAAACCATCGTGATTGGTACTTTTTGAGATATCGTGAAATTTTAAAACCGTGGAATTAAAACGATTTACAGTATTTTGAGAGCATTTTACAAATATTTGTGACTCAATGAAAAACTATGTGTGCAATCATGTAGTAACAAAAACATGTTCAAATTATGCTAAATGGTACAAACACTTGTTCTGTGCTCATAATGTAATTTTATAATATAGTCTGTATTATCTAATTATTTATTTATTTATCAGCTCCAACACCATCTAAAACAAGGAAATCTAGTTTGTCCAATAGAAAATATGATTCTGATGATTCAGCACAAATAATTACATCCAGGAAGAAATTAAAATCTTCAGAAGAAACTCCTGGAAAGAAATCTAAGAAAACCAAAAAGAAGTCAAGTAAGTAAATTGTGTACATTTAAGAGCCTGTAAAAATGGAAGAAAAGATGGGAAAAACTGAAATGTGATATAAAATTTTACATAAATGTTGACAATATCTAAAACCTTTTTTCAAAACATGCAAAGATATCAAAATTAATACACATTATGAACAAATGAGAATTTAAATGACATGTCTATTTATACAGCATTTAAATTTAAGGCATTTTTGCATTTTGGAAATTTTTTTGTAGAATTACATGCCAGATAAAGGAGAAACACAAATGAATTTATACATTTTAATCAGTATGTCACTTTAATTAGCTGGGTAAAATATTAAGCATAAATATTGAATAATTACTTCAATTCATATTAAATTTGGTAAATATCTTTTGAAGGTCATACAGCCTATGTGACAGTGTTTGCTGATGATGAAGAAGAAATTGTCCAAGGTAAGTCAATCTGTTACTGGTTCATTGCTTGATGTAGGGCTTATTTAATACAAAGAGAAACTTCACAAAATATTTACCCATTAAGATTCCAGACCATTAAGACTGTGAGAGGGGGGGTTCATATTATATCCAAATTTGGTACACATATTTTAACAACTAAATAGAATAATTTGAGCAAAAAAATTGGAATATAACTTATTTATAAAAATTATCAAAGATTTAGAACTGCAAAAATGGGGTCACAGAGCAAAGTCAAAACTGAGTAATTTACTAATTTTCACTTTAAAGTATCTATAGCCATACCTCTGACATGGAGCTGAAACGAAAATAAATTTACATGTTTGAATTAAGTCTTACTGCATTACTTTGCTATCAGGTAATATAATATATCACTCTGTTTAAAAGATATTAGTTTCTAAATATATATGCACTTGATTTAAAAAAGCAAAAAACCATGACGTTGGAGGACGTTACAGAGCAGCGAGTAGCAATAAAACTTTGCTTTGTATTCTGAAAACTTCTTGAACAAACTTTAAAAAATTCTATATAAACCAGGAAATGTATGAAAAATAAGCCTTATTTGTATAAAATTGAAACTACTATATTTGAGTGGTAGCGAGTTTGAATTGGGCGATGGATGGTCTGCAAAGAAACAGGTTATAGTTAAAAATCTTGTATTGTGATACACAGTTGTATCATGTAGAAGTATCGTGACAATACCCATGCTACTCAAGCCTAATACTAAGATACATAATTCTATCAATCAGCTTTTTATTTTGACAGATAATGTTTGTCATGATAACTGATATTTTTTCAAATTCTTGTAAAATTCTATTCCTCATACAGTTTTGATACATTTGGACCTTTTACGAAAGTAGATTATACATGTGTGTACTAGTACACATCTTTCTTTATTTTATAAGAATACACCACTGTGACATCAGTAGAGCTTTAGTCATGTCAGAGACTTCTGGTTTTGGACTGCGCATAAGAGTTCTCAGAAATAGAAATATTGCTTAACCTTGTAATCATTTAGCCATAATACTGAGATATATTATGACCTCCAAAAAGTTGAAGAAATCATTTTTTTTAGCTCACCTCGACGAAGTCGAGATGAGCTTATGCTATATCCCCGGCGTTAGCGTCAGCGTCCCGGTTAAAATTTTAGGAGCAGGTCCATTCCCAAGTAACTATAAGCCCTACCCGGACCAAACTTACATGGATGATGCGTCTAGGGATGGACACTACCATACTTGCTTCGGATGCTGGATCTGACCTACATTTCCCAGATGAGTGACCAGGTTAAAGTTTTAGGAGCAGGTCCATTCCCAAGTAACTATAAGCCCTACTTAGACCAAACTTGCATGAATGATGCATCTTAGGGATGGGTGCTATCAGACTTGCTTCGGATGCTGGATCTGACATACATTTTCCAGATGAGTGACCAGGTTAATGTTTTTGGAGCAGGTCCATCCCAAGTAACTATAAGCCCTACCTGGACCAAACTTGCATGGCTGATGCATCTAGGAATGGACACTACCAGACATGCTTCGGATGCAGGATCTGACCTACATTTTCCACATTATTGACTAGGTTATTCCTAAGTAACTATAAGCCCTACTTGGACCAAACTTGCATAGGTGATGCATCTAAGGATGAACAATCGAAATTTGATTTGGATACTGGATATGACCTACATTTTCCAAATGAGTGACCAGGTTTAAGTTTTTGGAACAGATCAATCCCAATGAACTTTAGGACCTATTTAAACAGAACTTGCTTGAATATTGTTGTCAGAATAAATACTAACTGTTAAGAAAATATGATATGAGATTTGCATTACTGAAACTGATAACATTCGTTGAGGTGAGCTTCGTAATCTTTGATTACCTATGTTTAGATGTTTGAAATGTTTTTATCACATAATTTTTGTTGTTTTTTAGAAGTAGTACAAGAGAACTCAGTGACGAGCAATACTTTAGATGAGGCTGAACTTAAAGAACTCATTTTGGTAAGTTTTTAGCTCTTCTGAGCCAAAGGCTCAAAGAGCTAATGCTATGGCCATTTGTGCGGTGTGCATTAACTTTTTAGAATATGGGCCATAACTCAAGAACCCCTTGGCCAATTATTGTCAAATTTGTCACAGGGTATCCTTGGCCCAAGGGCTACCATTTATACTAAAATTAGGGGTGGGACCCTAAAACAAGGGGAGATAATCACGAAAATAGAACCAAAAGTACTGGTTGCTAAAAAATCTTCTTCTCCAGAACCACCAGGCAGATTTTCACCAAACTTACATACAAGGGTCAGGATATGTTGAAAATTAAAAATTGTTCAAGGCATGACCCTGGGGCAAAGAGCGTGGTATCAAGGTCACTTCAAAGTTGACCAAAATTTACACTTATTAAAAACGTTGATGTTTTGCTTACTATAATGACTAGGATCATCAAATCTTGTAAGTTGATGCAATCAGGACTTGACATCATGTTAATACAAAAGTAGGTCACGGTGACCTACTTTTTAAATTTTACAGGCTTTTGTTTTCAAATTGATTTGGTGGCATATTTTGGACACTTTAAGGCCTATGATCATAAAACTTTGTCAGTATCAACTTAAAAGTAGGTCATTGTGACCTACTTTTTGAATTTTATGGCTAATCTTTTCTAAAACATTTAATCCCATTATTTCAGACACCTAGAGGTTTAGAATCGCCAAATCTTGTAAGTTGATGCATCTAGAGGCCTTAAAACATATTTATCAAAAAGTGAGTCACTGTGACCTACTTTTTGAACTTTGCAGGCATTTGTTTTCAAATTGTTTAAAAGGCATATTTTGAATACTATTAGACCTATGATCATCAAATTTTGTCAGTTGATGCATCTTTGGTCTTCAGAAAATTCGACCAAAAAGTAGGTCACTGTGACCTACTTCCGAATTTTATGGCTAGAATGCATCTCGGGTACTAATTGGCTTAGAATCATTAAAATTTGTCAGTTGATGCATCTTGGGTTTTCGGAGATTAATGACCAAAAAGTAGGTCACAGTGACCTACTTTTGACATTTTATGGCTATATTTTAGTATCTCAGGTACTTAGTGGCTTAGAATCATCAAACTTTGTCATTTGATGAATCTTGGATTTTCAGAGCACGTTGACCAAAAAGTAGGTCACAGTGACCTATTTTTGTCTCGCCTGCGACGAATGTCGCGAAGCGAGACATAGCGACCATAGATTCCGTCGTCGTCGTCGTCGTCGTCGGCGTCCAACTTTTGGTTAACCCAAATGTCAAAGTTTTATAAACTGCAATAACTTTCTCAAATTTTATTCAGTCTTCTTGAAATTTGGACACAATATTCAGTATGGATAAAAATTTATATCCCAAGTATGATTTTGAAAAAAAAAATTCAAATTTTTAATTATTTCCTTAAGTTGGACTTAGTTTTTTCATGATAATTTATGGTGAAGACCTATATTCCAGCAACTATAAGTTATAGGGATATGATAATTAGTCAGTGGATACATCATGGGTAACCACAAACGTCAGTACCAGAATTAGGTCATCTTGACCTACATTTTTCTGCATGAGTGACTTTGGTTAAATTTTTGGTGGAGGTCCATATCTCAGCATCTATAACTTATAATGGCATGAAAATGATTTGTCATTGTACAGGTTATAAGTAACCAACAACATCAGTACCAGAATTAGGTCATTTTGACCTACATTTTTCTGCATGAATGACTTTGGTTAAATTGATAATGGAGGTTCATATTTCAGCAACTATAACTTATAGTGGCATGATAGTTAGTCAGTGGATACATCATGGGTAACCACAAACGCCTGTACCAGAATTAGGTCATCTTGACCTACATTTTTCCGCATGAGTGACTTTGCATAAATTTATGGTGGAGGTCCATATCTCAGCAACTATAACTTATAGTGGCATGATAATTTGTCAGTGGATACATCATGGGTAACCACAAACGCCTGTACCAGAATTAGGTCATCTTGACCTACATTTTTCCGCATGAGTGACTTTGCATAAATTTATGGTGGAGGTCCATATCTCAGCAACTATAACTTATAGTGGCATGATAATTTGTCAGTCTACACATCATGGGTAACCAACAATATCAGTACCATAATTAGGTAATCTTCACCTACATTTTCTGCATGAATGACTTGATACATATACAGTGGATTTGATTTCAAAATGCAAGTTCAAATTATTGCGACTCATAACACGTTGCAATATTCGCAATAATAAAAACATCACAATAATTTGTGAATTTACAGGGTATATGTATATATATATAAATGCCAATATAATCGCCAAGGGATTAGATATTAAGTCAGCTGTTCCATTTCTTTATTATTGTATTTTTGAGTTATTCCTTCTGAAATGTCAATAAATGCTTCAGTTTATCAGACAATCATTTCTTACTAACCACAGCGACAGCAGGCGAGACACAGGGTTGCGGGCAACCCTTACGTACTTTTGACATTTTATGGCTAGTTTTATGTATCTCAGGTACTAATTGGTTTAGAATCATCAAGTTTTGTCATTTGATGCATCTTAGGTTTTCGGAGCATGTTGACCAAAAAGTAGGTCACGGTGACCCACTTTTGAATATCTCAGGTACTGATTGGCTTAGAATCATTAAACTTTGTAAGTAGATGCATTTTGGGTTTTCGAAGAATGTCGACCAAAAAGTAGGTCACAGTGACCTACTTTTGTCATTTTATGGCTATATTTAGGTATTTCAGGTACTTATTGGTTTAAAATCATCAAACTTTGTTATTTGATGCATTTTGGGTTCTCGGAGAATGATGATCAAAATATAGGTCACAGTGACCTACTTGTGACATTTATGGCTATATTTAAGTATTCTAGGGTACTTATTGGCTTAGAATTGTCAAACTTTGTCAGTTTATGCACCTTTGGTTTTCAGAGAATGTTGACCAATAAGTAGGTCACTGTGACCCACTTTTGAATATCTCATGTACTTATTGGCTTAGAATCATCAATCTTTGTCAATTAATGCATCTTGTGTCCTCAGAAAATTTCAATCAAAAAGTAGGTCACCATGACCTACTTATAGTATTTTATAGTTACATTTAAATATCTTCAGCCCTAACTGGCTAAGAATCATCAAAATTTGTCAGTTGATGCATCTTTGGTCTTAGGATAGATTGTATAATTTATCAGAAGAGCAATTCAAGGCCCTTGGGCCTCTACCTATAAATGTATTTTTTTTTAAATTAGAGATTTATTTGAATTATTCATGTGGAAATTGAAGAGTGATATACTGTACAATTGGTAATTTTTGCAGTAATCCAATTTTCGCTTTCTTTCCATTCATTTTTAGATCACAACAAATAGACTGCTATAAAATTCTCATTGATAGTGAAATATATTCATTACGTAAATAGCGTTATTAAACCACACAAAAAAGGCAGAAGTAGAACAATGCAAATTCAACATCATGTATCGGTTTATTTTTGCAAAAATTAAATTGTGAACAGAAAAATAAAACCAATTCACAGTATTTGATGCTTGATACTTTCAGGAACAGGATTTTTTTCTATCCATTTTTTTTTGCTGCACATTTTGAAAAATGTGATATTTTTTCCAGTACTTGTGTGAAGAATATCAGCTGACAGTAGGACAGGTTCAGTACATCTTTTACATCAATAATGGTGATGTCAATGACACCAAGGAATGGCTTAGGACAAGTGGGGAGTGCAATGGTGAGAACTTTGTGATGAGGTGTAAGAGAAGGCACAAAAAGGGTTCATCTGCTGTAATTAAATTCAAGGAATAAAATGTACATTGATAAAGTATTTTATATATATTAAGTGTGCCATTGAAAACAATGCATATATGACAGCAATTTTTTTTTTTTTTGGGGGGGGGGGGGGGAGGGTATTCCTTGTAATTCAGAGTTACATGTACTTAGTACATACCTTGTGTTATTCTACATTTGATTGAAAACAGGTGTCTGTTGTCATTTGATATTTAAACTTTTCAAATTCAACTTCTCTATAACCACTGATCTGTTTTACCATCAATAAGTTTTTGTAACAATATCTAAGTAGATCATTTGACATATTAGGAACTCATTGCTGCTCATGTGAACATTGTACTTTATTCTTATCAGGTTTTTCTTCAAATTAGTTTTTTTTAGGTATGTTAATCTTTGAAGTGCTAAAAATCATATTATTTGACACAGTGTACTTCATCAGAAATTTAGATCCCTATCACTTGCCAGATGCCATTCCTTGAAAAGTGTGTTTGAAGTTAACTTAAAATATAATAAAGAAGTAGAGTGTGAATAAAAATGAGTTTCCGGACTGCTAATATTGGCAGGGTTTGACACTTAATCCAACTCATTGACATATCTGAAGTATTATATTTCTGAAATATTGAAGCTCTTACTCAGGCATCCACCAGGGATATTATTTTGCTTCAAGTTCAGTAACAGAGTACAAGATGCTCCCCCTCTGATTCTCTGTCAGGTTTCTTTAATCCCACAGAGGTAAATCCCTTTTAAATTAGTAATTCCTTCAGAAATACATGTACCTTTATATTAGAAAATTGAAGAAAGATATAATAATGCTTTTTAGCTCACCTGAGCCGAAGGCTCAAGTGAGCTTTTCTGATCAAAATTTGTCCGTTGTCTGTCGTCGTAGTCGTTGTTGTCGTTGTAAACTTTTCACATTTTCATCTTCTTCTTAAGTAACTCTTGGCCAATTTCAACCAAACTTGCCACAAAGTATCCTTGGGTGAAGGGGATTCAAGTTTGTTCAAATGAAGGGCCACGCCCTTTTCCAAGGGGAGATAATCATGAATAAGAGAAAAATTATTGGCATTTTTAAAAAAATCTTCTTCTCAAGAACCACTGGGCCAGGAAAGATGAAACTCATGTGGAATCATCCTCAGGTAGTGTAAATTCAAGTTTGTTCAAGTCATGACCCCTGGGGGTAGGGCGGGGCCAAAATGGCTGATCAAAGTTTTACATAGGAATATATAGGAAAAATCTTTAAAAATCATCTTCTCAAGAACCACTGGGCCAGGAAAGATGAAACTCATGTGGAATCATCCTCAGGTAGTGTAGATTCAAATTTGTTCAAGTCATGACCCCTGGGGGTAGGGCGGGGCCAAAATGGCCGATCAAAGTTTTACATAGGAATATATAGGAAAAGTCTTTAAAAATCATATTCTCAAGAACCACTGGGCCAGGAAAGATGAAACTCATGTGGAATCATCCTCAAGTAGTGTAGATTCAAATTTGTTCAATTCATGACCCCTGGGGGTAGGGCGGGGCCAAAATGGCCGATCAAAGTTTTACATAGGAATATATATGAAAATCTTCTCAAGAACCATTGGGCCAGGAAAAATGAAACTCATGTGGAATCATCCTCAGGTAATGTAGATTCAAGTTTGTTCAAGTCATGACCCCGGGGGGTAAGGGTGTGGCCAAAATGGCCGACCAAAATTTTACATAGAAATATATAGGGAAACCTTTTTAAATCTTCTTTTCAAGCACTTCAAAGCCATGATTAGTAATATTTATATGGAATCATCCTCAGGTAATGTAGATTCTAGTTCGTTCAAATTATGATTCCTTTGGGGGTAAAAATTCAAGCCCCCCCCCACTTAAGTTAACTTACAGTTCTGATCTGATATGTGTTTTTTTTCCTAGCTGATGTGCTCAGGTGAGCGCTGTGGCCCCTGGGCCTCTTGTTTAATGAAAATGTATTTGTGATTTTGTAGGTAAATTGACGTGGGATGTACAGGATGATGAAAAACTAGATGGACATTTAGATGAGTTGTTCAGAAAGTATGGTGAAACCACTGTTAGAAATCGTATTGCCTTTTTGGAAGGCACTTGAGATGGAATATGTTTTGCCAGTATATGACATGATACAGACTGTATAAAAAATCTACTTAAAGTTTATCTGCCCCACTATGAGTGGAAAGAGAACTTGTAAATGAATTTTAAAGTATGTTGTACTCTTAACTTAGTCAAACTATTTCAGGGACAGGTCTACATTTCTGTAGGCTATTTTAGACCAATGATTGATTTCATAACTTGAGAAAATCTATCATTGTCATCATTCTTTGTTATTGTAGAAGAAAAAGTATGAACTTTCTTTTTATCAGAAATGTTATTCAAGTTAATAAAATATAATATTACATAATGATTGTCTCAAATTTCTTTGATCAACAGAAGTTAAGAAAAATCCATTATAAGAAATAATTTTCTGTCCTTGAAAATGTTGGTGAAAGATTGATTGCATTCTTTTATTGATAAAAGTACGTGGAAATTGTGACTGACCTAAATGTGTCCGCAAGTGTCATTTAATTAATGGATTTTGGTGTAAAATTCTGCTTATCCACATTAATGGTTGGAAGATGTTTATCTCAATTTAAACCAGAAAAATAACATCTCGAAAGGATTAAAAGAATAAGAGCAGTGGCTAAACCATTTAGCAGCATGTTAGTTATTCTATTTACTGAAGGATTTGGGTCTGATGGCCATTTAACTGATACAGTGTCCTTAACTGATAATGTCAAGAATCAAAGTCGTAAGAATCAAAATCAATATTTTATGCAATAATTGTTATGGCACAGGTTGGTTAATGTTACAACCTTGAACAGATTGGATGCACTTGGTAATTATGCAGAAAAGTGTCACAATTTTGATATATGGCAATATCAAATGTTAATGTCACTGCATCAGTTGACCTTCACCTACTTTTAGAACCTTGGACATAACTTAAATGGTTGGAAAAGCTTTCATATTTCACAGGTGACCCTTCTTTGGAACCAACATTCTTGACCTTGTGACCTTAAATTTTGTGTTTTACACTTTTGAAAATTTCAACTTTATCCATGAACTTGTAGGAAAAAACATGCAATAATCAAAAAAATAATCTTTTTTTTCTTTATTAAAGAAAATTGCAAAAGGTCCTTCAATAACTGGAACTTGTAAATTGAACAGGGAGTAACAAATTTTAGTTTAACACTAGGTTGCTTTTGTCATTATGACAAATTTGGGTAATACTTTTGAAGTTTTCTCTATTACCAGAAGGGGTGGTCTTGTTTAGTGTGTACAATAAATATGACGGAGTTTGTCATTTCCATCCTGTCCATCATATAGTTCAATTTCAAAAAAACTTCCAAGACATTTTAAAGATATTTACCGTTATCCCGCTTCAGACAAATTTGTCGATTGCTGATTGGATAAAGGCTGATCACATGACGCCCTGAAATTTTCCGTATTACGTCGCCGTTAAGGAGTAATATGAAAATTTCTAAAATTAATAGTATTGTCTGTTCTCCTTAGTTATCACCTTCTGCTTGACCCACTGTATTATATGTATGTACATGGTTTATATGTTTTTGTACCTCATGTACCATTTACATAATTATGGTTTTGAGTGAATAAATTGAATTGAATTGAATCTTGCCGAGTGTTTTCTATCAATGCCGAATGCTTGCTATTAATGCTAATTGCTTGCTATTAATGCTGAATACTTGCTGTTTACGGTGCATATTAGCTTTTTATGCCGAATTCTTAAATGGCTACACTTCTCAATTTTTAATTAAGTACCTGACTTTCCACTTCGTCCTTAAAACCCGATGAACTTCATCATGCCGTTTTTTAAATTCATCAAAAATATACGAGCACTTGCATTCTAAAAGCTGCTGATATATCTCCAAGGTTGTACACACAAAAATATTATTTTCTAGATATCAAAATTCAATGCCTGTTATCGACGTTCAGGTGAAAATTATGTTTAAAGTTTAAAAGGAATGTCTTCAATAAATCTATAAATTCACCGGGATAAACTTAAACATAAAAGGCAGCTTTTTTGACACAATCAGATTGTATTTCTTCCCACTCTGGATGTATTTCGGATAATAGTTTGCGATGTCAATCAAATAACATCTTGTGACATGTAAAGATAATTTTTTCCCATTCATTTTAAAGGGATCTCGTTGAACTATAAACACAAAATTCTCAATATTCAATTTTTAAAAATGCATTCTTCATAACCAGACAATTACACATCTGTACGAATCCGGTTATTGTTTGTACAATTTAATGCAAACATCAGTGGGTCTATCAGACAATAATGATGTGTTGGTTTTGCTTTACTACATTTCTATGCTGACCTTTCTTATTTTTTTTCTTTTATACATTTAAAGAATTTAAGGAATGAATTTAAGAACGAAGAATTGTACAGATACTATGAGAAACTCATCCACAATTCTCACAAAGTCAGAGCGATGTCTATAAGACATTTTTCAAATGTCTTATAGTTGTGTCATAACACAGATTTTATTTTTTGCTGTTTTGTAAACGTCTTATTTGATAACTTCGCTCATAAATAAAGAGTCTTCGATTTTACAGATGGGGTCATAAGTTATTTTTGCGTTTGATTTTGACGTCATAAGCGTTTAACGCGTGCATTGTAAGAACAATTACGTCATAGGCAAAAATCTAAAATCACGCTCACATATTGAACAGACGCTGTTGCAATGGCTCTTCCATTAATTTCCATGAAGTATAAGACAGCGATTTTGAAATATAAATCACATTTGCAGATAAGGCAGGGAGTATCAAAACGTTGATACATTGTGCACAGTCTCTTTACAATTGCTTTATAAAATAAAAGTGGATATCGGTATTAGCCAATCTCTTCCCAGAGTTACCGTTCCCGCTACGCTCCACTAATACTGTAGTGAACTCTGGGTAGAGATTGGGTATTAGACACCTTTTTGCTAGCGCTCTCGAGCGCTAGCAACTACATTAGTCCAAATTCCTTGAATACGCATGCTCGGCTTCACGGTCGTGCGTTCTGGGAAAACTGTGAAAACTACTGTATATAGACCGTACGATAACAATTTCGTTGTATCATGTTGTAGCATTAATTAACTATATTTATTTATTGTGTAGCTTACACTTTAAAAGTATACACGCTATAACTTGCGCCAGTTAAAATACGATTGGAAATTGATATCATTTGTTTATTAATAAAAGTTACGAAAATACTGTAAATTACACCATTAAAATTAAACGCGTTACAAAGTTATCAAATTATAATTATTTATTATCCTGCAAGGAAAGAAAAATAGCTATTTTTAAATAAATCCATCACGTGACGCCGTCGCTACTTTTAGATTGATAAACACACGTGGCGTAAATTAAACAAGGTAGGCCGTTTGAGATACTACTCACTTTTGACGTGGATGGCAAGCGTCTTTCTCTTAATGGTACTTATCTTTTAATGTATTCAGTATCAATCATCTTTTCTGTTATGACGCATATTGACCTTATATTAATAATTGTTGTCAAAATGCAACATACCTCGTTGTCTGTGATTTCCCGTGGACATGTGTTTCTATATTTAGACCTACTGTTTACGCACTTCCTTCATCAATATTCATGAAAAGACTGAATTTTTAATTCCTAGATATGTTTAATTGTTTTGTTATTACAACGACATCTGTAGTACAATTTTGTGGAAAGTATTATTTTTCATTACACTTCATGTGTTTTAAATCATTAATCATTTTGTTTCACACAAAATTCGGCGTTCATATAGCGTATATGACTTTAAAGATAACTTCAAATTTGTAATACTTCAAATTTTCCGTTTTTTTCTGACGGAAAAGCCCGAGTCATTATCTGAATGTTCTATACAAAGCTAGGGAGGTTTTTTTACGTCTTTAGAGGCACAACCAAAGATAGACTCTAATTTCTGATTGGTCAATTCAGCCAATCTTACAAATTCCAGAAACAATAATTTACACTAAAAATAACGAATAAATCCATTATTTATTGAAAAAATTATGATGTGTATGGCTTTTAACCTAGTTAACATTTCTTGACAAAGATGACCCAAAGGACCAAGCTTCTTTACATTCGGAACTCTCTGGATTTCTTTACACAACATACTTTTGAGTTATTTTCTATATTCCTTTTAACTCCCCTGTATTTTCTTTTCTACATTGCCAAGAAATTCTGTTCTTAAACCAGCTAATACAATGTCTCAATCGGCATCTTCTCCATATTATATAGGGTCTCCCCCCTCTCCAGTAAAGGTCATAAATGTTCTGTTGCGCCAAAACTGCAATAGGTCAACACAAAAATCCCCCTTCATTTCTTTACCTATGTATCTATAAAATACACTTCACAAAACAATTATAACATTATCACTCTCCAGCCTCTATAAAAATTAAAGAATTCAGCAAAATAAATAATTTGATCACGGATCCTCCTTTCTATGTTTAAAAATTGCTACGGCGCTAGCTCACCTATCTTTTTAAAAAAATAAACTTGTTAAAAAAATTAAATTACTTTTTTCAATTGGCTGACTTCCAAAATGACATGTTTGCAGGTTGTCGCCGTAGATTCATTTCCGGATGAGTAGTTTGCGCCATCCTTCCTTTATTATCCAGCAAGACAGCTATGGCTGAAATACCTAAAGTGGTTTTTTGTCTGGTTTTGTTTTTGCTTTGCGATTTCGGTAAGTTTGTTCTTTTACATTTATTTGAATTTAATTACTCACTATACAAAGACTGACCAAATGAACCGGTCTAAGGTCAAATCGATTATACAAAGTTCATCACTTTATTCTCTTTAGAGAAATCGATCTTCTGGATATATAGTCAGGTGTGTGTATGTACATATTGTTTATAGGATTCAGAGAACGATGATGGCTCTATACTTTTTACCATAGATTTAAAAAACCTGTATGTTTAAATTAATTTTTTACGCCTGATTTTTTTTGGTTTAGAGTAACAAGAATGCTTTTTAAGGATGCGACTGCCGAGTAGTTCATTATGAGCATTCATAACCACTGATGTGCATGTTTTTATTTTATTACTATCAAGCTAAGAGGCTAGAACATTAAAGGAAATCATATAAAGTCAATTACATTGTATCTTGTTAATTTTTGGTTATAATTTTTTAACATTGTAAAATTTAGTGAGTGGCTTCTTCGGTGAGGTTTGCGGATCAGGATCATGTCTCTATGGTTACCACTGTTGTAGCCATTCCACCGGATACTGCTGTCCTGACGGATTTATCTGTAGTGGCGCCATCTGTATCAGTCTAACGTGAGTCTCTCTCTCTCTCTAACACACCAAACATAGCTTTATCTCCCTCAAATTGCTCCATCTGTATCAGTCTAACGTGAGTACATGTATCTCTCTCTCTCTCTCTCACCACATATAACTATATCTCTCTCAAATGGCTCCACCTGTATCAGTAAAATTAAGTCCTTTTCTCTCTCTCTCTCTCTCTCTAACACACCACAGCTCTCTCTCAAATCCTCCATCTGTTACAGTGTAACATATCACATTCCGACAATTACAAGTACATTGTGAAATAGAATGTCAAGCTCTCTTCCTTTTCTAGCTTTACTAATCGGTGCTCCGTTAATGAGCTTTGACTGATGTTATTAACATATACATAACAGTTGAAGTACGTTGAAAAATTAAATCAACGTATGAGTCAATTGGTCAAACGGAGATTTTTTTTCGTTTTTAGGGGCGGGGCCGGGGTAGGATGGGGGGTTTAACTAATACTAGGTCTCCTACCTCACCCTTCACCGTCCAACAACAAGACTTCTTTGACTGAACCCACTTCGCTATTTGTCGTAGTTTGCTTTTGTTGGTAGTTTTATAGAGCTTTTGGAATTTGATTGTTTACTGAGACTACCTCAGTGAACAAGTTAATCGATTTTATACACAAGGTTTGTCGATTTATTACTGCGAGACAAAGCAAGGTCTTGTTCTTTTTTTTTTTACCCTCACGAAACAGCAATAAGGTACATGTACATTTTTTTTCAGGGTAGAATGGCGATGTGAGAGGGCAGATTTTTTTTTTTGCAATAAAGAAAACGGCATTCAAATAAGTAATAAGTAAATAGGACGATTTATTATCATTTTGCAATAAAATACTATTTTGTAGTAATAAACAGTAACATTCAAATTAGTGATTCACGTTTTGCTTACAATAACTAGAAAAAGTGGAGGGGTATCATAATCTGAACAAGAAAAAGGTTCCTTTTTTAGACGGAGGCTTAGCCTCCGCTCTATTGGTACCGCTCATCTGAACCGGAAGAGAATTTGCGATCGCCATCTAGCGGCAAATCACGTTAACTTTGATTAGCCTGGTCCCCAGGCTCATACTTTCCAAGGCAGGAGTACACGAAGCAAAACAGGGACAGGGAACCAGGCTAAATTTTGATAAACTGGCTAGTCTCGTTCAACCAGACCCTCGGCTGTCTCCGTAAATCTCCGACCACCCAGAGGGTCTGGTAAAGAATCACGTAAGCGTTTGTAACCGTCAGAGGGCGCTATCTTGTTTTCACTTTGACGATCCGTTTTGAAAAACAAACGTATGTGTTTCTTCTTCTGGAATTTGTCTTATATTAATAAACTAATCTTTAATTTGGGACACAAAACGAGAAATTACAATATCAATCGAAGGAATGTGTATTACGCAGGTAGGGCTACACTACTTTCACTTTTGCTTTCGTACAGAATATTTGCAAGATACACACTTATACACTTACCTATAACTGGGGGCATTGCCGTAAACAATTCCTATCTAACAGCTTTAACTTTCAGACATATAACTTTTACATCTTTAAGTTATTTTTCTGCTGATTTATCATGTATTTATTTAAATCGTGTAGGTGTGTTCTTCTCAGCCAATCAAAAACTTTACCAGAATTTCGGTAAGCCTCGTTTTGGCGTTACAAACGATATTACGTATCTTTACCAGACCCTCTGGGTGGTCGGAGATTTACGGAGACAGCCGAGGGTCTGGTTGAACGAGACTAATATGCGCTGTATACAGACAGGTGATCAGTGATGTATAGAGTCTGCTGCTGACACGCTCATTGGCTGATAAAAACTCTCGCTGACACAGAATTTAAATTGTCGGGGAAACCAAAACAGATCACCGAGTGCAGTTCTCTGCATCTGATTTTGATGCAATTACTAGTAATCTAATTCGGTCACAATATTTTCCAAAAACAATACATAATTTTTTTTTTTCCTCATGAGCCTATAATTATCTGACCTCGCCTGAGGGCTTTTAAATTAGTTTGCGAAGGTCCTATCACATTAATACCCTACATTACCTAAGTAAAAGAAATCTGCATCATTGTTTAATTGAAACTAACATATTTTAAATGTTCACTCACTGACTCAGCAGAGAGCTGCGTCTTATCTGTTTATAGCACAGGTACGGAATCTCTGCTGCATCTATTTTTAGAATTCCTTATCACATATTTCAGAAGATTTTGCAAACTATTCAGATGGGACAAACTGACCCACATGTTTCTATGTTTACATGACCAAAACAGTGGCTTGAATCTTACTTTGTGGTGTAAATTAATTAAGTAATATTACGGCTAATCTGTGCAAAAAAAGGATGCATTAAAACACTGTTGTCATGGAATCTGCAATAGTGACTCAAAGTATGCCCACAAAAAATATATGCAAGGAGTTAAATTTATTAGGTTTCCCAAACCTTGGAGAGATATTGAAAAAGTGTCAAAGATGGGTGAATGATTGTAAGCGGTTCATTGGTGGATCCAAAGGAGGGTAGGTTCCGGGGTTGGAAGCCCCCTTTATTTTTTGTCAAGTGGAGAGAGAGAGAGAGAGAAAGAGAGAGAAAAAACATTTTCCGAGAATAAATTAAAATACATGTATTTGTACGTCTAACTTATGTATTAAATAGATAGATTCTCACAGATTAAGTTTCTTCCACTCACTATTCCCTTTTATATGAAAGAATATAGAGTATACAGTACAACCCTGGAACTCCCCTTTCAAAAATGGCTGGATCCACCTCTGAAACGGGAAGGATTTTCCACGAAATTGGGTATTATCCGTAAAATCACATATAATACTGGATATTAGGGTATCGTTGAATCCATGAGATCTAGTATTAAGGCGTTGTAATCACTTTATTAAACTTAAACAATGGGATGGCACATTTTGCGGTACGTGTCAACTTTCACCTGGATGCAAATGTTTTCTTAAGGTATCACCAGTCAAGTAAGAATTTGGAAGTCAGGATTAATGCACACTGGAAAATAAAAGCTATAGAGCTTAGTACATTTCATGAGCACCAAACAGGCGTTTGTTCTGCTTAATATTTTTCATAATGTTTGAAATATTTGCATCCTCTTCATGTTCATTACCCAACACAACAGAATTGTTAATCAAAAGTTGAATGTGCATGTTTAGATCTATGCATTGATATATCTGAGTGCTTGTATCTCAGCTCCTTTTAGTCCTGAAGAGTTAGATATACTAAAGTACTTTTGGTTTTCTCACATTTCAGGAAACTCTTACCATGAGTCACTAAAGAATTCAAATTAATATAGTTTATTGCAATTAGAGTGGTTTGTCCTTTTGATGAAAAATGGGAATTCAGTAAATTACATAATTAAACATTAGACCACGATAAATAAATGAAGAAGATGTATTTGTGAAACACTCTGACCCCCGTGTGGCAATATAGCGAAGATGCAAATTTAATATATTGGTACCAAAAGTATGGTATTCTTACTGGAAATACAATTGTGAAATATGAAAGTAGGCTAAGGCTAAAGTTAATCCATAAGTACGGAAATCTCCAAGGTAAAGGTCAAAAGGTCATGATTGTTGGTATGCTATGAAAGGTCTTCCCACAAAGAATACATATGTGAAGTATGAAGCCCTAACCCTTCAAAAGTTATGAAAAATGATTTTTTTTTTAAAGTAGGCCAAACTCCAAAGTCAAATGTCTTGCTATAAAATGAAAGGTCTTGTCATAAGGATTAAATATATAAAGTATGAAAGCACTAAACCAAACTCTTTTCAAGTTATAGTCAAGATTTGCTTTATAAAAGTAGGTCAAACTCCAAGGTCAAAAGGTCAAAGTTTTGGGTCTTCTTACAAGGATTACATATGTACGTATAAAAGCACTATTTATCCCTTACCATTCAAAACTTATGGCCAAGGTTAAAGTTTTTTCATAAGTATGGAATCTCGTAGGTCAAGGTCAAAAGGTCAAGCTTGTTAATATCTATTGAAAGGTCTTTCCACAAAAATACAAATATGAAGTATAAATGTCCTAGTATCTAATGTTCAAAAGATATGGCCAACTACCTTTAGGCAAATGTTGGGGTCAGAATATGAATAAAAAATTCCCAAAGAGACAACAAGTCATGTTCCTCCCAAGCCTCCGTCTATCAGTACTTTCAGTACTTTGATTACAATTGCTCTACGCATAATTTTTTTTATTATTATATAGAGTAATAATCGCCCCTGTTGTCATCGCTGTGATAGTTTTCATTGTCATTATCGTCGTTATCATCGCCTGCAAAAGTAAGTATTTTAACCCCAGTTTTCCTACCATAATTATCTGAAAATTAATGCCTTTTTATGCGCTTTTTCAAATGACATTTTCGATTTAATCGAAAATGTACAGTGTAAAGATGTTTAAATGACTTATCAGAATTCCTCCATAACATATATTATTAAAATCAATGGTGACTTCAGTGTTTATGTCTTCCCCAGAGAAAAGAGCTCGAGGAGTCGTTATCGCTCCAAACGCGAATCCTGCAGTCATTCAGCAGACGACAGGTTATCAATATGGACAGCCTCAACCGGTAAATTACCCGTACGGACAACCGGGTCAGGTGGGCTACTCGTCTTATCCGGCAGGCCAGGGTCCACCTGCCAATCCCGGACAACCTCAAACTTCGTCTGACCCGGCCTATCCACCCCAGCCGGCCGTTTATAACCAATACAATCCTGAAAAGCAGTGACTGTCAACGAAAATAACTATGACATCATTTTTCATTTGCTCCGAAAAATATGTATTCTAAAATGAAGCTTTATCAAAAAATTACAAAAATCTTTTTTATTACAACTGTAAGAATAATGTTTTCTTCAGAATGTTCAAAGGATGGGTACACATATTGATTTTTGAATCAAAATAATCAATACGTTGTTGTAAATCCACTAAGGTGAAGTGCCTTTTATTTTTCTGTGAAATAGGTTTGAATCGATTATCGAAATCCTTCACTTTGTGTCTGTGTATAATACTCTTTCAATTATATATGGTCTGATTGAGCCATTGAAATATCCTGAAAGTGCATTTCTACTGTATGTGTATGAATGCAATTTTTGAAACAAGATCGAAACTGAAATCGTCTTATTGAAATCTTTAAATATTTTAAAATGTTCGAATTTTATGTTATAAGAGAATGAGATATGTTTAGTTATGAACATGAATTTGTTTAGTGACTTTGTTCCAAAAAAAGAATCGGTGTCATTTTTCAAGACTCGTCTTGTTATTTATTAAAAGTTTTTTTTTTATATTACACAACAGATTATCAGATTTTGACAATATGCATTTTAAATGAGAGCTTTCCGTGTTCAGGGCATTTACGGTAGAAAACATTGATTTGCGTAGTATTGTTAATAAACAAAGATGTAAGATACCAATTTTGATTGTTTTATTCAAATAGGTCGAAGTTAATTAAATTAACAATTACACAGTATCCTAGTGGCTTGAATATTACCTGACCAAAAAAAAAAATCATATTCAGTACTGTAGAAGATTTGGTCACAGGAATTATAAATAATACCAGTAGTATTATACAACAGAATGGATCGTGATTTAAAGACTTCGTTTCAATTTTGATTGCTCTTGTCCTAGCTATAAGCTGAAATCACAGCAGCAGGAAAGGCATATTGCAGTATGAAGTGGGTGGTTGGTGCTGGTACTGAGACAATCCCAATGACAATTCACTGTTGGAAGAATTGTAATGGCGACTTTGCCACCTCCAAAATACCACCAAACAATAGAATCTTAAGAAATTGCCTGTAAATTACTAATTGCCTACAATACTTCACACATTGAAGTATTATATTTGAACATATTAATTTTAATATCGATATTATATAGTTTGTGTTATTTGTTGCCTGTCTCTTTGTTTTTTTGATTTGTATTTAATAAATATTTTCACAAATTATAAAATTGTCTTATATCAATTTTCAATCTAAAGCAATAAAAAACAAAATGATAACTGAACGTCAAAGCATCTTCTTTTTCTTTTACACTGTCTATATAGATTAGAGTGACCAAGTTCCTAATTTATAACCTAAAGTAAGTGTTTATTATGCCTTGTCATATTCAGACTTGGTAAGTTATTCAAGAGAGGCAGACTCAGCGTCCTTTTCAACCACGAATAAGTATATAATATATACAGAGTATGTAAAGTGTGAAATTATATCCTCACTCCTCAACCTCAGCCCATCTTTTGACCATTTCAGACGGCAGGCAACAACAAGTAAGTTTCTTGACCATTTATGTCATCACTGCCCGTGAATTTCAAAGTCTGGGTTATTTCTTTCAGAATTTGAGCGAAAGGGGAAAACATAGAAAGCTGGTTTCTTACTCTCAAGTGTGGCAAATCGTAGAACATAAAACTTGAAATTTGATTTTATATCACGTACCTATACCTGTTTTATTGAACTTGGTAGCTCTTTAGAGTTTATATTATTATGCTTTTAGTACTACAGCAATTATGTAGGAGCATAACTCTGAACAAAAATTCCGAATTTATCAAGTGACAATAGATACAAAATTTACATCAAGACAACGTGTAAGTTTTGTATTTACTGCCGCCTGGTAAATTCAAAAAATGGATAGATATTTTATTTTCCTACAGTGCAGAAACATGACTTTGGAGTCGTTGATTACATCGTGTTCGTGGTCACCATTGTTGTGTCCCTTGGTATTGGAATCTATCAGGCTCTTTCTGGGGGCCGCCAGAAAACCACCTCGGAATACCTCGTAGGTAACCGTAGAATGGCCGTTCTTCCTGTGGCAATTTCTCTACTAGTATCCTTCGAGTCCAGCATTATGATGCTGGGGACTCCGGCGGAGATTTACAGATACGGTATTCAGTGGATATGGGCAAACATCGGATTTTTCTGTTCGAATATGTTGGCGATCAAAATCATGGTCCCACTGATCCACCCTTTAAAGATTACCAGTGCAAACGAGGTAAAATATCCTACAAGTTGCTGTATGAAATCTTTCTATACAACTTTTTATATTAAAAGTTTTCATAAGAATTTTAAACACATTTAAATAAAAATTCCAATGCCAAAATCCCTATATAGTGTATTCAAATATGTGTCTAAATTGCTGTACCGAATGCGGCTACAGTGACAATACGATTTCTAAAAATTCAAGTGGAAAAGTTTCCATCACTTGGCAATCATAACATTAGATAACAATAGACGGTACTGATCAAAAGTTTTAAAGAAGTCTTAGAATAATTAATCATAAATACTCGGAAAGTAAATTAACATTAGTTACTTAATAAACGTTGCAATACTCGATCTTTTCCATTTGTATTCTATAATTTTCTATCAATTAATATTTCATTTCTTTATTTTACTGGTATTTTGTTATTGACAATTTGTATCAAAATACCATGGGTACCAATTGCGCCCCGCTATTAACAGATCTATTTCTGTATTCATATGAAGCAGAATTCATGCAAAATCTTATGCGTGAAAAGAAGAAAACAATTGCTGTGGCCTCCAACTCGACATTTAGATATATTGACGACGTATTATCAATTAATAATGATAATTTCCATTCTTATGTTGATACGATATATCCTAGTGAGCTTGAGATAAAAGATACCACAGAGTCTGACACATCTGTTTCATTTTTTGATGTTTTACTTGAAAAAGACGCGCGTTAATGGTAATCTAACAACCAAACCATGATAAACGTGATGACTAACTTTTCTATCGTCAACTTCCCTTACTTATGCAGCAATATACCTTCATCACCTGCATACGGAATTTATATATCTCAGTTGATTCGATACGCAAGCATGCTCTACGTATGAACAATTTCTAAGACGAGGTAAATTTTTGACAAACAAATTGATGAAGCAAGAATTTTAACAGTCTCGTTTAAAGTCATCATTTCGTAAGTTCTTTGGTCGATACAATGACCTTGTCAGCAAATACAATTTTTGATTGAGTCAAATGTTGGCTGAATTTTTTTCATACTTATTTTTAGTCCATTATTTATACAGTGAATTGACAACGGGTTTTCCGTTGTTTTTTTTTTTTCGATCATAACAAGGAGCACACAGCGGGTTTGACCGGTCGGCAGGGGATGCTCACTCCTCCATGGCACCTGATCCCATCTCTGATGTTTTCGGAGGTCCGTGTTTGCTCTGCTCCTGATTTGTAGTTTTATGGACTTTTTTATTGAATACTGTTCGTTATCTCCATAACCTTCATTCCTTATATAGACTGTTTTTTTCCTAATATTGTATTATTATAAATATATTGTGTTAATTATAATTAAATATATTTATTTATTATTAAATAATTAAATAAAAATGAAAGAATAAAAGAAAAACATAAAATAAAAAGAAAAATAGAACGCAAATAGAAAATATCAATATTTACAAAATGAAAATAAGAATAATAAACTAATGAAAGACTGACAGAAAATTAGAAGAAAAAAAAAACATATGGAAAAGATCGAAAATTCCACGTTTGACATGGCAATACACGTCCCCCTGTCGCACTCCTTCGATTAACGAATAATTACAACATTGAAAATAAGGAGCTTATGACCTCACTTTATCTCTATATTCATTTCATTCATGGTTTCGAAGTATCCCTGAATTTTGATACCCTGATTTGCAATGCGTTATCATGCCCCGCGGTATACATTCAACAGTATAACATAGCTATATAATTTATAGGTAGATAGACAATCTCGTTATATAATTTAGGCTACTTTCAATATACTAGGATACTTTGAAAACCCATAAAAGAGTACCAGAAAATCTAGACATTTCATTGACAATATTCTAAGAATTTGTAGAAATGTAATTCAATATAAATTCAATATGAGGACAGTTTTGTTATAATAATCAATACGATATGAGGATAATTTTTGTCTTAGTTTTCATATTTTGACTAGTTTCTCTCAGCTTCATCAGACAATTCTTTTCATTTTATTTTAATAATTAGAAAAATATTGTCTTTTATAGTTTAATACTGAAATAAATTTTAATAATGTTTCGGTACATCATACACTGAGTCCAATTTTTTCTCTTAAAATCACTAGAGCTTTTCATCAATTCTCATACCGGTTTGTACTTTTTTTTGCTTATAAAGTATCTAGAGCTCCGATTTAAATCACACGCTGTCCGATTAATGGCCACATCTCTTGGAATGCTAAACTACGTAAGTGAATTTTTTTATTTACATTCATCTACTCAGTTTCTCTGCTAAGTAAAACTATACCAGATAATCAAAGTCACGAAATGTTAAATTTATAGCTAATTATTTTATATCAATATCGAAAATCATGACCCAACAAAACAATTTTTTTCCAAAAAAGAGTAAATGTTACATTTGATTCACATTGCAGGTGTTGTATATGGGTATTGTTCTCTACGGACCAGCATTAGCCCTGGAAGCAGGTATCGTTAGATAAATATTTATTAAATGTTTCTGTTTCAAACATATGTGGACATTAAAAATTTCAGCATATTTTATATTTCAGTGACGGGGTTCCCTTTGGCCTATTCTATATTCATTGTGGCTGTGGCTGCAGTCATATACACTTCTATAGTAAGCACTGAATTATTCCTATTTCTATTGTAGGCACAAATTATTTCTGCCGTAAAGTTTCGAAACAATATTGGAATGTAACTATATAAAATACAACTAAAATTTAACGTTCGGCTTTTTTGTGATGATCTGAAAATAAAGTACATTTAAACATGTCTAACCTGGATGTTATATGTTCGAAAATATTGCCGATTACATTATATAACGGAATGTATGGAGATAACGAACAATGCTCAAGCTCAGAAGTTCTCAAACAATGCAAATCAAGAGCAGAGCGTCGAACACGGACCTCCAAAACATCTGAGGTGGGATCAGGTGCCATGGAAGAGTGAGCATCCCCTGCCGACCAGTCACACCACCGTGTGCTCCTTGACATTATCAGTAAATAACGGATGAATCCGTCGGCAACTATGGTATAACAACTAGTATGAAAAACGACAGCTTTGAAATAATTTTCAATATTTTGATAGACAAAAATGTATTAAATTGATGTTGTCTCATAGGCCAACTAGGTAGATAGATTTTTCAACAAACATTATTTTGTAATTCTATTTTTTTAAATACTTTTATGTTATTTTGTTTCTTATTAGTTATCAGACCTATAAATTATTCTGAAACATATCTTTGGATTCTTTATCTGTGGATATTTTACTTGAAAAAGATATTAGTGGTAATCTAATAACCAAGCCCTTTGATAAATCGCAGCAATATATCTTCATCACCTGCATACGGAGTTAATATCATCTCAATTGATTCGATATGCAAGAGCATGTTCTACGTATGAACAATTTCTAAAATAACGTAAATTGTTGAAAACAATACTTTCATCTGTCTCGTTTAAAGTCATCATTCAAAAGGTCTATGGTCGATACAATGACCTTGTCAGCAAATACAATTTCTCATTGAGTCAAATGCTAACTGGCGTGCTTCATACTAATTATTAGTCCATTATTTACACACTAAATTGATGAGGGATTTTTCTGTTATGTCCCAATCATGACAAGGGGCACACGGCAGGTGTGACTGGTCGGCAAGGGAGGCTCACTCCTCCATGACACCTGATCCAACCTCTGGTGTTTTGGATGTCCGTCTTTGCTCTCCTATTTTGTATTGTTTTATGGACTTTTGGTCTTGAATACTGTTTGTCATCTCCATCTGCTTCACCCACGACTCAAAAGAAATATCCAATTTTATTAATTTTTCCCCATTAGATTGTACCCATTTGTACTGCATTGTCTTTGCAATAATAAAATAAGCTATCTACCGACCTCTCTCTGACAGGGAGGAATCAAAGCTGTTATATGGACCGATGTCTTCCAGTTTATCGTTATGTTTTCTGGAATCTTTGCTGTAATGATAAAAGTGAGTCCTAGTTCTTTAGCATGTCTCGTTTACATGCATCTACAATATCATGGGTAACATACTGAACTTAAGCAAATGTTTATGTCTTACTTTGTAAATATTTTCTGCATATAATTTTCTTATTTGAGTTCTGAAAGCGAAAATCAATATTAAATCGAAGTAAATCTTTATGTTCGGATGCATTAAGTGTACGTGCAAATTCATTTATTTTAATCAATAATTACATATAAACATGTACTAGTTTTTTATTTACTTTTATATATTGTTTTTTCTATCAGGGAACAATTGATATAGGAGGAGTAGCCAAAACCTGGCAAATTGCCAATGACAATGGAAGATTAAACTGGTTCAAGTGAGATTCACTCTTAGTTATATAATTACAATTTTGGACATAACTTACAAAAAATCAAGTGATATAACAGTATCATTAGTACTTCAATTGCAAGGATCAGAGATATTCAGGAAGAGTTTATAGAAATACAATACTTAGTAAATAGTTTACAATATTCTTGTTTAACTGTCTTTGACCTAGTTTTGACCCGGACCCTAGGACTCGGCACACGTTCTGGAACCTCTTTTTCGGATCTCTTGTCAGAGGGATGTTCCTTATCTTCAACCAATCCTCTGTTCAAAGGATATCCTCTACTCCTACACTATCTGACGCTAAAAAGTAAAAGAAAAACATTTGTTATGGCATTATATTTACATTCAGTGTAATTTTCTTTCTGAATCCACGACGTTCAAATGTCTATAACTACGAATTTTCAATACTCTAGGAACAACAAAATATACAATGTTTTGACACAATTTAAGTTAAAAAATCAACCCTGTTCAATTAACTTAAAATACAACAAATGTGCGTTTAAAAATTATTTTTCACTTTTTTCCTCGCAGTGTTCGTTTGCATTATTTAACTTTGCAACGTCACAAACGGTTTTTACGTCTATAAAGCACGTCAGCTTAAAAGGGCGCTAAATACACATTAACAATTAACGAAATAAACAATTATGAAGAGAGAAAATTACAAAATGTAAATATAAGCATTGAATTCTTACTTTTGGATGTCGACGGTCACCTGGCCGTGCCGACAAATTATCATACCGCGCTAACGCCCGGTATTCAATTTGTCGGCACGGCCAGATGTGTTATAGGACCTACAACATCCAAAAGTATGAATTCAATGCTTAAATGATGTTTCTAAATTATGATTTAGAATTAATAAGAATTTTATTATATAATACCATTGACTGCATATGTTCAATGCTGTTATTCTAAAAAATGATAATTTACAACCAAATAATATAAAGTTTACTTCACCTTGAATAGCCATGGTTCATGGGCAACAATGCTTTTCAAGAGTTCGTTTAGAATTATATAAAATATTGAATAAAACAATATCACATTTGTATCTTTACAGGGTTATGTATTACACTGCTCCAGGATTCCTGGTTACCATATTCATGGCGATCACAGAGGGAATCATAGCGTATTCCTACTTCCATGTTCTTCGTTGCGATCCTCTAGAATCAAAGACCATTAAAAATTCAAATCAGGTCAGAGCTAAATACACTCTTAGTTATATAATTACAATTTTGGACATAACTTACAAAAAATCAATAACAGTACATTTTTTTTTCATACTTCTCTTTTTTTACACCAGAGAAAAAAAAATAAAATTCAGATTTGTATAAAGGTTCTGTCCTATGCAGAAGACAAAATGGTGAAAGTTAAGCAAAGAAAGATAAATGGTCCTAAAATGGATGTCAACGTTCGATGAAACATGTGAAAATAACGTACATTATTCAAAATCAAAAGTCCATAAAACAATACAAATTAGGAGCAGAGCAAACACGGACCTCCAAAACATCAGAGGTGGAATCAGGTGCCATGGAGGAGTGAGCATCCCCTGCTGACCTGTCCCCCCGCCATGTGCTCCTTGTCATGATCAGGAAATAACGGAAAAATCCGTCATCAATTCAGTGTATAAATAATGGACTAATAGTTAGTATGATAGATAGAATATATAGGAACCTTTTTAAAACTTCTGTTTGCACAGAACAGGACTACAGTCCTTCTAATTGGCAAATATTCATCTGTTGTAGAAAATTTTTTTTATTTAAAGCATGGTCACTGAGATTACATTTGGAGTACAAATTGAAATTATATTTTTACACACTTCTGTGTAAACTACAGAACTATTATAAGAGTTAAGTTGAACTCAAGTCTGACAATGAACTATATTTCGGGAACGATAACAATTGAAGTCACCCTTCAACTAGATATTTAGACATATCAACGACGTATTGTCATTTATTTCCAATTATACTTATGTCGAAACAATATATTCCAATAAGCTTGAAATGAAAGATACCACAGAGTCTGACACATACCACATAAGTCCGTGTCATATTAGGAATTTTGCTTTAAAAACTAGAAAAAAAGACGATTATGGTAATCTAACAAGAAAGGTTTTTGATAAACGTGATATCCTTTACTTTTCAATCGTCAAATTCCCTTACTTATGTAGCAGTATACCGTTATCATCTGCTTTTAGAGTTCACATCTCTCAGTTTATAAACAATAACACATTCTACTTACACGTATCGTAATTTCTAAAACGAGGTAATTTATTGAAAAATAAGTTAATAAATGGAACAAGAATATCAGCAGTCTCGTTTTAAGTCATCATTTTGTAAGTTCTATGGTCGATACAATGGCTTGTCAGATGACACAATCTGTCAGTAAGTCAAATGCAGTCTGACGTTTTTTATACTAATTGTTAGGCCATGAGGTTACACTGAATTGTCTACGGATTTTTCGTTATTTCCCAATCATGACAAGAATTTTAGCATACGGCAGGGGATGTTCACTCCTTCATGGCACCTGATCCTACTTCTGATGTTTTAGAGGCTCGGGTTTGCTCTGCTCCAGATTTGTATTTTTAATGGACTTTTGAGCTTGAATTAAGAGTAATCATCTATGACTTAACATTTGATAATGACCAGGGGCTCGTAACATAAAGCTTGCTAAGTTTTTGACTTAAGTAGGGTCGTAAGTACGCTTTAAGCACAATCTTAGGACCTGTGTAAGTACTGCTAAAGTATGTCTTAAACCGTAACATAAAACGAACTAAGCTAGGTCCTAGCTTAGACAGACTTATGTTAAAAATATTTCACATTAGTCAACCTATAGTTTTTGATTTTCTATATATATATTGCTAAATTTGATTCAATAAGGGTTTTAATTCAGAACATATTAAAGTTGACGTCCTTACCTATCGGTTTAAGTTATTTTAGATTAAATTTCGTATGAAAATTATAATTATTTTATATACTATTCGGAACGTTTGAAAACAAATACTTCACTGTCAGACAGTGGCGAATTGTGGTTCATTGTAAATGTTCACGGCAATTGTTTTATCAACTGAGGTGTTTTCAGTTTACCTCTAGTAACTCTTTTGTTTTGATAAATGTTCACTTACCCTGTTATTATCGCAGACAAGAAAAGATAACCGACCGCCTATTCACTTGAAATTGAAACTCTATAAAAAGTTCGATACATTTTAAATCCCCGCTATGTATAATGCCATGTATGTCAGAAGCAAAAAATGCAGAAGTTTAATGATATACTTATCATCAAGGATAAAAAAATCGGGACATTTCTATAACCGAAGTCCTACTAATTTCAGACGTATCCCTAAAATTTCATTTTTTTATTTACATGTATGCTGTGCTGTGCTGTGAGTGAAATTGTGATCAGTGATCACCACACCCCACCCCCACCCCCCTCCCAACGAAAAAATAAAATTCTTAAATCAGCGTCAAATATAGATAATTATTTTCTTTAATGCATAATATGCATAGAGGAAAGTTTAAACATCGAAAGTCAACATTAAATAATTCTAAATATATGTACAAGAAAGTTAAGATATACTTAAGTCACCTCTACCGGCCGCCTAAGTTTTGCTAAGATTGCCAAATCTAAGTACGGTTCTAGTTACGGTCTTAAGTTTTAGACTGTACTTAAGTCCTACTTAAGCACGGTCTTAGACTTAAGTAGCCTTTATGTTACGACCCCTTGATTAAGATGTAGGAGTTGTCATCATCGACCTTTAGTTTTTGAAGCAGTTTTTTAAGTAGGAGATTATCTTGTACAAACATTCTAAATGCTTTGTTAGCTCACCTGATCAAAATTTGTCCCTTGTCTGTCGTTGTTGTCGTCGTCGTAAACTTATCACATCTTCATCTCAAGAATCACTGAGCCAATTTCAAACAAGCTTGCCACAAAGTATTCTAAGGTGAAGGGGATTCAAGTTTGTTCAAATGAAGGGCCAAGCCCTCTTCCAAGGGGACGTAATTATGAATTAATGAAAAATTAATGACATCATTTAAAAATCGTCTTCTCCAGTACCATTGAGCCAGGAAAGATGAAACTCATGTGAAAGCATCCTCAGGTAGTGTAGATTCAATTTTGTTCAAATCATGACCCCTGGGGGTAGGGCGGGGCCACAATGGCCGATCACAGGTCTACATAGGAATATATAGGTGAAATCTTTACAAAATCTTCTTCTCCAGAACCACCTGGCCAGGAAAGATGAAACTCATGTGGAAGCATCCTCAGGTATTGTAGATTCATTTTTGTTCAAACCATAACCCCAGGGGGTAGGGCCGGGCCACAACTTATGATCAAAGATTTACATAGGAATATATAAAAAAAATCTTTTGAAAATCTTCTTCTCAAGCACTCAGCTGGGCCAGGAAAGATGAAAATTATGTGAAAACATCCTCCGGTAGTGTACCGGTAGATTCAAGTGTGTTCAAATCATGACCCCCGGGGGTAGGGCGGGGCCACAATGGACGATTCAAGTTTTCCATTGGAATGAATACATTGGAATTTTTTTAAACTCTTCTTTTTAAGAACCACAAAGCCATGATTGGTCACATCTTTATGTAAGCATCCTCACGTAGTGTTGATTCAAGTTTGTTCAAGTCATGAACGGGAAGTAGGGGTTGGGTACGGTTGTACACAATTGGGGATCAAAGTTTTGCCTAGAAATATCAAGGAAAATGTTTTTTCCAGAACAGAAAAGCCATGTTTATTCATATTGATATGGAGGCTTTCTCAGGTAGTACAAAGTCATACTTGTTCAAATGAGGGCTGGTAGTTTAAAATTCCAGACACCCTCCCCTCACCCCATGTAAACATCTCAATACTGAAGCAATTTCTGCTTTATTTCCTAGCCAATGTCTCAGGTGAGCGATGTGGCCCATGGGCCTCTTGTTATATTTCCTGCAGCTTATCCCAGCTCTAGTTATGAGTGTGTTTGGAAACATACATGGTATGCCAGGCCTCTTTATAGCTTCTCTTTTCAGTGCCTCCTTAAGGTAAAATTTCCAAAAATAAAGAAAAGGAAACTGATTTTTATGTGTGTCTGCTTCTATATTATTGTATTTTAATCATGGTTCTCTGGTTTTCTTCAGCACGCTGTCCTCTGGACTGAGTAGTCTGTCTGCCCTGGTGTGGCAGGATTTTGTTAGACCTCACACAAAGCCAATGTCAGAATTCAAAGCTACCGTGATAGCGAAAGTATCTGGTAAAGTAAAAAAGCACAGAAAACAGATGTCCTCGAAGCACTTTAGTAACAATTACAAGAGTCATTTGAAACCTTTTATCAAATTAAGGATATCTCGCCAATAGTACACAAACAAAAGAAATAATATCCTTTCACTAAAAGTTGCTTTACACTTCATTTCAAGTAAAATATATTTGACATCTGATTTAGATGTTTAAGAATTTATTCAAATTATTTAGTGACTATGACTCAGTATGACTTAGTCAGTGTTTATCTATAGCTTGTCATTAGGTTTATTCAATTAAATGATCTAAAATATTGTATATGGTACACAGAAAGTTGTATTACAAAAAGGAATTAATAAATGAAAAATTAAAAAAATATTTCTTTTCAATATTAGTTGTAGTGTTTGGTAGTTTGGCAATTGTCGTAGCATTTCTTGTTTCAAGCATCGGTGGAACTCTTGTACAGGTATTACTTATCAATTAATCATATTAATTTTAAAAAGTAAAACAAATCGTAAAATAATGAAGAAAGTAAAACTTATTTTTAAAATGTTTTAACATTTCAGATCACTGGAACTATTCTCTCCACTATAGGGGGACCGTTAACAGGGGTTTTTCTTGTAGGATGTTTTTGTCCATGGATTAATTCAAAGGTAGATAATTTCGGTTACTGCTATGACTTTCATTTCCTCTTCAGATATACCTTCATTTCAAACCTATAAATAAAGCATTGTCTTTTATTGATTTTTAATCTGAAGTTAAAAATGATAACATTACAAATTATTTATCATTTTCAACTTCCGATTGAAAACTAAAAGAAGACAATATCATAAATTAAATCTTTGTAGCAAGCTATCTCTGGTTTTATAAATGAAACCTTTGGAGAAATCTATCTTCGGTTATTATAAATATATAAAAATATATAAATAAATAATTTTTTTTCAATTTGATTTGAACATATTTTTTAAAGTAATTAATACATAAATGGATATAAATTAAATCTTTGTAGGGAGCTATATTCGGCTGTTTAAGTGGGGTGGCTCTTGTTGGTTGGATAGCTACAGGAATGTCAGTATCAAAAGGAATTAAAAGAACCCCACCCCTTCCAGCAGCGCCAGTTGACCAATGTTTTGCTTCCTCTGTCATCAATGCTAGCGACTGGATGACAAATACGACATTAGAAACACTGTTCTCATCCACCGAGATGTCCACACAAGCTTCAGTTTTTACTCAAACAAAGGAGCCGTAAGTGTTTCCTCATCATCAATAATAAAAAAAATAATTTTATATAAATACATCTATATAAGAATTGTTTTCACTCATTTTTAGTTATATTATTCTTTTCGTTCATTAAAAATTCATTATTTCACTGTATTCAAATGTTTTTAGTCTTAATACCTTTTGACTGTTTACAGACAAGGATTGGATCAGCTGTACTCCCTGTCTTATACCCTGCTTGGCGTCATTGGATTAATTAACAGCGTCATAACAGGAACTATCGTTAGCTTTCTGACAGGTATCGGATTTTTTTATTGCTTGCTTTTGGCAAATATTATATCCAAATTAATTCTTAATTTCAAGCTTTTAAAGCAAAATTTAAAGCCGTATCAATTGTTCAAAGCAAATAAATGTAGGAACATTTCTGCAAAAAAAAAGTCAATGGTCTTAAATACTTTTTTATTCTCTGTTTATTAATAATTAGCTTAATTAACCTTAATCACAGGATACACAAAACCGGAGGAATCGGATCCACGTTATTTGATTTCCCTAACGGACGAACTTTTTCCTTTCCTCCCAGAGAAGATAAGAAAGCCATTTCGCCTTGGATATAATTACGATAGAGCAAAGGCAAGTTAAAGAGCTGTAATCAAAAACGTTTTTTCTTTACTTTATAATTTTTTAAGTAACTTCTTCGGAAAACTGTGTATTAAAACATGAAAAAATCGTTTTAGGTTTATAAGGAGCAAGTTTTCACCGAAAAAGATCTCAAACAAGAAAAGATAAACAATTTTGCCAATGTGACAATAACGGTGAGTTCAGAGAAAGAAAAGATCAATGGTGTGGGGGAAATCATCATAGAGGATCCAAAATCAGAGACTGCTGAGGAAGAAATCCCGAGTAGTGCTACGCCTTTAATAAGTAGTGAGAGAGGTGACAATGGAAACGATATAAATGAAATGGAGGAAACCAATACTATTCTAACAAAAAATGGAAGATTATAACTCTAAAAGTTTATTTTTGAAATAGAGTGTGTTTGCTGATATTTTGTAGAATATGATGTAGGAAAATCACTCGGTTACAAAAGTTGATTTGAATTGTTTTGATTTTGCAAAGAATGTCAAATGTTAATATCACATTTCTAATGTTGATATGCTTGACACAAATATCTAAGTATATAATACCACAAGGCCTCAAAATACTGTGATGAATACGGAAAAAAATACTATCACTGTATGACTTAGATCCTATTAAAAGGGGTTTAAAAATAATGCATATATTATTTCTTTTGTCATGCAGTTTTTATTGTTGTCGGTCCATTATCGTCCATAGTCAGTAAAACAGACTCTACAGTGTCTTATTTAACAAAAAATATATTTAAACACTGAAATGTGATTTTGAAGAATTTCATCTTTAGAAAGTGAACTTAGAATAAAAGTTCGATTTCCAGACATGGAAATAAAACCAACTTCTTCTACAATACAGTTATCATAAATGAACTAAAACCACACGAAACTGGGTATTAGGAAATAAAATATTTAACGATTTAGAAAATAAAAGTTTTTACGTTTTGAATGTGCATGGCGCAGTGGTTATAGCGTATGCTCTAAAGTCGCAGACTAAGGAATTGATCCTAACATCACGGGTTCGTATCCCACGGCGGGATGTAGAGACAGGTTCTTCGAATAAAAGTAAGTGATGGCACAAAAAGATCTCTCACTGTTCAATCATCTTCACTGATCCTAAAAGCCCAGTACAGATTTAAAACTTGCAGCCTTCCATCGGTAAGTGTTTCAATATGAATGAAAAATTCTTAGAAGGGGTGTTAAATAAACGAATAATTTACAAAATAAACATTTTGAATTAAGTTTTACATGCGATGTAAATGAAAATCACCTGTTGAACGATTTACAGAAATGGAAATAAAAGTTGAAAATATTAATTTAGCAAAACACACATAAGTAAAATGTAAAACTTTTTCCCTTTTCAAAAAACTCTAAAAATTTAGTGAGGCATTTGCCTCACTTGCCTCAGTGGTAGTTACGGCCTTGGTCATAATACAGTCATAAATGAACTAAAACCACACGAAACTATCAAAGAATTGCAAGACTTCGGTCAAGCTCAGGTTATGTTTAAAAGTATTCCGATTGTCACTGGTCGTTATCTTGACCCTTTTCATGTTCTGAATTAATAGAAAAAAAACAGGTAGCATATGTTTCATTTCACAAAAAATAGAATTCTCAGTTTGAAAGTTTAAAGATAACTACATTTTTCTCCAGGTAAAATCGCCCTCCCTCAATTCTTTTATCTTTGAGGCTGTTCTCTGAAATGTTTCTATTGCTTTCATTAGAACTTCGAGTCACTTCACGTCACCAACCAGTCTACATTTAACTAATTTTACTAAACTAAATGTCATTGTACCTGGTATGTTTTGTCTCGGCAATAATTAAACGAGATCAGGAACACTAAACTCCTTATTTCTGTAATATGAATTATAGATACTGACTTATGGTTAGATTGTTCAGCACAATCCCTGTATATAAGGTAATTAAATAAATAACAAACAAAAAAGTTAAGTGTAAGAAGGTAAAATTCACTATTCATCATGTAATCTAATGACATAATTTCTATTTATCAATTAAAGTCTTAATTACGAAAATGCATAGTTTTTCCGGAAAATATTTCAGAAAGATCCTTGTGTAAGTGAAGCTATTAAAAATTCTTTTTTAAATTGCAAAAAGCAGTCACGCTGAGGAGTGACTGTGAGCAAAACTGGATTCTGTGGGTAACTTTAGAGATCAATTCAAGTTCAGAAAAGCATGTTGACGACTTAATTATGTATGGAGATACATCCCAACGCAGTCCCCATCAACACAATCCAGTTCAATTATTAATACAATGTATGTACATCACCGTACACAATAGAAATGCATGCAATGAAATTGGTCAGCTTAGTACATTTAATTCTAAATTACAAAAAAAGAGACAACAAGCCGCCTTTTAGATTATCGAAACATATTGTTCAATTGCGAAATTTAGTTTAAGCTGAAGGCGGTAAGAAGATTTTACTTAAACTTACCATTCCTGATCATGAAATTAAGTAGCCTTGTAACCAATTCAGGCCAATTGCACTTATGTACTTATGCTTATTCAGGACATTGTACTCTAGTATAGCAATACCATCAATACCATTTAATGAACGATGTTTTTGTTGCGTTATTTCTTATAATGTACTGAGTATATGTTTCTAAATTATTTCTATTAATATGGTTTGTCTTATGCGGTGCAAATGAAAGAATAAATTTAGTATTTTGTTAAAAATCCCAATGAAGACTTGGCATTTTTTCGCTGCTCTCTTGTGAACATCATCATATGGTTCCTTTTAGTTCCTGGTGAAACATATGACCTCAGTAACAGTCCTCAGTCGCACTCTGTTTTGAGCAGCCTTTTTCATTTGTTCCCAGCTATGTCCACACTGTCTGATTTCTTTGTCGCGCGAATTCGCCGTTATCCTGGGACGCCATACCCGACGTTTGCCTTGGGGGTTCCACTCGAACTCGTGGCGTGTAATGTCTCCCGGTGGCTTTCGAAGGGTACATTTGTATGCCCATTCCACCGCCACTTTCTATGGGCTATTTGCTTCACATCAATTAAGTGAATGGGTCTTGGTATTTTGCTTTCACAGGTTTATGACCATTAGTGATATGTTTTTCCATTTTGACCCAAAATAAGAACGAAGAAAATTTAAATTCCGGAAACCGATATCGTAAAAATTCAATAAAGGCAGGGTTTTCAAATTTAATTTAACAGAGTTAAAAATGTAAATTATTGCAAATATGCATATTCTTTTTTCTTAAATCATTAAAAGCGTTGATAAATATGACAGTAATATTTTTGACTAAGGAAAAAGTGATCGTTTCACAACAGCCTTTGGTCGTGGAATCTCCCCGGAAATGACGTAGGACCACCTGCGGTGCAGATCAACAAACTGTTTTAGTTCTCACAAACGTGTCCAGTCGTGGTGGTTCACTCAAAGCCTTAAATATAAAAAAAGGCTAAATAACATTTAATATTTAAAAAAAAAAATGAGTATTTTTAACTCTTAAATTCAGGTGAGTTCAAATAACTTTTTTTGAATTATTATATTTAATATGTAAAATAGTCACTTTTGATTGATGTAGTGCAAAGTTGCAAATAAGAGACAGGTTTCAAAAAAATTTTACAGCTTAATTAATAGTTTATTCCTAAGGATTAAAAATACATCATGGATTCTTTTCGATGCTTAGATTCTTTGTCTTTCTTGTTACTCAGAAAATGTAAATTGCACACATCTTTTATGCTAAGAATATTTCCACAAGTGAAAATGGATATGCATTGGGAACCGATATTACAAAGCAAGTTTTTATAAAAACATAAAATTCAATGATCAATACATGTTGATATATTAACAAAACGATACACTAAGCCTTCTGTAAGCAAAACACTAGTAAATTCTTTTCGAAAAGCTCAAAAATACAAAACGTATATGTCAAATAATGAATGCTGGTTTTATTTAATTAAAAGGGATTCTTTTCTGAATGAAATATATGGAGATACCAGTAACGAACAGTTCATAAATCCATTTAACATTTTTTACAGTGTACAAATCAGGAGCAGGGCAATCCTTTGTTTTACTCGGGGTATGCATGGTTTCATTTAAATTACATTTCATTATTTTCTTATTGTGGTGATAGCAGACACACTGCTTTTTAGGGAAAAATATTTTCTACTACGTGCCAAAATCAAAAATTCTTTTACTCATCCAAGATAAGGTTCGTTCTATATTATATGTAATAATACATGTACATCACGAACAACATGCGTAGGACTTATAAATAATTGGTGAAGAAATCGACATATTCCAAGACCTTGTACAATGACCTGATGTTCATGTACACGTCACCCTTGAGTTTTTTTTTTAAAGTTTATTCTCTGATTATTATACGTATATGATTTATATGCGACATCACAACACGTTAACATCAAAAAGCTAAAATTTATAAAGCTAGAAAGATCAAAACACCTGTAGCCCCCAAAAGCAAAATCCAATTCTTGTATATATATAAAAAATATTTTCAAAAAACTATAATTTTTAGTTAATATGATTCAGTCACGCTCAGGTGTAATAACATACCTGTATCTGTATTAAAACTGCTTGATGGTATGAAGCAAGTAGAAAATAATAAAGATGTATCTCTCACAGAAATGAGATGAGGAAAGTGTTTCAACTTTGTTTTTCTGTAATTTACATCAATTAATAAAATTAAAGAATTTAAGGGAAATCACTCACCTCGAGTCGGTATCTTTTATATTTCTGTCCTTCAGGAGAAACGACTTCCTTGAATTCTGGTTTGTCGCTTTTTCGTGTGCGCTTCAGCCAATCAGAGAGATGTTCATTGAGATCAGCCAATACCCGCTGACTTGTTTCTAACTCTGGTAGAGAATTATCCGTGGAGATATAGTATACCCCCATCGTTTTCAGAAAACTCCTGATGTTTTCCTCCTCCTTGTCACAGCGCCTGGAGTTGAATGCCCCGTAGAAATATTCTTTATGTTTCTCCTGTTTTGCCTTTGGCTTCTTTATATGCCGTGAACGCAGCTGTTTCAAAGAGTCAGGGTCCCTCAGTTTTAACGATAGGTACTTAAGCAGTGAAGCATTGTGCAAAGACAGTTGAGTCCTATGTATATATAGATATAATCGAGACACCATAACATTTTTCAGGAGGTCTATACTTCGAGTTGCTGATTTTTTCGTGAACAAACGTTGGTAGTTTCCTGTACTTAAAGACAAAAGTTCTGTCTTTCGTGTGACATTTGCATTTTCCATGTATGTTTTTAAGCCCAGTAAAGTTTCTGTTGCACCTTTAATAAAGAAAATGATGTGTTAAGTCAAGGAGTATACCGGGGTAGATTTCTTATTTCATAAAAAAGTAAAGAAGACAATGTCAAAAAGAAGAAACTTAAAGCACTTACCAATAATTTCATTTCCACCCAGCAGACACATCTGAAAGTGCTTATGCATTGTCTTTTTCTGACGCAGGGACTCAGATGGAGTTATGTTGACAGGAACTTCCCTGTAACAATGCCCATTTTAATAAATATATATATTTTAAAGAAACTCTAAAATTACTATACAGGAAGAAAGGTATAACAGTGAATGCAATCATGGTTAAAGACACCATATCGTTTTAGTATAATTGAAAATGTTATTGATTGAAAGTTTAGGAAAACACATTTTAAAAGAAACCCCACTTCAAAATTGTTAGTCATACGTTAGCCAATGTTTGACAAAAATGATATTTAACATTAGATAAAGTGTGAACATGACAACAAATGATAAACTTGATGACTTCAAAATTTCTACTGTCAGCTTTCTTTTGTAAATGAGCAATATATCCTAATCACCTGCACATGGAGTTTATGACCCTAAGACTTAGAAATTGACTTACTGTTGTTTATCACCATGTTTAAGGAAAATATATACAGTCATGGCAATATATATGTAATTAATACGTTATTTACTTATTTGTAGTTGATTAGAATTGAGATGTCCTATAAATACACCAATTTAATGTTAAAAAGAAAAGTAATAAAGAACGAGTAAAGAAACTTCCTAGTAAAATAGAATTCTTTTTTCTTGAGAACAAAATCCATGGTGCTGTGACTGTACCATGTGAGTGTAGAGAATCACAGAAATCAGTGACGTAAACACAAGTTACGTGAGAGCTATATTTAGACAAATGTTATAATAATCTACATTGTCACACACGCTTTGTACCTTTGCCTTCCTATTGATACCCTTCGTCTCCTGTAGAACGGAAATTAATTATTAAAACATAATTATAAATTCCCTTAATTGTTAATGTATATATGACCAATGTTGTTATACATTCTTTTTAATTTAAATTAATGAATTTTTACTTTAAAGTAAAAAAAAAAACTGTTAATCTCTCAATATTTACAAACATCAAAAAATGGCATTCTATTCCATTTGACTAAATTGTACATTAAGGTCAACAAACATTTTTGAGGTGCGGTGTATAATATTAAAAGGTTCAGAAATTGCTTGTGAATTGGACATCTCCAATATAGGATCTATCACAGTAAAAGGCCATTTCCGCTAAAACGTCACAGATATAGAACACTCCTAAAAATTTCTTCCCAATCAATATGATAAAAAGGTAGGTAATTGCATCAAGTAATTGCAAAACAATACCAGTTAAAGTACCTTATGGAATAGACGCATGATGAAACAAAATGAAAAATTGTTTTGTAAGAGGAAAAGTAACTTTATAGTTTTCAAATTATTTTTATGAGCACGTGTCATGCAAGCATGAAGTAAACTCATCAAATCTGGTGCAAATTTGAAACAATGCTGCATTTCTCTAACTGTTGACTGGAAAACCTCCTGACTTTTCCTTTTAAAATCTTTTACATCAGACACTTACGGGGGGAGAAGTTCCGGAAGTAAGCGTTTCATTTCCGTCCACACAGTGGGATATTGTTCTTTATAACCCGCCTGGTCTATTAAAATCTCAACTTCGCCTCTGTACAAGAAAATAAAAAAGATGAGCTTTAAGTGTAAAACAATATATACAATTTATAATATTGTTATATATTAGGTACTCACAAGGAATTGTATTACATGACTTTTAACTTTTCAATCGTCAACTTCCCTTACTTATGCGGCAATATGCCTTCGTTACCTTCATACGGGGCTTATATCTCTCAGTTGATTCGATACACAAGAACATGCCGCTACGTGTGTACAATTTCTAAAACGTGGCAAATTATTGACAAACAAGTTGATGAAACAAAATAATTAGCAATCTCGTTTAAAGTCATCATTTCGTAAGTTCTATGGTCGATACATTGACCTTATCAGCAAATACAATTTATCATTAAGATAAATGCTGACTGACGTTTTTCAAACTAATTGTTGGGCCATTATTCACACACTAATTGACGACGAATTTTTTCCATCATTTCCCGATCATGACAAGGAGCTCACGGCGGGTGTGATCGGTCAGCAGAGGATGTTCACTCCTCCATGGCACCTGATCCCACCTCTGATGTGTTGGAGGTCCGTGTTTGCTCTGCTCCTATTTTGTATTGTTTAATGGACTTTTGAACTTGAATACTGTTCGTTATTATCTCCGTATATTTCATTGCAATTCATATAAAAACTTACTCTGTAATTATATACAAATTTCCCATTGGCTGGCCTTGCCGAACAATTGGACTTCCATAGAGATGAATTTCCCGTTTTAATGAAATTGCTAAAGACTTCTTCAATTTTGGTGACCAGTATGAAAATAGTGGATTTGTGTCTACGAATATTGTTTTGTCGTGGAATTCTTTTTCAAGAACATCGCGGACAGATCTGTTGTAAAGCGTCCTATCGACGACCATCAAGTCAGTGTCTTCATCCACCACGACACTGGCTGTTCTGACACAATCGTCCTTAATAAGGGCGATCTCTCCTACTGTGTTACCCTCAACTGAAAGAGGCACAAAGGCCATCCACTAATTAAAGATAATCTCATATCACTAAACTTGACAATTCATAGAATTATAAATACAAAGGTATTGTTATATTCCTCCATAACTTAAAAAAACGTTTGAAGGCATTTCTCATATCATAAAAAAAATCATATAAATGATGTCCTTCATGAGATATTTAAAAAATAAATGAATATTATGCTATTATTAGCTCACCTGAGCCGAAAGCTCAAGTGAGCTTTTCTGATCAAAATTTTTCCGTCGTCTGTCGTCGTTGTTGGCGTTGTCGTTGTAAACTTTTTACATTTCCCATCTTCTTCTCAAGAACCACTGGGCAAATTTCAACCAAACTTGCCACAAAGTATCCTTAGGTGCAGGGAATTCAAGATTTGTCAAATTAAAGGCCATGCCCTCTTCCAAGGGGAGATAATTATGATTTTGTGAAAAATTAAAGGCATTTTTAAAAAATCTTCTTCTCAAGAACCACTGGGCCGAGAAAGATGAAACTCATGTGAAATCATCCTCAGGTAGTGTAGATTCAAGTTTGTTGAAATCATGACCCCCTGGGGTTAGGGCCACAATGGCCAATCAAAGTTTTACATAGGAATATGTTTGGAAATCTTTTAAAATATTCTTCTCAAGTGTTGCAAAGCCATGATTAGTGATATTTATATGGAAGCATCCTCAGGTAGGCTAGTGTAGATTTTAGTTTGTTCAAATCATAACCCCAAGGGGTAGGGTGGGGTCTCAATGGAGGATTAAAGTTTTACAATAGGAAAATAAAGGGAAAAATCCCAAGAACAAAAAAGCTATGTTTAGTCATATTGACATGTAAGCATCTTCATGTATTGAAGATTTAAATTTGTTCAAATCATGACCCTTTGGGGTAGGGAGGGAAACAACAGGGAATCAAATTCAAATTATAACGAAGTAATATATACACTGTACATTAACAAAATGTAAAATAAATATTTAAAAAGCCTTTTTTTTCAAGAACAACAAAGTTATATGCTGTACTGATATGGATGCATTCTCAAGTAATATAAAAATTGGAGCCCCCCTCCCCTCCCCCCCCACGCCCACCCCCGTAAACTTTTCAATTCTGATCTGATTTGTATTTTTTTTCCTAGCCGATCTGCTCAGATGAGCGATGTGGCTTCTGAACCTCTTGTTGTATTTAAGTATAATAATTATGTAAAAAAGAGAAATTGGGGTATAATAATGTTTATTGTTATCAAGCAATAAAATTATACGTTACCAAAAATGGACATTTTTGTACAAATAATGCTTATTTTTCAACAACGGGATGAAAATCTAAGTATTTCGCCCAGAACTGCAGGATAAGAGTATTTTCTTAAAATGAAAACATACGTTTAATTAATATTTACACTTTACCTGATGTCCAGACATGTTGCCCCAGAGCTGATCTCTCCAATTTGCCCTTGGCTATTGCTTTTTCTATAATCTGTTTCACTTCTTGGTCATTTTCTTTGTCTTGTAGGACATAAATTGACATTTTTCCACGCAGAATTATGTATAGTCTAAAATGATAATGATGACTTCAATTACTTCATTTGATTTTCTCGACTTTTTTTATTTTTATAAAATCATTTTTGTGGTGGGGAACTTTAACAAAATACATGGAAAGCTTATAGGTGCGAAAAGGGCAATCTCAGTAGTGTAACGAAGCATTATTCCATTAAAGTCTTTTGAAAGTTTCTTCGCCTGAAGTTGCAAAATCAGTTCTAGATTAAATTGATGTGCATTTGGCATTTCAAAAACGGTTTTCATCATGGTTTGAAAATAAAGAGCTCTGTAATCTTCATTATGGGGAGTGCTTTGCTATTCTTTTGTATTATCACGCAATCCCTTGGGATGTGTCTATTTAAATATCTAAATATTGATTTCTATCCTTTTTTTTTTTTTTTTTTTTTTAGATCTACATACATCTCTTTACATATGAGTAAACAGGGGTGTTTACAGTCTGAAGCCTTTGTCATCCCCAAAAAAGACCGTACATAAAGTTCATTTCAAATGTTCTAATGAGGCCATCTTTTAAAAAAAATCGTTTGATTGTCCTCTCCCGACCGACTGACAAAAAAATGGCCCAACTCAAAACTTTTTTTTTAACATTCCAAGACACGATTTTTTTTATCCTGTTATTCCTCTTATACAGTCAACAAATATTTTGAAATTTTCTGAAATAAAGATATTCCCACCTACCTACAGACTCAATAATTTTACTTTGAGTCAGGAGAGGGCAAGCAAACATTCTTTTAAAGATGGTCTGATCTCAGTGCAGATTTATAAAGCCAAAGGAAATTGATTTTTCAAATATCAACATCAAAAACATGCATTAAAAAGACGTACGCAAGACATACTTGATTGATGTATCAACACATCAAACAATTATTTAAATAACCATTCTTGCCCGTATTATATTGCAAAAGCCAACAAGAATAATTTGCAATGGTCAAATTTTTTTGCGGTTACTGAACTTTTTTTTTCATACCGAAGTAAAGTGAGTCCAAACTTAACCACAGTCTTTCCGTGTTGGGCTTAACAATAATTCTGTAGGATAGGTGGGGATACATGTCCGTAATTTCTAGCTATTGACACTATTACCTGTCTCCATTATCCCCCTGCTTGATGAGGACGTCGTCTCTTTTCGGTCTCTCAAAGATACAATGTCGTATGACGTCTTTGATTATATCTGCAAAAGAATATGAACAAATTGGGGAATTCTACAACACTGATTCAAAAATTAAACAATAAGCAATATACCACAGTCCTGAGTCTACTCCCATCAACAACTCTTTTTTTCTGATGGCTAATTTCCAAAAGGTCTGGAAAAACACCCTGGGATCATTTACATGACAATGTTTGTATCGTTAAATTTAGTAACATTTGCTATAGATAGAAATAAGGAGACAAAAGAAAAATAAACAAAGCTATAAAGTTATCATTATACTAGCATTTAAATTAACTATAGATTTGGACAGTGAATGTCATTTTGATACATCAGTGGATGACACTAAATGGGGTTTGGCTTGATTTAATATATGCGCCACACCATATTAAATATCTTGTGATAATTATTAATTTTCATTATCCTACAAATATATTTTACAAATTAACGATGTTACACTAAATTATGCTGATAAGTAATGTTAATTTGTTTATAAAAGTTACAAATACAAAAGCTGGGGTGCAGTTATAAATGGAATCGTATAAAATATCATGAAAATTAATTATTTTGATGATATCGGATATCTTGCGATAATGATTTATTTGAGTATGTATGTACTTCTCAGTAATGAAGAAATTCAGTGTGTATGCACGTGGTATACATTAATTATCTTTAATCATTTTAAAACTATAGGCAAAATAATATGTGGCGCCCTAGATTATAGCAGTCTGTAAAATATTTCTTTTAAAAAATGAACAGTTGTACTTTAATACAGGATTACGTTAATACGTTAAGCTTCCTAATTAAGTTACATGTACATTAAGTTGCCAGACCGCTACTTAAAGTTGACTCCTATATAAAGGAAACGATTGCCAAGAATTGGAGGATTTCTCCTGTCATCCTTGTTTTTGTTTCCATGTGCAATGTTTTGATCATGGGGTTATGAATAAGATTGTGTGTTTTAATGAAGTCATACAGTTTTACTCTCTAATTAAGCTTAATTTACACTGATTGCAATCATGTTACGGGGTATTTGGCAGTCAATGTCTTAGGTGTAAAGTGCATCCAAAAAGATTTGTGTTTTAATGCGCATATTTTGCATTACATGTACAGTATTAAGTATTTTATATTAACCACAGAAAATTGTTTTTTCGCCGTTCGGGCAGTGCATTACAAAGAATTACTATATACATAGCCCTTCCCATAGTACCTACCCTGAGGATTCCTATAGTTGTAAAAGGTGAAGAAAATAAACAGTGATAAATCTCATAAAGACAATAGACAAAACCACTTGTAAAAAAACAAGACCACGGTCCCCAGGAAACTTCAGTAGTGGGATCAATTGCTGAGGGGGAATAAGCTTTCCCTGTCGCTGGCTCTCCCGCGATAAGTGTTTTACATTGATTATGTAGTTGGAGTGCGGCGTTGTCAAATTAGTCGTAAAGCAATGACCTTACAAAAGGTATGAAATATAACAGACAAAACACACTAAGTTATATTTGTAAACTATGCGATTTCTAAGAATTTTCGAAATGTTGACTTTTAAATGGGTTGTTGAAAGTTTTGTAACTCCAATTTATTTGACATTAGCTTGTCTCAGTAGTCACAGTAAGCATGAATCAGTTTGGAGTCATAAATTCCATATGCAGGTGATGTTGGAATATTACTACATAATCTCATCCTCTCTGTCATACTGAATAATTTTTATTATTGGTAATTTTTTGTCTACAATCAGTCTAATATTCAAGTAGAAACAAATGTCGCAGACTCTGTAGTGACTTTTAGTTCATGGGAATTTATCGAGTCGACATATGATCATGAATGAATGTACCTATTGTTAATTATTGATCATACGGCGTCGGTATACTAAGTATCTAAATGTTGAGTTAAAGCCACAGTAAGAATTAAGAAGTTTGAATATATTTTGCTTCAAAAGAATATTAAAACTGGATCGGCAAAAAAGACTCAAAATTAGTGTTATTGGAACAAATGTTGAAATAGTTGGTCTCTATTGATAACAATGAAAATAATAAAATTCAATGCAAGACAGTGTTCCTCCAGAAACTTTACGAAGGTGGAATAGTCAAAACAAAAAAATAACAGCACCAAATATCAGTAAATAGCGAGTAGGACTGAAGGGGTTCAGATAGAAATGGTAGAGAGTGAGTGAAATGTAGGGGCGGGGTGTTGAGGAAGCAAGGTCTATAGACAAGATTGGTAGACGCTAGAAAAACTAATCGGACTCTTTGTACAAACTAGTGTCTAAAAAAAACAAAAAGATATATCACCGACAGACGTTTGATGTGATAATTATGACCTGAAGATATTTAAATTGTAGCCTTGAAATAAGAACTTTAAATTCAATGTGTCATGTTGGTTAGTGTAGCTGACCGACACTGAACTGTAGAACGTTTGTCGCATAACTCCGGGTAACGCCAATTTCGAACATACGGTTCGAAATAAATTCGATAGGAATGAACCGTTTCGAAGTAACTATACGGATTAAATCTCTCATAACCAATCAAATGACTTTATATAAAACTCGCTCTTTGTGTTTAAATTGTGCCATCAGATAATATAGTTATTCCATCCCTAGCAAAGTGAACTGTTTCATGAGAAATGTTGAAAACATAATCGTGTCAGTTCTGATTCACTATAAATCATATTTTTGTCATTCATGTTCTTTTATTGAAGTCAAATATTTGTCGTTAAACACAGAATAATAAAACTTAAAAGCTTTTTTCTGGGCTTTTGATGTCTATTTGTGAATGTGTCCACAGACTTGGGTGGATAGAAAAATGACCGGTTGTTCTAAGACCCTTTAAAACAGGTCAATTTTTTTTTTCTAAATTGAAGAAATTGTAAAGAAGAAAAACTTAAATAATCTCAACATTTATTCATCCAATATTATTTCATGTAAAGTCGATAAAACAATGAGATCAGATATCTGGCATTGCCTAAATGAAATACATGTATACGAAAATAACGAATAGTATCCAATCTCAAAAGTCCAGAAAACAATACAAAATAGGAGCAAAGTAAACACGGATCTCCAAAACATCGGAGGTGGGATCAGGTGCCATTAAGTCCTATCCAAGAGGGCAAAGGTTACAAATGTTCAGAATTAACAATAATGTGTAATGTTGACAATATATATTATCCATAATAAAGTGTGTAAAATTCTAATGTAACTAGAAGAAATTTAAACTATCAGCAGGGGTTAATACAATGGATATATACTACAGTATAAGAAATAAAATAGAAAGAGTGCAACTACTAAGATTATGTCAGTAAATAAAAGGCAAATATGCATTGAAAAATACAAAATTGTTCTCTTTTCTTGTTTATCAGTGGCGCACTGTAGGTATATTTCACACAGAAAGTTACACTTTATGTTTATATAAATAATTTATTTGTCAAAAGCTTTTAAGGTGAAAAATCTTTACCAAACGAACACAAAAAAATATCACGTACAGAACACTAACCAGTTTTTGTCAACAAATATCTTATCCAAATTTTATTTGTTACATTTCTCTGTGTGTATATAACATTAAAGTTTAAATATCTAAACTTATATAAAACTAGATAGTTAAAGATAAGTTAAATTAAAGATTAAAACTTTTAATTTAACATATACACAGGAGTGCTGTGCAGGTTCTTGCAAGTGCGCATTTGTACCAAAAAACCTAAACAAAACAATCTCTTTTATTTGAGAGAATTCATCGTGGCTTGTATTAATTACAGACATAGGAGCATTCATTTTGGAGATTCACATGTTTTTATCAGTCTCTTTAATATCTTATATTAAGATTTATCCTTTTACCACGTGTAACGTAGCTTTTTCGAAATGTAAATTGTTCCTTGCCGACGTATTATTATCAGAGCACCTTAAAATTCTTAATTTTTGTAGCATATTTTTTAATTTCTTTAAAAATAGAGAATTATCTTGTTAGAATTATTTAAATCTACACTTATCCAAATGGAAAGGACAAGAAAATTGCATGCTTTTTGTGGTAGAATTTGGGTAAAAATTGAGGCCATTTTTATTTAAATGCATGTATATCTTTCGAGTTTTATAGAGCAGCAAGATTTAATGGAATGAATTCATCAATCAACAAAAATAATTCCGGCAATTTTGTGCAGCCAAAAGAAATATGCAGTCAATTAATCGTTTCAAGCCATATATCAGGTTATCAACGCCAACAAATAACTTCGATGTAAGACAAACAAGATAACTTCAGCTTTCTCTACGTCAACTTTCCTTATTTAGATACTGGTACATGTAGTATTCCGCCATCACCTGCTTATGGTTTTATATCTCCCAGCTTATTCTCCTATGTAAAAGCTTGCTCTTACTGAGATCAATTTTTAAAACAAGACAGGCCACTCACAGATTTGTAGAGATTTCATTAGCCTCGTTTTAAGTCAGCATTTAAAAATTTATGGATGTTATAATGACCTTGAAAGTAAATACCGGTAGGACCTATCATTGCGTCGGATTTTGACTGACTTGTTTCAATCACTTGTTAGGCCTTTGTTTTGATACAGAATTGACTACGGATATTTCTGTCTACCTAATCAATACAAAGGGCTAGTGCCGGGTGTGTTCAGTCAACAGGGATGCTTGCTCCTCCTAGGCACCTGATCCCACTACTGGAATTTCAAGGGGTCCGTTTTTATGCCCTCTTCTTGGATTTATTTCCAGATCGACAACTGTTCATAATCGTTAAAGGCACAGTCAGTAAAACATTCCAAAATGAAACAGATGTGGCATATTCTCTGGTGTTTTTTTAATATATATTTCAAACTTTAGAATGAAACATATGGAGATAACGAACGGTATTCATATTCAAAAGTCCATAAAACAAAACAAAACAGGAGCAGAGCAAACACGAACTTCTAAAACATCAGAGCCCGGGTGGGATCAGGTGCCATCGAAGAGTGAGCATCCCCTGCAGACCGGTCACACCCACCGTGTGCTCCTTGTCATGATCGGGAAATAACGGGGGAATCAGTCGTCAATTCAATGTATAAATAATGGACTAGCAATGAGTATGAAAAACGTCAGTCATCATTTGATTCAATGATAAATTGTATTTGCTGACAAGGTCATTGTATCGACCATAGATACATGTACTTACGAAATGATGACTTTAAACGAGACAATTGATATCCTTGTTTCATCAAATTGTGTATCAATAATTTACCTCGTTTTAGAAATTGCTCTTACGTTTCGAATCAACTGAGATATATATAAACTCCGTATGCATGCAGGTGATGAAGGTATATTGCTGAATGGATATGATGAACATTTAAAACAAAAATAACATCACATACATGTATATGATATCTCCTGAATTAATATGAAATATGATTATGATTAAAAACTTTAAAGCCAACCTGTTTCATAAAATGTTTTTTAACATGTTGTTTCTTTGTTGCTCTTTATGCGTTTGTTTTGTCGCTGTTGTTAAAAATAAACATAAAAAATTAAAAACGATTCTACGTGGGCATAATTAACAACTAATTGTTAAAATTAAGATATTATTGACTGAGCGCAGGAAAATAAATCTTTGCGTATATCGTTCCTAAATCTCTAATTATTATGATAAAAAAGGCATTTTGGTTGTAAATTATTTTAACTTTATTTGTGTGTCAGAAGGGTTTAAAGGTAATAAATGGAACATGTATTCGGAGAATATTGACGTGAACTACAAAGATATCATCATAAATCACCTTACTCAAAGCAATTTGCAAGTTTAATATTCCTTCTTTTGATGTCATGTTGCGGAAATTCATTCATTTTTATTACACACTAAGAAGTATTTTGGATTATAAATTTTATGTAAGTTGGCATGGGCTGCATGCACGATATCTGACAACTTGCCAGCAAACAGAAGTCTGGAGTTTATTTGGTCAATTTCTCAACTTTTAATTTCAATTTCCTCTTTTCTTCCATATAGGGGTAACATACCAAATGTTTTCTGCAATGTACTAACAACCAAATATCGTCTTATAAAAAATATTTTACTTTTTCTTTTAGAATTGAAATATATATGGAGATAACGAATAGTATTTAAGATCAAAAAACCATAAAACAGTACATAATATGAACGGAGCAAACATGGACCTTCAAAACATCAGCCAACCCGCCGTGTGTGTGATGATCAGAAAGTGCCAATTCAGTGCATTAATAATGGACGAACAATTTGTATGAAAAACGTCATTCAGCATTTGACTCAATGATAAATTTTATTTTGATAAAATGAATTCGTCCATACACTGATTGCTACCGGTATTAATTGAGAGCACTGTCTGAGTCTATACAATTTATCTTAACAAAATTTATTACAGTGCCAATTCTCCTCCCTTCGTTTAGATTAGTACTTTCTCCTATGCTCAATATTTCTCATGTCACCTAGCGCTGGTTCTTGATTTATTCTGTTTACTTTTTTCTCATGTTATAAGTTATGAATCAATAAAGCAAATTTATTTAGATATACATAGTTACATTAACATCTTATGTCTAAGAGAAATTTTCTTTGGATACTTTTTTTTAATTAGCATGCAATTACATGTACTTATAATTTGTACATACATTTCAAGTCTAAGAATGATATACATGTAGTTAAAAAGGATTTCTATAATCAACAAAATATTTTAATGATAAACATAAATTAATGAATTTAAAAAGATAAATCGATTAAAAGTTATCTTCATGTCATTATTATACTCACAAATAATACTTTTCGAAGAAATCTTTTCTTTGGGGACACTGATAAATTCTTCATTTTAATATCTTTAAGAGCAGGTTTTACATTTGAGACAACAATTAAATTTTTTTAATAATCAAACTTTGGCATAATCATTTTAATACATCGGATCAATTACTTGTGTAGTCTACTGAGTAGTCTACAAAACATTAAGTTTTTCAATATGAAATACACTTTTTTTCTCGCAGGTCATAGGGAAAAAAATAAAAAAAAAGGGGTTGAAACATTGATTAGCTTCAAACACATTTTAAAAAATTAAATCAAATGGAAGTAAGGAGCACCTGTAATTATCTTAATGACTTTAAAAAGCCAACCAAAGGCTATAACTTCTAACTCTCTTTAGAGAGTAATTTGAACCACTAGAGTTGATTAGGAAAGTCCTATCCTACTTAGCAATCTACCATAGATGTCAGATTTCTCCGATATATTGGTCCAATCGCGATGAATGGTATACTTTGAGTAGGAGGTAGGCATGAAGTTCATAATAGAAGAACAAAGGCAATATTTGTGCTCAGAATTTCAAAAAGTCTTGACAAATCTAATTATTTTCTCTCCTTTCACAATTCATCCTTATGCCAATGAAAGAAGTTATTAATTTAAAGTTTTGGTCAATAGATATCAAAATGTTTAGATCACCGCTCCAATTATCTGTATATAATGGACATTTACACGTTAACTGAAAAGCACAGTCAAGCGAAACAGCTGAATTGCACAATGTAAATATGCATTCTTATGACAGAGTAAGGAAGAGAAAGAGCGACGTACCCGATGCATACAGTACTCAGCTATGAAAGATTTTCACAGTACTCAGGCAGATTCTCAAAAATAAGAAACTGGTCTAATTTTCATCTGCATAGATATTATTTGCAGGTACATATGAATTCAAAGTATTCAGATCACAATTTATAAAAAAAAAAAAAAAAGAAATGAGTTGAAGCTTTATCAATACCACTGGAATCAAGCAGAGAGAGATAGAGAGCGTAATGAAGAACTATTCGTTATATTTTCTCTTGATCCTCGCATCATATCTTAAATAACTTGCATAATTTTATGTTTTTAAAAAGTTTTTAAGTTGGCCAGTTGTTCTTAAAAAATTTCTCAGATTTTCATAACATAGTTGAAAGTGTGCTAGTTGATAGATATTCATTTCCAACTTGAAAATGACCAAGCACCAAGACTTGGCTCTATATTATAAAAAACAATCCTGAGATGGGTAAATAGTTCTGATAAGTTTTTAAACTTTCTAAAATACGTGTACTTCAACATAAAATATATAAACATTATAAGATCTTTTCGACGATATGGACTCTAAAACGATATACTATGAATCGGGAAAACAATAGAGGAACAGACATGTGGTCCATGTCGACATGCCAATTGTGATCTTATCAAGGAATAAAACAATAATGGTTTTTAACTTAAAATTCAAGACACTCAATGGGTCCAAATGGATGTCTTCATTCAGAAGTGATGACGAGCTGTTCAATTTATAAGTAACTTTATTTTTTAAAATTGGAGAAGTATGGAAATTTGAAATAAATTTGCCTTAAACGCTATAGTTTGAATTTCTTTCTTTACCAAATGGTTCTTGATTATGTTTGTACATGTATCTTTTTTGTGCTTTCTCTGAGTTTCGGTATAATTTTTTCAGGAATTTATTTTTTAGAATGTACATATTCTTACCTGCTTTGAGAGATTGGAAGAGGGAAGATTTGTTACGGAACCAAGAAATCAGGTCCAGACACTCAATATCTGTCCGTTCTTCTACGGGCTTCCCAATCACAGAAACCACTTTTTCATACATAGTATGCATGATGGACTTAGGTAGAGTCTCAAGACAAATAAAATAGTTCTTTTACTCTTTTTCCGCAATATTTTTCTTCTCCAGGTTGCGTAAAACTGCAATCAACCCGAAAAAGAAACAACTATTTCTCTTTTTATGGAATCCGGAAAGCTTGGTAACAGTCGCGAGAATCTATCATCAAGTCATCTTCACCTTCTTTAAAAGCCACTTCAAAAAAATCGATTATGGTACTTAAAAAAATGTAAGTTCACTTGACTTCAAGCATCGTAAAAAACATTTTTGGCAGTTACAACAGTGTCTCCGTTTGGTAAGGTAATCCTAGTATGCCTAGTGACGTCCACGGGGTAAGCTAATATAAACTATGTCGCAAGAACACGAGGCTATCCCCTCCGCCGCTTAGAGGGAATTAAAAGTTCAACATTTCCAATGAAGAAGCAGAAAAGGCAACCCAATATCATAAACAGTATTTAAATCTTAGAGAGGCATATAGGGGTGTATGAACGGATTACACCATGCACGAATGGTTGCTTGCAAGTTTAATCGTACAAACAGTCAATAGAACAAACTATATCATTAAAATCTTGTTTTACAGTTGTATGAGTGCCGCGAATCTGTATTGAAGAAACTGGACTGGCTTATAGCAAGCAATGAAATCGCGATCAATGCAATCTACCCGTTACAATGGAGTACGTAATTACTAATAACATTTTCATCACTTCTCACTTCTTTTCCGGCCCCATTTGTCGTCGGTCGATTTTATTGCCCTCGTATTGACCGTAACTAACCTACTGCTATCACGAAAATCAAAATTACCTCTGTCAAAACTTACGCAAGAGGTCGTAGCCGTTTTATGATTAATGAGGAGTTTTATGGCATTTTTTTAAAAGGCTCACTTTGATAATAGTTATCATTCATGTTAAGTTGGATGGGTGGCCAAAAAAGATCTCTTGAATCAAATAACACGGAATAAAGAAAAGAAAATAACAGGAGATAAAAGTCTGCAACTAGAACGTAATAATTTACTACAATGATCGATCTCATAAAAACGTCAAACAGTAAAATCTGCAATTGGGGCATTGACACAGACCCCCTGGGAATTCCAGAGGTGGGATCAGGTGCCAGGGAGAAGTAACCATCCCCTGGATCGAGCACATGCGCGGTTAGCCATATATATTGAACAAGAAAAACGGAGCATTCCGAAATCAAAACAAAGGGTAATAATAGGTATGAAACAAGTCACCCAAAATACGACCCAGAGTTACATGTAGGATACTTAAGGATACAGTGCGAAAACTTATAGAAACTTATCATCGACAACCATTTCATCGATACGACAACTAAATGAAATGATGAAATATATAGAGATAACGAAAAGTATTCAAGCTCAAAAGTACATAAAACTATTCAAAATTGGAGCAGAGCAAACACGGACCCCCAAAACATCAGAGGTAGGACCAAGTGCCATGAAGGAGTGAGCATCCCCTGTTGACCGGCCACACCCGCCTTGCGGTCCTTGCTATATTCGGAAAACAACGGAAAAATCCGTCGACATTTCAGTGTGCATATGATAGCCTAACAATTAGAAAGAAAAACGACAGTAATAAATTGCATTTGCTGACAAATCATTGTATCTACCATAGAACTTACGAAATGATGGCTTTAAACGAGGCTGCTGATATTCTTGTTTCATCAACTTGTTTGTCAATAATTTACATCGTTTTAGAAATTGTTTATACGTAGAGCATGCTCTTGTGTATCGAATCAACTGAGAGATATAAACCCCGTATGCAGGCGATGAAGGTATATTGCTGCATAAGTAAGGGGAGTTGACGATTGAAGACTTCAAGTCATCGCGTTTAAGCTTGGTTGTTAGATTACCATTACCCTCTTTTTCAAGTAAAATATCAAAATATGAAACACATGTGTCAGATTCTGTGGTTTCTTTTATTTCAGCTCTCCGGGATATATATCGTACGGACATAAGAATGGAAATAAACCATTATTAAATGACAATACGTCGTCGATATATCGATATACTAGTATATGAAATACCTTTTCCCTAATTTTTGTACATTTTTTTTCCATTGACTGAACTGGAAATGACAATCAACTTAAAACCAGATGATAAACAAACTTTTCTTAAGATATTTGAAAATAACAATTTGTGTCATGCTTATATGAAGAAAAATGAACAAAACGCTGAACATTTAAACGCTTAGCTTTAAATTTTCAATCAAAATTTCACAATAATGGGATTTGAAATGACAATTGTACAGATAAATAAGATTTCGGTAGAACTTTGAACATCATAGAAGGTTTACAATTTCTTAATATTTGAGAAATTTATTGTGTGCCTCATTTGTATCAAAATAGGCCCAAAAATATATACTAATTCAGGAATTTTTTTTCTTTGCATCATCTGTCCTTAAAACCCAGAGGGAAACCCGTCAAGCAGCATTTTGGAACTCAATTCAGTGGGTAGAGCGTCTGCTCTAGAGTCGCGAAGTAAGGAGTGGATCCTTACGTCGCGGGTTCGAATACAACTGTGGGACGTGGAGACCGGTCCTTCGGATGAGACCGTATAAACCGAGGTCCCGTGTCGCAGTAGGGTAGGTACGAAATAGATCCCTCCCTGCTCAATGACCCTAAGTGCCGAGTATATGACAAAATTTGCAGCTCTCTACTGGCAAGTGGTGACGTCTCCATATGAGTGAAAAAATCTTGAGAGGGACGTTAAATAATATATGTACAATCAATCAATCATGACGCAGAAACTCTACACTGGAATTTGATATCTCTTTTATTCCTTCTAAGACTTTAAGACAATTTGAAAGCAAGCAATTCAATTAGGAAACGATTCTATCCAAGACAGGTACATGTATGTACATTGTGTATTAACTAAGGTCTAAATATATAATGTAAGCTAAATATGACTATTGGTGTCTCTACATCGTCTTAGGCTCTAGAATTGTGACTCAGCTAGAAAGTACGTGTAGCTCTTCAGAATAGCATTGCTGAAAAAAAATATTATCAAGCAAAAATAAATTTGTGACGAATCTGAACCAACTGGGATTATTGTAACCGTTGCTGATAACACAATATTGAATATTTTATTGGGTCGCTATGCGAAATCAAACCCATTATCAAACATAAAAGCACTCAAGATTTCATTTTATGGCTGAAAAAAGGGGTCACATAACTAGTTGTGTTCAACTAAGGCCCTGTTTTATAAAAGAAATAGCGATAAAATCTTCAAATGTTACGTAGTTTTAAAATCTCATCATTTAAATAATTCTGTGAAATAATACTAATATACAATTACATAACGGAATTATGCTTTTTCACATTAAAATAACAATTTAATCTTAATTGCAACAGTAGATTTGGGTCTTAATCGAAAGGTCTTTTCTTCAACGTGACAGACCGCCCCACGAGGTCCAGCATATAATTGCTTTCTCGGTCATTTGACAAACATTATTTTAATTAACCAAGCATGAGAAAAAAATGAGATAATGAAACCAATTATTTTGTTTTCGTTCTTAAAACTGTGGCAAGTACGTCAATTGCTGCTATGCAAGAAGGCTGGTCGCATAACAAAACGATATTCTTAAAGAGGTTAGTGAAAAGAAATGAGCCATGGACCAAAATAGTAAACATAAAATGATTTTTAAAAAGTATTATTAAAAATATTTCATAAAGAACGTTTATCAATGCAATTGATCAAACAACATTTTGATTATTACAAATTTCACAAATATACCGTTTTTTAGACAATTGCGCGTTCTTAAAAGGAAAACCCTACCAAAAAATACTTAAGTAAATTATAGTTTATTGTATATTACTATAATAAACTATTAATTATAGTTTACTATAATTAGCTATAGTAAACCAGATTTCCAAAGTTTTTACTATATAGTAAATTAGAGTTCCAAAATTTTAGCAATAGTTAATCAAAGTTTCAAAGTGTTTACTATAGTAAATTAGAGTTTCAAAGTTTTCACTGTAGTATTAAAATCAAAGTTACAAATTTAAGATACGAGGGCTGTTCAATAAATAATGTCCCGAACTGTATGACATACAATACAGATATCATATGACATTAAGCTTGACTTTCTCTCATTATTGAATCTTTAATGAATTTATCACAGTTTATGTGACCACTTTTCATCACATAGTTCCATTGTGAGAAGCTGGAAAACAAGGGCTATTCTAGACATTGCATTATAAATGAATGATAAAGAATCAGTAAACTAGAGTGAAAATAAAAGCTTCATTAAAACTGCTGTAAAACTTGTTAAAAATCCCAAAGATTGATTGATTGTATATTGTTTAACGTCCCTCTCGAGAATTTTTCACTCATATGGAGAGTTCACTGTATGCCGGTGAAGGGCTTCAAATTTTGACCTTTACTCGGCACTCTGGGCCATTGAGCAGTGAGGGATCTTTATCGTGCCAACTCCTGCCGCTGACACGGGGCCTCGGTTTTTAAGGTCTCATCCGAAGGACCCGCAACTTTCACTTCAAAGTGCCGAGCGCATGGCGATGGAACAGTTGCTACCCATTTTTTTTTTATCGACTTAGGTCAGTCGCGGCCGAGATTCTAACTCACGACCTCCCGATCAGGGAGCGAGCGCTCTACCGACTGAGCTACCGTGAACGATCCCAAAGAATTATTCACTGAAATATGTTTAATTTACAGCAACCAATGCCTGTTTTATAGACAGATGAGCAGGTGGATTTCAATGATAAAAAATTATATAATGGGCATCAAAAATGGGAACCGTCGTTGCCAACAAAAAATTATAAGAACTTATGCACTGTTTGCCAAATTTCAACAAATAATATTTGAGGATGTATGATTGACTTTAAGACACATAGCAAATTTGATAGACATCATTTCGGGAGTAGTTTACACTGTTTTTAAGAAACGTTTGACGGTAAAAAAAAAAAAAAAAGCTTAGTACTCAAATGTCACCCTATATTTTGAAAAATGAGTGAAAACGACAGCGTGTACGAATGTCATAACAATTATTTTTAAATATCAGTAATTGTAGTTACTAGTATCCACGTTTGTTTGATATTCAAACAGATAATGGAACTCCAATCTATTGCTTAAAACCCTCAAAACAAAATTTACCATAAGATGTACTTGATAAAAACAGCGAGGGTCTGACAAGAGCAAAGAATTGCAAGAGCACAAAGTTAGATTTATACGCAATTTTCTTAAATATTAGTGGTATTGTTGTTCAAATTCGTATTCGGGGAGACTGTTTAATTTCTGGAGGGGTCTAGAAAGCAAATTTTTTGCAAAAAAATCGAAAGGTTTATTAGAGGAAGGACTTAGAATCAGGAATCCACTACATTAAATTTCTTCATGACAGCGTCCAAACCCGCAAGCCCGGGAAAGTAAAGGGGTTTTCGGGATAAACAGAAAGTTAATGTTTTACACTTTAACAATATTCGCCAGATCTTTAACCTTTTGACTTGTTTCTATTTCCAAACTTGAAAAAAACACCTTTCAGAAGGAAGAAACAAGTCTAGAAAATCATTAGATCTGCCATTTTCCAGTATACTAAGGGTCCTACACAAAAATGAGTTCTAAATGCAATCAGAAATTTGATAAAAAAAAATGTTTTGAATAAAAGAGATTAATAAGTTAAATCATGAAGACTAAATCATTGAAAAGCGTCTTTTCCTTCTTTACGAGCACCGAGGACATTATTTATTGAACAGCTCTCGTATTACTATGTAGTAAATCAAAGTTCCAAAGTTTTCACTATAGCTATTCAAAGTTCCTAAATTTTCACTCTAGTTAATCAAAGTTCCCAAGTTTTCACTCAAGTAGATTAAAGTTCCAAAGTTTTCACTATAGTTAATCAAAGTTCCAAAGTTTTTACTTTAGTAGATCAAAGTTTTAAAGTTTTTACTTTAGTAAATCAAAGTTTCAAGGTTATTTTTTTCTTTATTTTAACAACCTATGTATTTTTGTATAATTTTTTGATTATTTAGCCGTTTTTTAAAGGGTGGATATGGGGTTAGCTGGGGCTAGTTTTTGCTGTACATCTTGATTCATTCATGCTAAGTAGTTTGCTCAAAAGCAATGTTTTCATATTAAAATTTTTAAAAAAGTTAACTGAAGTTCATGAATTCAAGCAGATATTTTGTTCTAGAAGATGCAAATTTTATTTCATAGTATATTAAAAAAAGTTAACTGAAGTTCATGAATTCAAGCAGATATTTTGTTCTAGAAGATGCAAATTTTATTTCATAGTATATTATTTTTTCTGCATACATAAGACTTATGTTACATCTACAAAACATTAAAATTAATGAAGGATATGGAGATTACGAACAGTATTCAATATCAAAGTCCATAAAACAATACAAAATAGGAGCAGAGCAAACACGGACCTTCAAATTATCAGAGGTGGGATCAGGTGTCATGGAGGATTAAGCATCCCCTGCCGACCGGTCACACCCGCCCTGTGCTCCTTGTCATGATCGGAAAATAACGGGAAAATCCGTCGTCAATTTAGTGTATGAATAATTCACTAACAATTGGTATCCGGATTCCATAGAAAACCGTCAGTCAGCATTTGACTCAATGATAAATTGTATCTGCTGACAAGGTCATCGTATCGACCATAAAACTTATGAAATGATGACTTTAAACGAGACTGCTGATAATCTTGTTTCATCAACTTGTTTGTCAATAATTTACCTCGTTTCAGAAATTGTTCATACGTAGAGCATGCTCTTGCGTATCGAATCAACGGAGATATATAACTCCGTACGCAGATGATGAAGGAATATTGCTGCATAAGTAAGGGAAGTTGACGATAGAAAAATTTAAGTCATCACGTTGATCATAGAGCTCCGTTGTTAGACTGCCACTCACGTCTTTTCAAGTAAAATATCCAAGTATGAAACAGATGTCTCAAGCTTTCAAGGATATACATGTGTATAGTATGGACATAGGAATAGAAATTACCATTGTTAATTGACAATACGTCGTCGATATATCTAAATGTTGAGTTGAAGGTCACAGCAAGTGTTTCTTCCTATCACGCATAAGATTTTGCACAAATTTTGCTTCATATGAATACAAAAATAAGTCTGCTAATACGGATCCCAATTGGAACCCGTGGGAATTCCAACAGATTGTTGGAAGACCTGGTCTCCAAAAACAACACAGATATTGTCAATTAGAAACTCAAGCATCTTTTTGATGTCAACTTCAGAGTACTTGTGTGTGTAATCAGAATGTGTTTTAACCAAGTAATTTTGCAAATGACCAAGTAAGTAAATTTACGAGTTCCATTTTTATTGAAAAAGTAGCTGTCAATGATATCAAAAAGCCTGGACTTAAATTTATCATGCTGAATAGTTGTATATAAAGTTGAAAAGTCGTATGTTGTTAAGCTGTTGATTTGGTAAAATCTTATGATTTCAAATTGTCCAAAAGTTCTTTGGAATTTTTTAGTAGCCATATCTGATTCACACCACTTCTTGAATATATTGTTGCACATTACTCTTCAAGTTTTTCCTTCATTAATGTCAATATTTTAGTGAGGAGTATAGAAAGAGGCTTGGTTGAACATTTACTAAAACCCTCAATGTATCTTTGTTTGTAAGGATTCTTTTGAAGTTTCGGAATCCAATACATGTATATATGTCAGTGGTAGTTCAAATTCATTTTGGTTCTTCCGGATATTAAAAATGTTCAAAACTGACATATGATTTTGAAGAATTTCTTCCTTAGAAAGGAAACTGTGAGTATAAGTTGGATTAAAAACGAATGGTAAAGAATCAGTAAACTAGAGTACCAAAGAAATATTCGCTGAAATATGTGAAATTAACAGTAACCAATTTCTGTTTTATAGACACGTGATCAGGTGGATTTCAATTAACAAACATGATATAATGGGCTTCAAAAATGGGTACCTTTCTTGGTGACAAGGATTTACAACAACCATGCAATGTACTGTTTGCCAAAATTCAACAAATTATTACTGATGATATTCGACACATAGCAAAACTGATAGACATGATTTTGGGGGTAGTTTACACTGTTTTGAAGAAACATTTGACAGTAAAAAAAAAAAAAACAACTTAGTACTCAATGGTCACCCTGTGTTTTGAAAAATGAGTGAAAACGACAGCGTATAAGGACATCTAAACAAATTAATTTAAAATTGCAAACTTTACTATAAGATGCACTTGACGAAAACAGCCATGGTCTGAGAAGAGCAAAGAACTGCAAAAGGATAAAAAGTTTTGTATGCCATTTTCTTAACTATTAGTGGTCTTGTTGTTCAAATTCTTATTCGGGGAGGCAATTCAACTTCTGGAGATTAGTCTAGAAAGCAAATTTTTGGCAAAAAAAAAAAAAAATTCATAGATTTATGAGATAATGGAACTAGAATCAGGAATCAACTACATTAAATTTCTTCATGGCAGCGTCCAAACCCACAAGCCATGAAGAGTTAAGGAGTTTTGGGGGGAAAACAGAAAGTTAATGTTGTGTCAAACCAACAAATTTTGCCAGATCTTTCACCCTTCTACTTTGTCTATTGTGAAATTCATGTCCCAAAGGTAAGATTTCTGCAACCCTCCCCCCCCCCCTCACTCAGTTGGGCTATATATAAATATATGTTTAGTCATGAAAGGCGTAATAAAGCTTATTAGAAAGGCGTAATAACGCCTTTTGGAATGGAAAGGTGTAATAGAAAGGCGTAATAACGCCTTTTGGAATGGAAAGGCGTAATAACGCATTTTAGAAAGTCGTAATAATGCCTTTTGGAGAGGCGTAATAATGCCTTTTGGAATGGAAAGGCGCCGTTTCAAAAGGCGTTATAACGCTTTTTTCACGTTATTACGCCTTTTCGAAAGGCATTATAACGTCTTTTAAATTTTTTTCTCTCTAGACTGATCCTAATAGGCTTTCGTACGATCTATATAGATTATATGCAAACGGACAAATTACAGAGGAAGAGCAATTCCCATACAGTAAAAAACGAATAGATCAATGTATGACCTGCTGTTTTAGTTGCGCATGCGCATCGGTTGAAGAAGACGCCATTTTATCAAGGAAAGCAAGGTATTTATTGGATTTGACATTTTTGCATATAGCAAGTGTCTTTTGTAAATTAATAATAGTATTTTTCCGTTAAACAAACAATAAAACATTTTAAAACTAAAAGTGACAGGAGGGTTGTTGAGAATTTTGCATTAAATTTAACACAGATGGTCAAGAAAATTAAACAACTTTCGTTTTCTATGCAATCTTTCAAGTACATAGTGACAGTCATACTGTTTTATCAGTATTACAAAATACATGCATTCCTTAAATGCTTCTGACTAAAAAAGTGTCAATTTTTTGTCTGTAAAATTGTTCTGACGTCATTTTGTAGATGCCAGCGGCAGAGGCAGATAGACCTGGGAAAGTATTTGTGGGCGGATTAGCAAGTGACATAGACGAGGCCGTGTTAGAGAAGTACTTCAGTCACTATGGAAGACTTACAGAAGGTAGCTACCTGACTGAAACCATTTGATTTGAAGGGACACCGTTTGCTTTGTTACATGTTGCAATGCACACCTCTCAATCCACCATTTTTTCTTAAATTCAGATCTCTTCAATCACTAGATTTATTTACGTACCTTAAATTACCTGCATAGCTTTATTTACCTCACACCTGTCAACTCTCCCGAATTTATCGGGAGTCTACCGATTTTTAACCATCCCTACCGACTGTCTACCGAATTTTTTTTAAACTGCCATTTCTACCGATTTTGAAAAAAATCCGGATTTTTTACCTACTTTGGTTCGTAAAATACCGACTAGTCAACACAAAAATGGAGGTCATGCAGTGTTTATCGGTAGCTAATCTGTTTATTGCCACTGATAACAGGTAATCAACAAGGTGTCAACTGTGCTAGCAGATGTAATTGCAGTTGTAATTGCTCCTTATTCTCATTAAAAGTGTATATTATCAAAGACAGAGATGCCAGATGTGAAAATTTTTACAGAACATGACGGTAAATAACGATATGGAAGTACTTGTTACGTTGCTGCAAATAAGTTTACAAGAGCTTAAGACAAAACTATTTCTCCATAAACAATACAGTGATCAGGAAAGATTTAGCTACAGTACTATATCATTAATTTAACAAGGAGAAGGAACAATTTCATGGAAGCTAATTTAAATGAAGAGTCTGAAGATTTCCCCACAGATTTTGAGATTCAATGTCTTAGTAAATCCTGCATCAACATCAGCATATAACAGCCCCTGAAACTACAGAGCAACAAGACAGTGTCTTTAGAAGACTTCTTTAAATTTACAAAGCTAAACAGGGTAATACATTTCTAAATTAAAATTAGCACATTAGAACATTACAAAATAAAGTATTAATATGTTTAAAAATTCTGATATATGTTATGAGATTAAAAGAAAAAAATACAGGGTCCATGTATTTCATTCATACTAGATTACATATTATTTTAAGAATATAAGCATGAGGTTTTGACAATTATTTCAATTTCAGATCTTTAAATCCATGACACAACTCATGTTCCTTAGACCTAGTGAGAAAAATCCATTCATACATCTGTTAAAAGCTGGAAACTCAGACTGTCTGCAGAACCTTATTAATTTTTCTAATTGCCAAGTTAAACTACAACATTTGCCATGAATATTAAATAGATGATGCTCTTATGGACAGGCAGAATAGCTAGATAGTGAACATAAATTTTTATAACTTCAAAATTAAATCACATTGTACAAGTTTCTAAACAGTGTATGAATAAACAGTAAATTTTATGAATTAATGATAATGTTATTTATGTTAATATCAATAATAAAGTTTTATCTGGTAAGTTGTTTATTTTTGTTCTATAAAACAGTGAAATGCGCGACTTTTTGTATTTGCAAAAGGTCGTCGCGCATTTTCTCCCCCGAAAAATTTTGGCCATGTTGACAGGTATGTTACTTACCTCAGATAGCTTTATTTAGCTACCAAATTAAACATATTTCTCAAATGAATTATCATTTTTCTCAGGATGTGTAGAAAATCAAGCGTTGATCATGTGGGTATTGGGTTCATTCGCTCGATCTACCTGTTCGTGGGAGTCCATTTGCGCAGAGTCTGTTCGCCCAATATCATGTTCATCCTGTGCGGAATGTCAGACTGCTCGGCCCAAAGACACCTCGGTCCAAGGATACCTCGGCCCATTGACACCTCGGCTCCGACGGCTCGGCCCAAATTTGCAGACACCTCGGCTCACATAAAAGACACCTCGGCCCAAATAGAAATATAATATTTTAGTTAAATATATTTATTATTTATGCTATTATATATCTATGAAATGCAGAAGAAAATTAATTTGATACATTTGCAATCTTTCAAGACGGCAAATTGACGGTAATTAAAGAAAGAAAATCCATTAGTAACTTGATCATAAGTGCTAATCATTAAACAAACAAGAAGACGCCGTGCATCCTTTTGGAGTCTCGAGCGCGTGTCATATGGGGTGGTGACGATGAGGAGTTAATTACGAGAAGCCATAATTGGGAGACTTACTCATGTTAATGAAAAGTTTCTTTAAGAAACCCTTGTTGATATTTTATTAAATTGATTTGAAAAAAAATAGGCCTATGAGTTTTTAAAATTAAGCAGTAAAATATATATATATAAAATAAACAATTTAAATCAATAAATCTTGAAAACCAGGGCATAAATTTCTTTGTAGACCTATTACATCTACCTCCCAATCAACGGATTGTAATTTGATGTTGTGCTGTGGTTTGTTAGAAAATACTGAAATATTGAAATTATCGTATATTTATAGTATACGTATAGTGATTAAATATACATAGTACATTACATTACCGTGGCATAGAAAGTAAAAAAAAAAATGATTTAAGGGGAAACAGGGAACATGTCACATGACTAAAAAGACATATTACGTCATAATCGGTGATGATATACATGTTAAACGTTGTTAAAATCAACAGTTCTTGTGTAATATTATTCTAAATTCTAAAATTGTTTTTTAAACATTTAATTTTAGAAATTATTATTCATAAAATTTTTAAAGATCTTGCCATCATTTAGATATTATGAAGTTGCCCAATCCACACATTTGTTTCTCTTTACCCTGCAGTTTGACGTCAGTGACGTCATAGACGTAGTGTTTGAATTTTCAGTGCAACGAGATCAAGTACACACATCCGTCATAATCTTTTATTTCATAATAAACAGGTGACAGTCAATGTTTCGTGATAAATTTCTGAAGCAGATTTTTTTAAATTAATATTTTTTCGCGTTTAGTAGCAGAGATTCTCTCTATTTAGATAATTTTGAATGTTTATGTTTTCGTGTGACGTCACAATTGATTTCCCGCACTCGGAAAATACAAACATGAAGCGTTTTTATCATGCTTACGTCTAATTCAACGATGTCCTGTGCGATATTGAGTTAAGCTTCACCTTGTGATATTTATGCAGTAAATAATTACGATGAAGGACTGATATTCAAACGTAAATTTAGAAATATTTACTGACAGATTTTTTTCCAAACGAGGTTTTTGTCGTTGAAGCTGCCTTGAAAAATGCAGAAATTATCCCATCCAAATACTACATAAAATGAAAACAATTATTATCAGATAATTTAAACCGTATGAATATTTTGAAATATTTGAGTATTTAGTATTATCCATAATATTTATCGTTTGTGCGTAAAAATTCGCATGATGGACTCCGTTATGGGCCCGTAAACATGAAGTATCTAAACTCCATACAAACTCTACACAGGGTGGTATTTGTGGGGCGATATCTTTTAAATAAGTCAAGAAATCCCATTACAGGACCGTTTTAAAATGTTAAGTTCATATTAAATTAGTAATATAAAAAATACGAAAAAAATTCATTGACAGGAATTTTTTCAGCTAAAGGTCCTGTTCCTCCTTAAACAAACTAAATTTAATTTTATTCCTAACGGGCCGAGCAGTCTTCGGTATGGGCCGAGGTGTCAATGATTTTGAGCCGACCTGTCAGGGCCGAGGTGTCAACCAGCACGGGCCGAGGTGTCGTTGGGCCGAGTAGTCTGTCTACCATCCTATATGTGGTTAGCTCAATACTTATATATACTTGTATATATATAAACTCATATGAATTAAAAAATAACATAATTTTTTTTCCATTTATTTCCTTTACAGACTTGAGATATTTTTTCTCAAATTCTGATATGAGGAACATTGTTTATTTAGTCTTAATTTATTTTTGATTTGATTCTAATGTTTTTGAATTACTTAGTGTTTGCACTATAGTTAACTAGATGATTAATATCATTGTTAATTAGGGGGATACATCAGTGTTATTTATATGAATTGCGCTATGTTTTGTAAACAATTAAAGGACTGAGTCGTAAATGACGTATATTAATTAAACAATTTCTTCTATGTCATATTTCACCAAAATATATCATTTTGCCCTGCAAAAGAGTAGTACCGCTGTTATCGTTATCGTGAAAGGGTCTATATGCATAATATCTGATGGTCTGTTTTATTTCAGATGTACGCAAAATGTAGAAAGAAATTCGTTAGGGCGAACAGACCCTTTGCGAACAAGTGTTAGGGCGAGCAGACTTAGGTGAACGGGAAATCAGACGAACAAGTTTAAGGGCGAATAAACATTGAACCGATCACGTGATAATGTGTAACTTTTAACTCTCTGAAAACAATTAAAATTCATTAAAAAAATCAATCTTGAAGATGTGTCTTCTTCTATGCAATTGCATACAAAGTTTCAAAAGTTTTGGGGCTAAATACAACTGTTTTACAGTTAATACATGACTGAACAGTTACTTCTTGATTGAAAATAACAAAGAAGACCAGTTCTGGTAATCACGATAATGGATTGGTAATTATTCAACACAATGTGAAGTAATCATAATTATCCACACCTCACTGCACACAAGGTGGAGTTCAGTTACTGAAGCAATAGAAATACATATTTTACTTAACAGTGTTCTAATGCAGCAAAGTATTAACATCTCTGCTTTAGATTGCTTTTTAAACATCCCTAATATAAATATTAATCATCATGTACTTGCGAGTTTTTTGACTTTATTAAACGAAAAGCAAAATTGTGAAAAATTTTATGGAAATTCTAAAAAAGCTTAAAAAAAAAAAAAAAACAGGTGTAGGTAAATAAAGCTTTGGAAGATAATTCTACTTATGTAGCTAAATGGACTGTTTGTACTCGGCCTGATATTGCAATAAAAATTAGATAATTATCGATTATATAATAATTTTCATTTTAGTGTAGACTTTTGCACACTATTTGAGATTTCTTTATTCAGGGTTTGAAATTAACAGTCGCCCACTCGCAATTTGCTACCAATATCCTTTGTGGGCGACTTGAAATTACTTTCAAGTAGCCCACATGGCGATTAGAAAATTTACGATAATTAAAAATATTTGTTTTCCAATTTTGTCCGAATGTTCCGTATTTTTCTCTTGAAAAATTTCATAATCAGTAAAGTGCTTTATATTTGCCAGTGAGAAATACATAAAGCATCTGAGTGATTGTTACGGACACAATGTGGCATCGACGCGTCAATGAGCCCAACAAACCAAAAAGTATCTTTGTTGTTTCTGTGAAAAAATGTGCCATGTGCTTGAATATATGATGTTTAAATAACCATGTAGCTTTTTAAACAAAAGAGCTTCAAATTTAGATAAGCCATGCATAATGTTTCTTCGGATAGAAAAGAAACATGAAGCATATGATAAAAAAAAAATAACGAAAAATGGGGTTGTATTTTTTTTCAATAGAAGGTGTGATAATTTGTGGGCGAATAAATTTTTATGTGGGCCCCAAAATTGCAAGGTTTAGTAGCCCACATGGCGATCAAGGATTACAAGTTAGTTTAAAACCCTGATTTATTATACATGTAAATTTTTTCATGGGGCCTAAAATAAAATATTATTTGTTTGCAGTTTCCTACTGACCCACTGAAAATGCACCTGACCCCAACTTTTTTTTTAGCCATTTTGTAATTTTTTTTTTTTTCAATATTTTCAGGATACTGTATTGAAAGTGTTTCATTGTCAATTTTTGTCTTTATCAATTTAGTAGTTTATACCAAGAATGGAGCTTATTCATGTATAGTAGGCCTATGAAAAACTTTATTTTAATATGTTATCTAACAAAAATCTGAAAACAATTTTTTTTCACAAAAAAAAAAAGAATGCCAACCTACCTACCCTGTCTAAAAATTATAGGTCGGCAACTGCAAACAAAGAATTTTTTAAGCGTAGCCTGGTACAATTTTTTTTAGATAGTACATGACAAAGATAAGAAATTTTGCTTTAAAATTTTAAAGCAAAATTGTATTTTTAAATATTTATAATTAATTTTCTTTATTTTAATGATAATTTTTAAATTATTTGTAGTTATAGTCAAGAGAGACAAAAACACACATCAAACTAGAGGATATGCTTTTATCACTTTTGAAAACCCATATGATGCTGATGATGCCATTAAAGAAATGGACAAAAAGGTTTGTTGTTTTGTTTGTTGTCATTTCTTTTAAATTTTAGACTTGGAGATTCTTCTATCCTAATTTCGAAGTGGAACAGGTCCATTCCCAATACCAAAGTCCTTTGTAGACCATATTTGCTTGGATGATGTATCTAGAAATGCACACTATCAGAAATCCTTCAAATTTCAAATGCTGCATTTGACCTACTAGTATTAGATCCAGCAATACAGTTTGTTTTGTATACACACGTAACTAAAACCACAAATTGTACAAAAAATAGACATTCTAGCTGAACTGTTATAGAAAAATCCATGCAAATGAAAAATATTGACAATAAAGTTAGTACAAAATATGTAATGTCTTCTTACTGCAATACCACATTGTTTTGATTGAAGATTATCATACCATGGATGTATTATTTGCAGTAGAAATTCCCAGATGTGACAAAATGTAGAGTGAAATCTAACTTGTTTATTTTAAAAAGACATATTTTTAAAAAAATTGTACCCTTTTTTTACATCAACTAGAACTGTGCTCATTTGATGAAACTTTTGAAAATTAATGAAATTTTTAAACATGTTGTGACTTCATTCTTAAAAACATTTTGTGAGCACCACAAAAAATTGTCATCAGTGTAAAGCAACAAAATTATATGCTGTTTTTATAGGAAATTCATGGTAGACAGATTTATGTTGAACAAGCTGTAAAACCAAGACATGAAATACAAAACCAGCGACCACCCCCCAGAGGTGGTAGTTTTCGGGGGGCACCACGAGGTAGTCGAGGAGGTGGCGGATCAGGACGTGGTGGGGGTGGTAGTCGAGGTGCACCGCGAGGCAGAGGAGATGGAAGCATGGACATGAGGAGGTTAGTGTCTTTATAACTCTACACAAAACAAGACAAAGGGCATTAAATACCTTATACTTAACTTGTGTTCAACCTTTAACAGTGTTTTAAGGTCTCAAGCCTGTAAATGTTGTGATTTTAATTTATGGAAATTGTTTATGATTTAACAAAAGGAAAAAAGCAGGAGTTATGATTCGTATCTTGGCATGGTTTTTGCTTTCATTGGCAAATTAATGACATGCTTTGAGATCAAATTACAGAGACAGACTTGTAAAGGGGGCAGAGAGTTGTTTTATTTTTTAGATATCGAACAATATATTCAAGAGTTACACAGAAGATTTTTAGTTAAAATGTAATTTATATATGTAGTAGGTCGCCAATTCGACAAAGGCCAGAGCGAGGGAGATCAGACAGAGATTTTGGTCGGCCAGACAGAGGCGCCCCGCCCCCTAGAAGGGATGGGTATGATGGGCCACCAAGGAGAGGTATGTTATAATATCCGTATTTTGATTGGTTATTTAAGATTTATGTGGAAATGTTTTAGCCTGACATGACTTGATGTTAAAACTAGGGAGAAATGCTACTCTGTGACAACTAAGCCTTACATGGCATATAGTGGTCGTTGTATTTTAATCTTGAGGCAACTATACTGGGTTGGTTATATTGCAGTTTCAGATGGGAAAAAATGTGCTTGAGTAGGAGAGGGGCTGTGAAATAAGGTTATTTATACCATAATATGTTTTAACAATCATTCAATAGTAATAAATAGTGTTGGCAAATCGGACAATTTTTAGTAACCGGTTACTCGCTTCATCTTCCGATCAAGTACCCGGTTACTCGGATGATTTTAGGTAAAAGTATCAATATCTTTTATTTATCTCATGATTTACTTATAGGTAGTAGTAATACACAAATATACTGTATATAGACATTATGATTACAATGCACACATGCAATATTGTCACTGATTTGATTTTAGATTAAAGAAAATAAGAAATTCGACACACAAAGAAGACAAATAAAGACATCGTCAATCACTGTCTCACAATAGCTTTCCTTTTCAGTCCCCGAAATATGTCGCTATCAAGGAGAATAATAATTATCTACATACTCCGTAATTAATACTTAATTTATTGAGATTTTGAATCAACTGTTCTTTCTTACAGTTACACTGCAAGCTTAATTTGTCTGAGGCGGCATCTCATTAAATTATCAAATGAGGTAATCATAACTCAGGCCTTCAAAAGTTGTATACCCCCAAGCAATCAAAGCTATTATATAAACTGTGAAAACTAATCAAAACAATTTGATCCACTACAACCATGTATTAGATCAAGACTAACGGTACCTAAAATTAGGGAAATGTGTAAGTATATACATTTATAAATTATAAAACAATCATTTTATATGCATTTACTTTGTTGGTTTTTTTCATGCGAGTAACCAAATAGCAGTTTTACTAACCGATACTCGCATCATTCGACAGTTAACTGGATACTCGTTGCCAACACTATAGTAATAAATCATTCCCACAAAGAGACAAAAGGTTAATTGATCAACTCATATGGAAGATGGAAACTAACATAAAACAGTAAAACATAGCAATAGAAAAACACAAGGGTATTCAGAAATAGATCTTCTTGTTTAAATCTTTGAAGAAATCTTCAAATGAGGCAAAATAAATTAACAATTTGATAATGAAAAATTTCATAATTAGGTGATACTGTAAAAATATTACATTTGGCTGTGGATTCTTTTTAGTGGTTTTGGCAGAGAGAGACTTTCTTTAATTCAAGTACAGTGCTATATGCACATATATACTGTGAAATCACTAATTTTTGTGGGGGTTAAGTTTTGTTGTTTTCGAGGTATTGAGCATGTTGAGAGACTCACGAATTTATGACCACCACGAAATGTAAATTTCAATTGCATTACTTACTAAACATTCTCCAACCACAAAATCAAATCCCCACAAACCATTTTTCCCCCTCTAACCTTGAAAATTTGACCCCACGATAATATGTGATTTTACAGAACATAGAAAGGACCGTTAAGAGATGTGCTAAATCAAATATACGTTAACTTGTTCAAAAATATTTTTTTCCACCAATATCACACTAAATATAAAACATTTAGAGGTATAATTTTAAAGATTAAGGCTGCATATTGTAGGGTGGGTATAATGGGTAGACTCTTTCCTGACCTTTATAGACTGACACACTGTTCTCCAACTTGAAAAAAAAACACTTCTGGAAGAGCTTTTATAGCTCACATAATTAGAATTTTCTTTCCAGATTTGATCAATGAATTTGAACATCATCAAATGTTAGATGAAGAGAAACCCTGGATCACTCCAGATTTAGTGTTACTTGTTAGACAGAAAGATGAAATGCAAGAATGGGCAAATAAATGTCCATCTCTATTGGCTGAATACAGAAAATTTCGTAATCATGTAAGAATGAAAATTAGAAAAGCAAAAGTAGAGTACGAAGATCCAACAGGTGAGAAAAGGGATGCAGGTTTCAAAGAGAGAATGCTGAAAAAGGGTTTTACTCCAGAAGAAATTGAGAAAAGGAGAAACAGTTCAAATAGGCCAGAAACTCATCATGGTGGGAAAAAATATGAGCCCCCAATTATGTACCCGGGAAATTTAGCGACTGCAACTACGACATTGCAAGTTGGCGGTCCTTCTGAGACATTGTCTGTCACTCATGACCCAGAGGCAAAGCAACAAAAGGCCAAATTTGTAAACTTAATGTCAAAACAGAGCAAAACTGTTTACGAAACTTATCAAAAGAAAAATATAACACAGGGAAACTGGTCAGAAAATCAAGCAAACCCTAATCAAAATGTCAATCAGGGTTGGTATGGTCAAAATTCTGCATCAACTTCCCAACATTCGAGTACAAATGTTCAGCCTGTAAATTACACACATTCACAACAAGGATTTTCACAGGTTAATACTTCATATAACTGGCCAAGTAATACAAATCAGCAACAACAGGGGGGTTCTACAACAGGGCCTCAGGGATACACTTGGTCTTCAAATTACAGCTACACAACTACCGACAATGATCCTACAGCAAATCAGAACGTCACAACAGAGGAAACCCCACAAAATCCCTGGCAACAAGCCATGGCTGATTATTGGCAGAAATCATCTGCGACATCTAGTTCTGAAGCACCTGTAGAAACAGCTGGTTTTACTCAGACGTCTGTAAGCCAAACTGTGCAATACACAACTCAGCAATTTACAAGTCAGACCCAGTCATCATCAGGTCAGAGCCTTAACACTATAAGCCAAACTCAAACTCAAAGTTTTAACACTGAGAGCCATACTCAAACTCAAAATCCTCAATCTCAGTCCTCAATTATGAATCGTCTTAATGAAATGGCTTATGGAGCTCAGCCTGTGGCAAACCCAGAAATCCAGGGACCTGTAAAAGATAAAGTGAAAAACACCGCAAAAAAAACAATGATATCAAATACTGGAAAAGCAAAGCAAGCATTTAATGTGAAGCCGTTTAAGCCACCAGTTCAATATTTCACAGGAGTTGCAAAAAATAAAAACAAAATTCAGATTCACATCAATCAGAAATTTTCATTAGGAGGAGAACCCCAAGTCAAAAAAGACGGTAATACTGGGACAGAAAGCATGGAAAAGGAAGAAGTTGATACTAGTACATCTGAATCATCAGTAAAAGAAAACCCCTGGCTGTCGTCTATTGAGGAATTCTGGAAAAATCCACCTAAAGTTCCAGATTCTGAAGCATCCAATCAATCAATTAGTGCTATACAGTCCAAATCAACAAAGACCCATACCCAAACTCAGCTGAGTGAAAATCAGGCAAAACATAATCCACAGAACAGTGCAAATCAGGCTAATCCTGAGGCACAAGACAGTAATGCAAAATCTGAACAAAGACCAGAATCAGAGAACAAACCATGCGAAACAGAACTTAAGCCAGTTAACTCAAGTCTGTTAGAATCACAAAAGGAAGCCCTTCAGAAAGTTATCAGCAATAAACCTCTGAAAGATAAAAATTGGTCAGAAGGCCAAGAAACTTTTGACAAGGATATTGAGGAACTGGACTTGAGCACTAATAACCCTCATTACTTCCCACATCCAGCTACGGTATCCGCGTATGAAGAGTATACAGATTATAATAGTGCTGGGAATACGGCTAATGTTTATGGCCAAGGTGGAAATGAAGGTATAGTGTGCTCAGTACAGTTGAATTTAGCATGTTTAGATGTAAAACAAAAAGATAGGCAAATTGCCTGAAATCCCCATTAATATTCAAAAGAGAGGCAAATTGCCTGAAGTCCCCATTTATATTGAAAAGAGAGGCAAATTGCCTGAAGTCCCCATAAATATTCGAAAAAGAGGCAAATTGCCTGAAATTGTGAAGAAAATATTTCAAACTCAATTAACAGTTTATGAAAAATTTAAAGTAATAGAGGCTAATAGCCTGCATCTATACATTTTAAAGGCATTTTTTTTTCAGGACCAAATTCAATGCATAAAAGGGCAATTAGCCTTGTTTTGAGTTTAGTTTTAATAATTATAATTTACGGATTCTACACAGACTTCTTTATAGCATTGTTTTTTCATTAATATCTTCGAATGGTTTAAGCAAAAGATTTCACATCTAATGGTAATTCTATACTTTTGTAGATTTTGGGGGAGATCGTTATGGTGGAATGGACAGAGGCATGGACCGTGGTCCACCCCAAAGATCTAGAGATCCACCCATGTCTCGAGGAAGAGATAATTATTCACCAGGCCCAAGAGACTTCAGCAGAGGCTCAGGGCCAGATAGGTTAGTGTGCATGTATTTTTGGGAAAAAAAATCATTTTAATTAATGTTTAATTACTGTGTCCTAACTTTAACTTTCACATACATATATTTTGTTGAATAAGTGGTCAGATAACCAGTGTCTACTTGTAGATATAAATGTTAATGCTTTATTTGTACCAGGATGGGTAGGGGCTCAGGAAGAGATTTCCAGCAATCCTCACGCTACGACCCCCCACAGAGAGACTATTCCCCACCCCCTCGTGAATATCAATCCTCACGCGACATAGCATATGAAAGGGGGCCAGCATCCAGAGACAGACTGCCATCCAGGTATGTAAACAAAACAGTCAAAAAATCTCTGGGTTTTATGATGGGGAAAATGGGTCAGCAGAAACAAGGGTTGGTTCGTTACTGTAAACTAAGTTGATTCTCTTCTTAGGTTATTATACGACACATATAATTATAAGAAATGCAACACCACATATACAGCTGTATACCCCCAAATATTTGCAGTGGTACATAGGCAAACAATGTTAATTTTAAGGGGATGATTTTATTTCACTAATCAAAGTTATGGTCATAAAACTTTTGAGGTGACATGTACTTGTTAATATTTAAGAAATGAAATGGTGCATACAGTAAAATGCTCATAAAATAGTGTCTAGCACCGTCCATGTTAATTCCTTTAAATAGTAACTCATAGTATCCAACAAGCTTCTAATATTATGTTTAAAATTATGGAAATGCAAGTCACATTGCTGTAAGCATGAATTTAATGTAAAGATACTTGCTATAACTGTGATTTACTGTATTTTATCAGAGATTATGGCTCTCCTCAAAATACCAGAGATTATGGAGGTGGAATGTCTCGAGGCGGCACCTCAATGTATGGAGGGTCACGTGACACAGGGATGGGGGGCAGAGATGTGTACAGTGGGGGAAGGGACAGAGAGTCGAGAGATTACATCAATAGTTCAAGGTAAAAATCAATATCTTTCATCACTAACTTAAAATATTTTAACAGTGAAATTATTTGTCTCTTATCTTATTAAAAAAAATTGAACTTGCTGTTGGTTAATTTGACAGAGATTTTGGTGGCCGTGGTGGAAGTTCGAGGATGGGTTCCTCCAGGGGAGGGCCGTCAAGAGGAGGTGGTGACTTTGATCGAGGACAGCCACACGAGGATTCCTTCAGAGGTACTGTACCATAGAACAATTAATTAGACCCTGAAAAAATACACCTTCTGTGATGGAGAGCTTTAAAATCAAGATGTTGTGTTTAGGAATTGGTTCAAAAATAGCCTTTTGACAATTATGTGTGTCTCTATGTTCTATGTGTATCTAATTATTTGAATATTTCTTGTTAGATTCTGGTAGAGGTGGTCCCCCAAGTCGAGGCCCGGCCAGTAGAGGCTTCAGCAGTATGAGTAAGTAGTAGTTCACTCTCTAGTATAGTCTTCTGTGTTGTTCTTGGATTTGGTCTGTGAAAACAGTTGTGATAAAATGAAGAAATGCAAATGGATAACAAAGAATTGAAACAAAAAAATAATGGAAGGAAAAGGATGAGAAGTGTTCAGAGAATAATGGAAGGAAATCGTATTCAGCTCTTTGAAATTAGAACAGCTAATGGAAAACTGCTGGTTTTTACAAAGTAATAAAAGTAAAGGTATCTTCAATGGAAAAAATTGATAGTCAGCATGTAGCATGAAAAAGCATCGAGAGGAATTTATAGAAACTACATATTTTAGCTGTCAAACATCTTTGCCACTAAATAATGAACCACAGGAGGGAACTGGAAAAATTATTGGAGGATAAAGCAAAATATACATATCAAAAATTGATCAAGATGAAAATCAGTGTTGAAAGAGGAGCACTACATCTACACATTTTTTTTGCCTACAAGGATGATCAATGTCATAAGTATGAACTTTTCTTGATCACATCATAAGGATGAAGTTCTTTGTTCCAGAGCACCCATACAAGAATTCAAAGATTATCTCAAATGTTTCTTCCTCCTTCTCCTAGGGAACTATTCTTAATGAATTAATTTTTGAAAATGGGAATCTTTAAAGATAAATGTTTAAAAAAAAAAAGAAAACTTTTCAATAAGTAATTATGGGTTCCATATTATCAGTTTATTATACAGAGTCTTTACAGACATATGTCATTTATGGATTATTTCCCTATGTAAATGTAAAAAAGAGCTTCTTTTTAGCATTTGTTTATATTAGCTACAATTACCCATTCTTGACAAAAGCTTAAAGACTAGCAATAAGGTATTATTGGTACTGTAGATCACTTAATTTTCGCGACACCTTATTTTCGCGAGATAGTCATTGACTATTTATAAGCGAGACAAAATTTTCACGAATTGTGGTCATTGCTCTATATAATCTTAAGGAATTCTATTATACGCGAGAATGAAATTTTCGCGAGCATACCGTTTCGCGTAATTACACGAAAATAAAGTTCTCGCGAATAAAAAGTGATTTACAGTAGTTGGAAGATAATTATGAACACATGACCTGAAATTTTTCATAGTAACATGTATTTTGCTTTCAACTTCAATCAATAATTTTAGATTTCTTATTAGAATAATCCCCCCTAGCCCCTTTTCTACTTGATTTTACTAATGAGCTCTAAAGGAATAATTCTATGAATAGCATATGACTATGCACACCAGAGGAACTGCTGAGAAAACCTTTTTCCATTTTGTTGAAAGGAAATCATTACCTGAAAACCAAAATAATGCAATGAAAAAATTATGGAATGCTCTATTTTCTATATATTCTATAGTCATTGTAATTTCAATAATCAATTATATATTCCATCAAAAGCAAGAATTTTAAGCAACTGCAGCATTAAAGTGAAATAATGTGATGTCAAGCTTATGGGTCTTGGATCATTGCAATGTTTTCAACCTACAGCAACATATATCTATGAAAACTACTGAAATATGGATTAGTACAATATTCTCAAGACACTGCAACCTGGATCTCTGCAGCTTCTGCAACCTGGATCTCTGCAAGCTACTGCAACTTGGATCTGTGCAAGCTACTGCAACTTGGATCTGTGCAAGCTACTGCAACATTGATAAATGCGATGTTCTTTGCTACTGTAGTATGAGGGATACAATGCTATCAAGCTACTACAACATTGATCTACTTTTTACAGCATTGTAGTTGTCAAGCAGCTTTTGTAGAATAAGAGTTTAAGTAATGCCAAAGTGTAGAGTAAAGCATGATGGTTAAATTTGTTTGATTACAAATTAATTGCGGAGAAAAAAATTAATTTACAAAAATATTTAGGAATTTTACTGTGAAATCACAAAAAATTGAGATATAGTGTGATATTGGTGGTTTCACGTTCTTTCAGTGATAAAGTTAACTTTTCGTCTATAAGGTCCTCCCGTATAGCCTTTTTACAGAGGTCTGACTGTCTAAAATATCAATTTGCTATGTCCACCACGAATTACAATTTTTTACATATACATTGTATAACCATTGAACAATTCCTCAACCACAAAATCAAGGGAATCCCATGAGAAAAAATATATTTTCCGAAATCTAAATACATAATAATAGAACAATTTAAAGGTACCCTTGAAAATATGTGATTTTAAAATCAATGAGTTAAATTTTTTCCATGGTTTTGCTTCAATAGTTCAACGATATCAACATATAATTTGGAATTTTTTTAATTAAAAAAAAAATTACTCTTTTGATATATTTTTGTCTAAAAACATAAATAAAAAAAAAATATTAAAATACATAAGTACTTTTTTCAAAGTTTTAATTATCAGAAATTTGAAAACAGCCATTACGATTTTCCTGAGGATCAGAAGTTTATGACATGGACAAATGAAAGTGCCTTTCAAGAAACAAGAAGTGGTTAAAAAATTAGGAAAGACTGCAAATAAAATGTCAAAAGTTTCCTGATGATCTGAAGTTTATGATGGATAAATGAAATTGCCTTGCATGAAACAAGAAAAAGAGAAAAAAAACAGGAAAGATTGCAAATAAATTGACAAAGGATCATTAAAAATTGCATCAGTAAAAATAGCTGTTGAAATATTGGAAAGCATTATAAGGAGCAGCATTTGTTATAAGCAACTAAGGAATAGAAAAAAAAAATCACTTTCACCATCAGAAAATTATCTAATAGATTCGAGAACTTCACTGCCGAAATGAATGCACCGGATCAAAATCAAAATATGACTGGACAGCAGAAAGAAAGGATTGGGAATTTTATTATCCTGTTAAAGTCAGGATTTCAAGAATTGTGCAACATTGATTTTCTTAGCTTCAAATTATTCTGCAAAAGTTTTCTACCATCAAAAACTCACCAAAGAATGTGAAGGAAGGCAAAAAATCCTTTTATTGATGCAATTTTAGGAGGACAACCTAGTTTATTCATTGTCAGGATAAAACCTTAAGCCTCGAAAATGCTTTCTATAAATATATGCGTTGTTTAAAAACACTCGTTAGATAATTTATATTGCTTTTGAAACAATATTTCAAAATGAAATACAATAATATTTGCTTTCGTTGATTTGCGATATGTTCTGTGCAGTATTTGTGCTTCATAAAATATGTTCCTCAAATAAATTGTTTGGAATATAGGCTCACAAAGAGACGGTGGACGTCCATCTCAAGGAATGTACGAATCGCCAAACCGAGGCCCACCTCAAAGAGGGGCACCCTCAAGAGGACCCCCTCAGCGGGACGAAAGGGACAGGGGAGGTTACCCTGGGGGTCAGCGTCGACCGTCAAATATGGACTCAAGAGGAGGCCCACCAATGAAACGCTCTCGACCTAGTGGACCATCATCTCGTGGGGGAATGCGGAGATAAATGATAAAATCTTCTTAATCATTTTAAGAGAATATTTCATTTTTTTAATAGTAAAGTTTTATTTTAAAGTTTTGAATGTAAACGTTTGGAAGAACATTAACAATTTTTTTAACATTATTTCATTTATAAACTTGTACAATTGAAATTTGATCAACATTTGATCTTTTTTTTTTCATATATTAAGCTTCAAATGATGTTATGTTAGTGTACTAGAAAAAAAATAAATCAACTCGAAAAAGCTGTTTTATCTCATGAAAAAAAACCTGTGTTGAACTTGGACTCCCGAAAATGAAGGATTTCTGTTTTCAATAAGAAAAACCCTATGATACTAAGAGATTTTACAAATGCAATCTACGATGGAAGATCATCGATGGAAATTTTAGAAACTGGAAAATGTACAACAAGCCCGTTTGTGAAACACGATATTGCAAACATTATACCGTACTTTTACAAAAGTCATCCAGTCCAAGTTTAAATGTCGACATGCAGTAGTATCTATTTCCCACCTACATGTTTGCGACATGAAACCAACTGCTCAAATAGAATTTGTACAAAAAAAAAAGATCCTGAAAATGTATCACTTAAGCTAACCGTATACTTGTGTGAAGGATGACTGTTCATCAAAGACAGATAGACTTTAAGGACCCTCTCTACACTAGATTCCACACTAGTTTCAGGGTACTGGTGCACCAATTATTATAAAATATAATGAATTGCAATATGCTCTATATTTCATAATTTGTGATTAATTAACATATTCTAAACAAGACATTAGATCAAGATGAAGTTATTACAAGTACACTGTAAAAACTTTATTTGCATGTATTTTCCACATTTGAGTAAGAACACACCATTTTTTTTATCAGCACTGTAGTGTCTGAAAATATTTTCTTGATCAAAAAATAGCATGCATCCTATGAACTATGAAAAATTAACTGGATAATTTTGATTTTACATGTATACCCCTTTACATTTTATAATTTTCTCTGTGACAAAATTTTTCTCTTCAGTGTAGAGAGGGTCTCTTTTTTTTTTGGCAATACTTTCAAAATTATATTGGAAGAAAAATGACAATTCACAGAATTGAATGATACCTTGTTGAGCAATTCTAAAAGATGAAACACAGATCAGTGTGTGTTAAAAAAAGTTCTCTGTGAGCACATAATGATTACCAATACTTCTCATTTGGTGCCGTTATTACCAATTTCATGAATTACCTTGTACAAATATCTCTTGGCCAGTCTTGGGAGATGTAATCACAATGCGTATCTTGCAAGAAAGTCATTTCAGATACACTTGTCCCTTTAGTGACAAAGGAAAGTGTACAAAATACACAGCTTGTTTCACACAATCTGCTTCATACAGCTTCTGTCCATTTTGTGATGGTATATTTACCATTTTATTAAGCCTAATTTACCATCAAGTGTTTCTGCGATTTATCAAGATAAAACTAACACCAGTTTACAGTTGGCAACTTGAGGAAATCCAACAAAGTGAAAAGAAAAAACCTTAACCTTGGCAATGAAAAGCAAGTCTGACAGGAAATCAACTTCAAATTGAACTTTCAAAGGAGCGCAAAATCAAGCAAACAAACCAACAGAATTTGTAAGTAATAAATCAATTTGAAAAGAAATTTTAATTCTTAGGAAAACAACGTTAAACCATCCTACTGAAACAAGCCTGGGAGAAAAATTTTGGATGTTGATCATCTAAGGTAACAAAATCAAACATTTCTTTAGCAACAAACTTCCAACTGAGAAGACAAACGGTGGACATGTAAGAAATCTGATTGAAGGAGATGTTACCAACACTCGGTGGTATACCCATTGTAGACCTTGAAATCAAGTTAAAAAAAAATTTTTGTGTATTGCTTTAGAATTGAAATGTTAACAAACATCTAAACATTGTTCAAGTATTTATAGATTTATATTAAAATGAAACATTTAAAATTAAAAAGACTAAATTATTTTATGAAAAAGCATCTGACATACTTTTTTGTTCTAAATTATTAAAACTTGGTCCTTTTATTTTTTAGGGTGAATCTACAGCTCTGCTGAGTGGAAAGAATCCAAGACAAAATCGGAAGTTGCAATGCAGCCTGTAAGTTTGTAATGTAAACCAATACCGTAAATCTGGAAATTTTTACGTCGATTTTATTTTGCGAATGTGGGTCATAATGCTATTGATTAATTTTTACGTTTCAAAATTTTGCGAATGACCACTACTTTGTTTACATTTTCTTATTGTTGAATTATTTTTAAGAAAAATATTTTTGCGAATGCAATGAACTCGCAAATTTGCTAAAAATTTATCTACAGCAAAGACATACATGTTAACTCTCCCGATTTAGGCGGGAGTCTACCGCTTTTTCACTCCATCTCCCGCCTACCGATTTAATTCAGAAATCTACCGCTTTTCTACAAAAGCTGCGTCTAAAGTATTTTTGGTTCGCTTGGGTATCCATTTTTGAAGCCACTCTCATAAAATCTCGCTAGATATCGCGTTATTTGACTCGGAATCATACAAACGCTTTTTTTGTACATAGATTTCAAGCACGGATTTGACAACGACAACAACATAAGACTACCAGTGATTACATTGGTTACGATAAATTAATCAACATCCCTGCCATGAAAAAGGAGATACAGCTTTTAAGAATTAGATGAAAACATTTGACATCGTCTTTAAAAGCACAGAAGCTCACAACTTTATCAATAAAGTCAATAGAAATCACTCGATTGACCAAGCCATGTGGCACATCTCTACTTTCGTTTTCGATCATCGCGGGAAATCTGATTTATATAACGAAAGATACGAACTTGTTTTAGATCTAGATTAAACCATGCCATCATTTGTTTTGTTTAAAAACTGAATGAACATTCAGAATTATTGCTTCTAGGCTATTTCAGCAAAGATCACTCTTTAAAAGGCTAAGTAAAGCAGCCAATCCAAGCAAAATGATGAGCATGAAAAATATTTGAATTTGTACAATTTATGTCAAACTTAAGGTGTTTCTGTCTTCTTCTTTGCTGTTGATATTTAAGATTAATTAGTGTAGGTACCTGATTTCATTCAAGGCTTATAATATACATGTATATTACATGAACAATATCGATAATCCAAGCGTTAAACAACACGCGCGCAATGCTACCGCTTTTGAAGTCTGAATCTCCCTCTTTTTCATCACAATAGGTTAACATGTATGGCAAAGATTTCCAGATTTACGGTATATCCACTATTCCATTTAGTCTGGGGGTTTACTCCATGCCCTCATTTGCTGATGTTTTGATTTAGCATGAAAACATCCCAGAAGTTTTTTGAATATCAAGCTTATGACCTTATTTTCAGCATCCATAAATTAATAATTTCATTTATTTTGCAGGTGCTGTTTAACTGCTGTAAAGATGGTGTGGTGTTCATAAGTTTGGGTACCTTTAGGTATGGTATGTCTAGTTTGTTTCATTTTGTTTGTGTTTGTGTAATCATTACCATTTCTCTTGCAGATGAGACTGGGACTGTATTGGATGCATGTTCAGACTATGATTTGATGAAACCTTGTACTTAGAAAAATTTGATTTCTTTCAATAAAAATTGGAAACTTTGATTTACTCTTAGTTATTCCTGAGAGAAAGTAGAGGATGCAGGTCTCATAAAGTTTGTAACTGAAAATAGAAAGTTTGTCAAGGATTTTGGATGTATCCTCACAGGCACCTGACATTACCGTATATACTCGCCTATAAGTCAGTTGTATCTTTTGACATTATTTTGGTGGGATTTGCCATTGACCGGCTTATAAGTCGGTGCAATTTTTTAAAGCCAAAATCCCGTGACATTTTCAAGTAAATCCGTTTATGTTTTAACCTGCTTTCAATCAATATCTTTTGAAATGAAACAGAGATTTAATCTTATATCAATAACCAAATAAGAAATGCTCACTTCAGATACCCAAAAATTATTATTTTTTGTAAATATTTGTACTTTATGTATAATCTAAGAATACATAAATTATCATATATATATGCAGACATTTTCTTTGATAATTGTCAGAAATTTCAGGGTCCAGAAAAATACAGATTTCTTTATGACTCGCCTATAAGTTGGACATACAGTTTAAGACCAAAATTTAACTCCCAAAAAAACGACTTATAAAGGAGTATATACGATACTTATTTTTTTTTTAATGAAAAAAGTATAGACCCCCTACCTAATAATGAATTATTAGGTAGAATGTAAATTTTTCTTTTTTTATTAATAAAAGGAAATGAGTAATGCCAGGTGCCTGTGTGTATCCTGTCCCATGTTATTCCCCCAAATGAAATGCCTGAGGTAGTTGTGATCCTTTCAGCAGATTTACACTTGTTAGTAACACTACTATACAACTACCAGGACCTTTAATATGTTTAAGACTTAAGAGGGAGGAATGTTGTGATCAGTAGGTTTAATAACTGGTGGCCAGATAGCATTGTTGATAGAGCACCTGACTTGTGAATAACTGGTGGTCAGATTAGCATTGCTGATATAGCACCTGACTGGAGATTCAGGGGGGCCTGAGTTTAAATCCTGGTCTGGTTGACAGGGGATGCTCACTACTCCATGACACCTGATCCCATCTCTGATGATTTGGAGGTCCGTGCATGCTTTGCTCCAAATTTGTATTGATTTTTGGACTTTAATATTGAATACTGTTCGTTATCTCCATATCCTTCACTTAAAAAGTTGTTAAATATAGATTCTGACACTTCAGAGGAAAAAATACCAAGTAAAACAAAAACACTTCACATACATGTATACCTGAACTTACGTTTATATAATTTTTCACTTGGTACATGATGTATTTTTTTAAAGTAAAGAAATTCTCTAAAAAATATTTATAATATCAATACCTCCATTTGTGTATTTGACATCTACATTACAAGTGCATGATGCTACAGGTAATGTTTAATTTTAAATATAAATCTAAAATAAATTCATGTAATGAGCCACCTTATTGTTATGATATAATACAGTTCAAAAAGCTAAATTTTTAGCTTTCACATTGTAAATCATAATCTGAATGTTTTTCTTTGTTAACATGGTAAATATATAGTTTTTATATGTATTATATAATTGAAGATTGATAAAATTTAAAAGCAAATTCATATAATATATATTAATATTTATCCCAGGACATGATGGGAAATTCTCTAAAAAATATTTATAATATCATTTTTTTTTTTAAAAATCATTGATAAAATTTAAAAGCAAATTCATATAATATATATTAATATTTTCCCCTGGGATTTTTTTTTTTAAAAATCAGGATTTGTAAATTCAAGTGTGCTCCTCTATGTCAATGTCAGATAATGTGTGCAGTGACTGAATTAGGTTCCATACCTTCAGTAAGTACGAATTATCTATTGTACAACTTAACTGACTTTCAGTTTGAATTACAGGTAATCAATTTTCGATTTATTTGGTAAGTGCTCTTTTCATTGCTTGTTCCTATTCACATATCATCTTAAAATTTCATTGTTATACATGAAAACGATCAGTAATTGATCTCTGAAAATCTACTAACAAATAAAATTGTGAACGGGGCTTAAACATGTGTAGTCTTAGGCTCGTCCACAGGTGCTTGCTTAGTTACGGTGTATTGATTATTTTGTATAGATACACTACACACACAAATACATTAAACTACTATTTGTTTGATTAAAAGAAAACTATTACACCCCGGGAGCAAACCCCTTTACATGCTATATGTGGCTAGTTACTGTTTCCTCTGTATGACCACCTGTACACGGAGCATAACTGCAGCGTTACGGTTTTTATTATAGAATAGAATAGAATTTATTACCAATCAGGGCCCATTGGGCATAAACATATAACATACATAATTACATATAAACATAATAAAGTAATAGACAGAATACAACATATGGTGAAGAGCAATTCTTCTATTAAGTATACATATATACTGATAAATGTATTGGTGGCATTTTTAAGTTTCATATATAGACATGCATATACTGAGCAGAATAAGTTTAGCAATTTAAGATGTTTATCATAAAACAAAGTTAAAAAAAATAGACAAAGCCCTTCAAATTAAAATTTGAAGTGAACTTGTCATCACATAACAAAATGTCAGGCAAATTTTATTGGCAGTAATGTGTGTTGTTTTGTAAAAAAGTTAAAAAAAATCAAAGCCCTTCAAATTAAAATTTGAAACTGATAACTGAGGCAAATTTTATTGGCAGTTGTGTGTTGTTTTGGAAAGTAAGATTCAATTTCAGTATTGTGTAAGGCCTCCAATTGCAGCAATAACAACAACACAACGGGGTCTCATGCTTCTTATATGGTTTTTTATCTCTAGCATAGTGATCTGGTTCCCCTCCTGCTGCAGGACAAGGGTCAGTTCCGCTACGTTGTTGACGTTATTTCGTTGTCATAAATGACGACCCAGAATGTCTCAAATGAGTTCAATTGCTGACAATCTGGCGATATCGTGGGCCAATCAAAGATCTTAACAATTCATTCTGACGAAGGAGATCGAGTTTGTGTGTCGTGCGGTATGCGGACAGACATTGCCCATGCGAGGCAGGATTGTTGATGACGTTGAGTTAGTGGTACTGCTACAAGAGGTTTTTGAGCTCGAAGACTTGCTAAACTTAGCTGGTTTCTTACACTTTGTGCACATAACCTCAGTCCAGTTGCATGGCATAATTCTTCTGTAACTTTAGAAGCAGCCATGAAACGGTAACATCTCGACGTTGTAACAGGAAAACGATCTTGACTAACCGTCATTTTTCGTGGACGTCCTGAGCGCTGACAATCACTAACATGTCAAGTGGTCCAGGATCGGTTTAAAAGTCGACATATGGTTAACGGATGCACAAGAAAGTGTTCAACGACATCTTTTTGTAAGCAACCGGCCTTAGCATCTCTATAGTTGTTTGACGTTCATTTTTGAAAAGTCCTGGACGTTTCTCAATTAGATGTTTTTGCAATTTTTCACTGGTTTTCTTTAACAAGCGTGTTCGAAGGGCTTTTCAAGTAAAAAATTCTTCCAGGACCATGTGCATTCGAGCATGTCCATTTGTATTGTTGAATTTTCACATCGTTGGACGACGCGGTTTCCGCGCGTCAATTTAAAAAAAGAAGTGTGTCATTTGTTACCTTTTTTGTATATTAATTGATTTTAAGTAGAAACAAAATAAAACAATTTCGAAAAATATTTTTAAAATTATACCTATGGTAAAACAATTTAATTGCTAAACTTATTTTGCTCAGTATTATTTGTCTTTGACCATATAACGCTACAGATCCCGTAATGCAAAAAGGTGCAATTTACGGTGCAATATTTTTTGCCCACTTTTTGGGAGAATTTCTCCACTTTTTAGCATTGCATGGTCAATCAACTACCAGTAAACTCGCTTGAAGTGATCAAATTTTCAGCAATGTAACAAATAATTTCTATCAAGCGAGTCTATCACTTAATTGTAGAGACGACTATAAACATGATAAAGGGTTGGGAGATGGATAGAATATACAGATTAGTTAAATAATGTGCCTAGAGTTAGGGAATGAAAGGTATTTAATTGACTGATGCTGGAAAGTGGATAAAAATTCTCCCCAAAAGTGGGCAAAAAATATTGCGCCGTAAATTGCACGTGCACCTTTTTTGGAATACGGGATCTGTAGATCAGTTATAGTCAAAGACAAATATATAAAACCGTAATTCTACAGATCTGCAGCTATGAGGAGCAACCCCCTGTTTATATTGATATTTATTTATTTTCACTCTGTTGATAATTATAAATAATCAAAGACACAAAAAGTATCTTTTGTGATTTAATGACTGTGGAGAGCTCTTGTATTCAATTTTTAAAACTTGAACATTAACATACTCAAACAAATGTTTTTAAAAATGTAATTGCAGAATATATTTTCAGGTCTTAAAGAAACATGCAGGCTGCTAAAAAAGTGGATGACTTCTTTCATTGTAAGACCTGCGTTGTTGTTTGTGGAGCAAGTCGTGGTCTAGGCGAATGTATTTCTTTGACATTTGCAAGGAAATTCCCTGCAGGTTCAGCATTAATCCTACTTGGTCGAGATGTGAAGGCCCTGGAAGACGTCAAGTCCAAAATCAGTGCAGAATGTCCACACCAACTGTTTGTTATTCAAAAATTTGACCAAGGCAACATCCGGCAGGAAAATTTTGAAAATTTATTTGAAGGAATTTTCCAGGTCCACAAAATATCTTTGAGCAGTTTTGAGCAAGCTGTTATTGTACATTCAGCGGGTACTTTAGGAGATATTACTAAATATGCTAAAGAAATGACTGATGCTGAAACAGTGAAAAGGAGCTTTGATGTCAATGTAACTGGTGCAATATTGTTAAATTCTACCTTCTTGAAAGCTTTTAATGACATTTTGAAGCGAGTGATCATCAACTTGTCATCTTTAGCTGCAGTACAGCCTTTTAAATCTTGGAGTCTTTATTGCTCAGGTTTGCTTCCAATGTATTTCTGATATACAGTAATTACGTGTATTTAATTCAGTAACCTCTGAACATACCTGTCCATTGTTTTTCATTATTTGGTCTGTAATCAGGATTAAATTTAAAATTCTGTGACTAAACTCTATGATCTTTTTTAAAGTGTACTGCTGCCAATACTCATACATGTGAATTTATATTAGTATCTTTACAAACAGGTAAATCAGCCAGAGACATGTTTTTCCAGACTCTTGCATTAGAGGAACCTAGTCTACGAGTACTGAACTACGCGCCTGGTCCCTGTGACACAGACATGCAGAAGGACTGTCGAGAAAAGTCCAGAGCACCTGACACCAAAAAAATGTTTATCGGTAAGTATTTTCAGTTTCATTTCTAATTTTCATCAATACTGGCATACTCATTAAATGATGACAATTTGATAAATTGATTCTCAAGCAATGAAATAGGGGGTAGTTGAAATAAATTATTCAAAGATTTATAGACATATTCCACAGGCACTTGACATTTTTAACCTTTCTTTTTCACAAAGAAAGGTTATAAACGTCAAGCCCCTGTGGCCTATTAAACATAAGTTATAGAAAAACTATATTCCTTGTCACCTGCAAAATTTACACTGGAGCGTCAAAAGTTTGTGTGCATAAATAACAAGATTTGTCATTTAAATTTCTAGTTTGATGAATTTATTAATTGCAGATGACCTTTGTCGTTAGTACATTTTAGTATGGAAGTTTTCATTTGTTAAAAACTTTAAATTACTGGTACTTTAAGATAATTTAAGAAAGTTTATACTGTATACTGGGTTATTTTTGTCCCGCTTTATTTTCGCCCTTTACACTTGCAAACAATTTTGCCTCGTCTTAAATTCGTCTAGTCACAGTTCTGTTTAAGAAATTGTACGGTATCTTTTAAATTCACCCCTTTTAAATTCGCCCAACTGAGGGTAGGGCCAACCATGAAAGGGGCAAAAATTTCGCTGTATTCACTACATGTATTTATATTTAAAGGTCTACAATTAAGGAATATTTTTAAGTTTTGTGTGAGTTATTGGTGTGTGAATCACACAGACTTGTCACGTAGGCATATTTAATGAAGCGCGCTAGCGCTTCATGAAAAATATGCCTACGTGCAAGTCTGTGTGATTCACACACCAATAATTCACACTAAACTTAAAAACATTACTTATATTTACATTTTACATGATTGAAAGCAACTAAAATATACTCAATATTTGAATTTCTGGCTGCCCTATATCGTTGCATTTTTACCAACGTTGCAGTAGCCTTATTGTGACGTCACGTTAACGCACGTTTCTTCTTGTATATTTCTGCGCATGAGTATACACACGAAAATGGTTTTCAAGTCAATTTCACAGTTGGCTTCCTAGAAAAACACAGCAAATGTAAATACTGTCTTATGAATATGGAAGTTTTCATTTTATATCAACTTAAATTACTGTAAAAATAAAAAGAAAACTTGTTGAATTCCACTTTAAATATATGATAGCTAAAATCCACATAATTTTTTTTCGGCATTGAATAATCAAAGATTTTTATTTCAGCAAACATTTATATCAATGCATTTGCACGAAGTTCATTTTGAACCCTGAAAACAAATAAATAGAAAATCTTAAATGAAAAAACACGTACATGTATTTTTAGCTCAACTGAACTAAAGGCTCAAGTGAGCTTTTCTGATCACATTTTGTCTGTCATCTGTCCGTCTGTAAACTTTTTTCATTTTGGACTTCTTCTCAAGAACCACTAGGCCAATTTTAACCAAACTTGGTACAAAGCATTCTTGGGTGAAGGGAAGTTTTAAATTATTAAAATTAAGGGCCAAGTCCCCTCATAAGTATTACAGGGGCTGGGTGGGGTAGGGGGGTGGAGGATAGGGTTAAGAACAGCATGGCTGAAGTTACTTGGTCGAGCGATGTGGCCCATGGTCTTCTTGTTATTTTTCCTGGTCTAGGACTGGAACCAATCAAAAAATAGCTTTTATTGTGAAAGGCAGATTTGAAAAATAAATAAATAGATTAATTGGTTAGTTTACAATTACCCATGATGTCATTTGTAACCACAAGCCCAACATTTAAGTTGCGACTTATGTCAAGGTTTTATGTGGTGTTCCAAAATCACAAAACCTTGACACAGTGTACAGAATTTCCGTCCACCCATACTAAATCGGGAGTAAATTTTACTCATCAGTCCGCTTGGACACACTCTTATTAATAATTAATTTTACCCTATTCCCTCACACAACAAGAAATAAAAAATTTATTGATCAATATAAAAGTTGACATTGTAGGGTGAGAATGTACAGTCATTGGTATTTGCTTCTAATTTTTTACATTTTTTTTTTAATTTTCCTTTTCAGATGCTTTTAATTCTGGATCAATTCTCTCATGTCAGACCTCGATTGACAAGCTCTGTCAAATCCTGATGACCAACTTTAAGTCTGGGGCACACATTGACTTCTACGATTAAAGGAAATTAAATTAAAACATATGTGAGACTGTTTGAGATTGTGCATTTTAATAGTTTTATGTCATCTGCATTTGTACACATACTTCTCATTATAAAACATTTTTTAATAAAAAATACATGGAAATAGGAAGTGCTGGCATCTTAGATTTTCTTACAAATGTTGACAATTTTCAGTATTTAATATTTATTAAAGCTTATATTTTTTCTTTTAGTTTCTGTGTAACTTGATTATGTGCACTGCATGTCAATTTTACATGTTTTATGATATTATACAGTCTTTCTTTGTCTGATTTGTATAATTCACATTCCAGGTTTTTTTTTTCATTATTAAATTGATAACTTTTGATATTCCATTCCTGAGGTACATGTATTTGTTACTAAGTTTGATTATACCTGTACATGTATATTGTGAATAGTATTGTTTATTGTACCAGATGTGGTAATAAAAACCAACTATTAATTTCCCTTGTTTCTTTTAAGGACAGACGAGACGTTCCTCAATAATATATAATGTATAATTTTTTAAAGATTTTGTCATTCAAGAATTACCAGGGAACTACTTAAACATGTTTACTCACAAAAACTTGAGGTACCTTACCAGTAGGGCTGGGCAATAATATCGATATTTCAATATATTGCGATACAAGGACAAAAAATATCGTATCGCAATACGATTTTGTAATATCGATATATTGGCAATATGCTTAGATTAAGGAATTTTGTCATTAAATATAAAAATGGACTTATGAAAGTTTGTTAATAAGCCAAACAGTAAGAAAGAATATAATTAAACTTAAATGAAATCAACAAGATTTTTTTAGTGTTGGAAAAAAATTCTGCATGTAAATTTAAATTTAGAAAACATTTAAATTGCATTGAAAATATTGCAACACATATCGCAATACAATTAAAAATATCGCAATATATCGCAATACGAAATCTTGGGCCAATACCCAGCCCTACTTACCAGGCATTTGTGCGAGATACCAGATGATGGCATTTCTTATATAATCCTTTTATAGGAAAAAAACTTTTTAAAAACAATTCGAAACAGGTTTAGAAATCAGAAAGTAATTAAAATATATTGTACATTTTTCATACATTTTGAAGGTATACAAAACAAAATTTTGGGAATGATTATCGTCTGACCTTAATGGTATAAAATTGGACAACACAAATTATTATAGTATTTCTTTCTCAATTAGTGACAAGAATTGTAATAATATGGCTTTTCATGGTTCGATCAGCTTGGCTGGAGTATACATAAGTCACATGTCCCCCAATTAACCCAGCTAGCTCATCCCTGACAGGCCTCTAACCTGTCAGTTCCAAGGCATGGAATGGGAGAGCTGAAAAATGCAGCTGACCAGACTGGGATTCGAACCCAGACCCCCTGAACCTCTGGTCAGGTGCTCTTAGCCTCTACCAACTGAGCTATCTGGCCACTTGCAATTGAGCCCGGCTGACTGCGACATTTGAATGCACAAGTTTCAAGTTCAACTTGGTTGCCATAGAATCCTCACAGTAGCCTTTAAGCCTATATATAGTTTTCTGGTTTGTAACTAATTTGTCATCTGACTGAAAAATTATATGTGCATTGCCCCAATTAAGATGGGGCTATCATGCAGTATATAGAAAGAAAAACATAAACACGGTGGATTTATCGGAGCATGCCCAAATGTTTAGTAGCATAAAGAGGGATGCTTTTCCTTTTGGTTGACCCTGCAAAGGGACATAACTATTGCAAAGTATGGATTTGACTACTTCAGTTTCTATTATATTTATATTTTTCTGTTCTTATTTCAAAATAGGAACAAATAAATTTTTGGCAAATTTTTTTTCCAAAAAAATTAATGGCTACAAATTAAAAAATAGCATAATTTGAAAAATCTATAATGGGTAAATGTAATATTCGGATTCCAATGATTGACTTTCTGAAGAATCTGTAGAATAAGTTGTGGAACGACTTGTCTAGAAAATGCTATTGAGCATGCGCAATGATGATAAAAATGAAAACATGGCCGCGGAAGTGACACCCAAGAAACCTCCCGATTGGAAAAATTTAACAGACACAGTTCAGGACGCCGAATCTTTGCGACAAGAGTCAATTAATGCACATCATGATCATCTGATTACAGAAATAGAGACTTCAGATGGTCCACTTGGCACATCGCTGAGGTAAGAAATGTGTAATGTCAAAATTTTGTCGTTCCGAAAGTTCACTACACCTGTCAGCCTCTGTTTCTTCAGTATTCGATTTATTATGAAGAATTTAAAAGGAAAAATACTTGTTCATATATGGAATCTGTGCTTTAAACTGTAGCTGAGGAGTAGATTTCAGTACTACAGACAACAGAATTCTTTGATAAACAGGTCCAGTCCAAAGACTTTTTCTACCTACGTAGGTATTAATAGCTACGTAGGTATTTAAACCTATCCAAAATAGCTATTTTTACCTACTTTCTTCTTTACTTGCATTTTGTGGCCAAATGCAGGATCGGCGCAATATGGTGAGCACAAAATTCTTTGATACAGTCAAACTGGTGATGGATCAGGATATGACAAAAATTTGGTCAAAAAATGAATACTTCTTAACATTATAAAACAAGTGTAAAATTGCTGATTCGTGAAATAATCATTTTTTGGCCAAAATTTTGTCTTATTCATCATTATTGTGACTGTATCAAAAAATATGGTTCACCATGTTGCGCCGTTTGGTCTTTTGGCCACAAAATGCAGATAATACAAAAAGTAGGTAAAAATAGCTAGTTTGGGTAGGTTTAAGTACCTAATTAGCTATTAAGAGCTATGTAGGTAGAAAAAGTCTTTGGACTGGACCTAATAAAATCAAAATTTCAATGAAACAAACGAAACAAGCTACAAAGAACAGGGGTTCAAATTTTTTTTTGTCATGGTCAAGTCCAGGACTTACAGAGTAAATTTTAGGCAAGTCCGAGGAAGAAATTTCAGAGTCCATATTTACCTATACATCATTAAATTTATGTTACTTATAATTTATTTTCATTTGTTGCATTGAATCAATAAAGACTATATGTATTAATATATGGTTTTTTTTCCTCCATAAACTGTCATATAGTCATACATGAGTATTTCAACACAATACCAGACCGATAGATTACTGCAGGGGTTCAAATTTTTTTTTGTCATGGTCAAGTCCAGGACTTAAAGAGTAAATTTTAGGCAAGTCCGAGGAAGAAATTTCAGAGTCCATATTTACCATACATCATTAAATATATGTTACTTGTAATTATTAATTTTCATTTGTTGCATTGAATGAATAAAGACTATAGATATTAATATATGTTTTATTTTTCCTCCATAAACTCAAAACTGTCATATAGTCATACGTACGTATGAGTATTTCAACACAATACCAGACTGACAGATTATTGGTACATTACAATAACTTTTACAAATACTCACTACTGAATAAACCATCTGTTACATAAATAGAAATTAGAATGTGCTGTAAGTGACAGCTATAACCGAAATTGTACAAACTCATTGCCGTTTGTCATATAGGACGAAACATGAGGAATTGCGTAAAAGCAAGAGTCTAACTGCAACGGAAAATTAAAAAACGGATTGTATTTTCGAAATGTTTGTAATGTTTTATGGGTATTTTAACGCCCACAAACCCACATTTTTACTTAATACATTAGAGAATTTGCCTTATTTTTAGCTTTACTATCATTTTTTTTAACTTAAAAAAAAGATAAGCAAGAAACATAGCCAAGTCCCAGGACTTTGGCGAATTCTAAATGCCGAGTCCGGATCCGGAATTTGTTAGTCCGGGACGTCGGGCTTGAGGAATTTTGAACCCCTGGATTACTGGTACATTACAATAACTTTTACAAATACACACTACTGAATAAACCATCTGTTACAATAAATAAAAATTAGAATGTGTTGTAAGTCACAGCTAAAACCGAAATTTAACAAACTTATTGCAGTTTGTCATGAGAAAATGCGTAAAAGCAAGAGTCTAACCGCAACGGAAAATAAAAAGACGGATTGTATTTTCGAAACGTTCGTAATGTTTTATGGGTATTTTAATGCCCACAAACCCACATTTTTACTTAATACATTTGAGAATTTGTTTTATTTTTAGCTTTACGGTCATTTATTTAACTTATAAGAAAAGATAAACAAGAAACATAGCCAAGTCCAAGGACTTTGGTGAATTCTAAATGCGGAATCCGGATCCGGAATTTGTTAGTCCGGGACGTCGGGCTTGAGGAATTTTGAACCCCTGAAAGAATTCAAAATGTTTCAAACCATTTACCATACTTGTAAAAAGGAAAAATGGAGCCATTCATTTTTTCCAAGAACTGTGATAGATTGGACCAAGCCTGAAGAAAGTTTTGTGTGTGGAAAGACGCTGACTACTTTTTGAGTAGCCGTGCACTAGTGGGACTGTCCCTATTTAGAATAATTGAACTGTGTCTTGGGACAAGCCCTCACCACAGTTAGAATACATCCCATATACTTGCAATGTAGCAAATTGGAGTGTATCCGCTCCGAAATGATTCTGAAGAATACAAATAGGGTTGAGATGAAAATAACTACCAAATTGATCAAAACAAACCTTTTGAGATTTTACAGCGAGGCGGCACTTTGCGCCGCTCTTGTGGCAAGCTCAATAGACTAATATGTACAAAGGGAATAAATTTGGGTTGAAATCTGCAAATTGTTCCAAGAAGTTTTTATCAGTCCACCTGAAAAAATTCTTGACTCCCAATAATCCTTTGCAGTGCATGGCAAACAAGCAAACAACTTACTGGAAAAAAAATTACAATGATTTTATGCAATCTCCATGCCACAAAACTATTGTTTGCATCCTAAGTCAGCAGGACTTTTTATTTGACGTCATACTTTCATCAGATAAATGGCTCGGGTATTTCCGATTTTGTCGGAAACTTCCGAGAAGTTCGCAATCTCGATCCCAATGCATGGGAGGTGATTTCTTTTCATTGCTGTGTTCTTTTTTTTATTATTAAACTGGGGATAGGCAGTAAAAGTGTAACCTGTTTATAGGTTTTTATAAGTACAAAGCTGTCCTTGCCCCAAAGGTCACAACATAAAACATATTATGCCTTTTTACCCCAAAAATAATCCATATAATAAGATGAAAATTCAACTAAATTTCCCAACAAATTTTTTTTTCAAATTTAGTTGCCATGTTTACATTCAGAACTCTCTGGATTGTTTGTATTAAATGCACTGAGTTCGAGTTATTGCCCATGTTTAATTTGCTACATTGCGAATACATGGAACAAATTCTATCGTTACACTGGGTCTGTACAGAAAATTTCAGATAAAAAAAATCGGAGAGGGCTACATTATTGCAGCTAACTTACACCAATTAAAATTATGCACCATGTATTTGCAGGTTATTCACTGTTATGTGCAATATTTTTTTCTCTCTGAAATGTCATAACTTGCCAAGAACAACTTGAAACAGGGAAACTTGAGCAAGTATCCTTCATTCACTTAAAGTGGGAAGTATCCTCTTCATCAATATGCATCTAATCACAATGTATTCATCTTGATAAGATGTGCATAATAATTTTGTATGTAATCATTGTAATTTTAAACCTAATAACCATGCTAGTTGTAATCCAATTAAGAATTTATAATACTTTAAATAATATAGGCCAAATTGAGAAAATAAGCATGACTACAAATAGTTTCCACATAATTTATTTTCTATATGTATTAACATGATAAAATTGATTTAATTTTCAGACTTACCTTGGATTTTTGTCAGTGTAATTTTATCCATACAAAAACTAATAAAGCTGATAAATTTTTATCAATGCATGGATAATGAGAATTGGAAACAATTTTAAAACAATTCAAAAACAAGATATGTTTGTGAAACAGCCTTTGGCAAAGGTTAAAGCTGCACTACATCATTGTTAATAAGAAGTGAATATTTTTCAACAATTACAATTTCATATCTTAAACTATAGGTTACTAAACATGCTAAACTTATCCATTTCAAGGCACAAATTTTTTTAAGAGTTATTTTTTTTGATTTTGTGATGATGATAGACCCACATATTTATGCCCCTCCCCCCCCCTCCTCAGAATGTCAGATTTCAAAGTATGGTATGTGTTTTCATCATCAACAAAATGAATTCCCTTTAATGCAATATTTTTCCCCCACAAAATATTATGTCAGTATAAACTTTAAGATAAATTGTCATGACCAATTTTGGGCCCTTGTTTACATTTACCACAAATTAAAATTATATCAGATTGAAAACAAAAATTATCCTCATCTTTGAGGATTTTGTCTGTGTTCACCGGTGGCTGATTGATTTCATTTCTCTTCAGAGCTGTGTATGAGGGGGATGAATTAGAGAAATTTAAAGACAGTCTAAATGAGCACATAAAGAATCATGACAAGGAGATTGAGCGAATGTGTAACTACCATTACCAGGGGTTTATTGACTCAATTCGTGAACTCCTGAAAGTCAGCTGTGATGCTGCACAGCTCAAGGTAACATCCAACTAACTAGCAAATTCTGTAACACACTGAATGATTGCATCAGGTTTACTCTAAATATTTTGCACCAACAGATATATTTTATCACATTAAATGTTTGTGTCATGTTTGTAGGAGGAAATTTCTGATGTGAACAGTTCACTGCAAGACTCTTGTAAGCCATTGTTAACAAAAGGGGAGGAGCTAGTCAAAAGTAGGCGTGTCCAGAGAAACATAGCATCAGCTGTTGAAAACTTAACTTTGTGTTTACCAGGTGACTGAGTTACTCCCAATGAAAAAGGATAGTGAGACTAAATTTTGTTTCAATAGCTTATTCAATAATTTTTTTAAATTTTTTTTTATTATTTCCATTTTTAAAAATAAAATAATTTAAATATTTTTCAGTGTTAGAAATGTATGGCAAACTACAAGAACAAATGTCAACAAAGAGGTATGTTAGTTGATTTATAAAAAGTATAATATTGTTTTCATCTTGTCAAAGATTAAGTTATTAATATTGTCTCAAAGACCCTCTGTATATTTATCTTGAATTTAACTGAAGATTTTTTTAAGTGTGTTATTTCAAATTTGTTGAGGGCTGACTTGTAAATTTACAATTTTTTTTTTTGTGGTTCACGTAGTAATTTCCTGTGTGTTTTTAACCACAGTCATGTACATGTCTTTAGTGATTCATACTATGTTTATGTACACATTTATTAATATTTTAACACAAGATATTACCCAGCATTGAAGACACTAGAGCAGCTTGAGCACACCTATCTCCCGCGTGTGGAAACTCACTGGTTCTCGCAGACAATGAAGGAAGCCATTCCCAAACTCCGGGAACAAATAAAAGATGCTAGTATGTCAGATCTCAAGGACTTTTTGGAAAACATCAGAAAACACTCAGCAAAAATTGGAGAAGTAGCAATGAAGCATGTAGGTTATGCTAAAATCAGCACAGGTCTTATAATGTGATTATTAAGTATAAACTATAAAATAATGGCACTTTTATGCAATGTACATGTAATTGAATATTTTTCAAAAAAAATACATGAGGCCTAAAAAAATATTTTAATAATACAAACAATTCAGTCCACAAAAATATTGACTTGCCATATGCATAAAATTTTAGGCTTGTGTGGTTTAGTCTGATGAACATTTCTCTCATACTTTTAAATAGGCTGCTGAACAGAATAATATGGATCCAGCCATAGTACAGTCCAATAAGAAAGTGAAAACAAAGAGGGCACCTAAACCTCCCAACCCGTTTACTGGGGAGATTGAGAAAGAGGAGGAGGATCAATCTAAGGGTGTTATTGCTGACCCCAGCGGGGATGATATGGGGGTGTGTATGGTGTAATTCATGTGATATACACATGTATTGTAATGCTATAGAAAAAATCACTTCAAGTATATCAAATGAATTTTTTAAGAAATCTGTACTTTATTAATAATGTGTAAATATAAAATTATCAAAGTTTAAATCTATCAAAATGTATAATGTGATGTTATGAAAAATAAGATTACATCACTACACTTTTTAGCTCACCTGAGCTGAAAGCTCAAGTGAGCTTTTCTGATCACATTTTGTCCGGCGTCCGTCTGTCTGTAAACTTGTCACATTTTAAACTTCTTTAAAACCGCTGGGCCAATTTCAGCCAAACTTGACACAAAGTATCCTTGGGTGAAGGGGTTTCAGGTTTGTTCAAATGAAGGGCCACGCCCTCATTCAAGGGGAGATAATTGGGAATTAATGAAAATTTGGTGGCATATTCAAAAAATCTTCTTCTCAAGAACCACTGTGCCAGGAAAGATGAAACTTATGGGGTAACATCCTCAGGTAGTGTAGATTCAAGTTTGTTCAAATCATGTCACCCGGGGGTAGGGCGGGGCCAAAATACAAAGTTTTACATAGAAATATAAAGGAAAATTCTTTAAAAATCTTCTTCTCAAGAGTGACAAAGCCATAATTCATCATATTTATATGGAAGCATGCTCAGGTAGTGTAGATTCAAGTTTGTTCAAATCATGACCCCCCGAGGTAGGGTGGGGCCAAAATGGCTGACCAAAGTTTTACATAGTAATATATAGGAAAATTCTTTAAAAATCTTCTTCTCAAGAATGACAAAGCCATAATTCATCATATTTATATGGAAGCATGCTCAGGTAGTGTAATAGTTTGTTCAAATCATAGGGGTAAAATAAAATGGCCGACCAAAGTTTTTAAAGATATATATAGGAAAATTCTTTAAAAATCATTTTATAAAAAATAGCAAATCCACGATTGGTCAAAGGACTACTTTTGGATTTAAACTTTACAATAAAAAGCCATTTTCTTCTTTTTCCTACCCTTAGTGCTCAGGTGAGCGATGTGGCCCATGGGCCTCTTGTATAACTTTAGGATAATGGTGTTTATATATGTATGTATAAACTTCTTTAAAATATAATTTTCAAATGGACAGAATTGTTATTTCTTAATCACATTCTCTATTTTAGGAGCTGAGTGCACAAGATCTGATAGACTTTTCTCCTGTGTATAGATGTCTTCATATCTACACTGTATTGGTAGGTGTCTTTATTGGTAACATATTACACATCCAAGTACCACTGTACTGCTACAGAAATATACATGTTTATGCAATTTATGAAACATCAGTCTAATTATTTTAGGGAGACAAAGAGAAATTTGAAACTTACTACAGAAAACAAAGACGAAAACAAGCTAGACTTTCTCTCCAACCCCCATCTAATATGGTAAGTGTGGAACATACATAATTCATCTAATATCTAAAATAAAACTATTCTCAATTTAATATGCAAAGTATTTAAAAAATTTGCATCAAATTTAAAACAAGGTTGGAAGTTACAAAACATAAAAAATTCCAATTTCTAAGAGAGTTATTATTTGACAGAGACATTAGTGATATATATATGTGCAACTATTTTGTAATTTTAGAATTTTTATTTGCCACAGAATATTAAAGATTTCATGGGAAATATTCTAAGAATACATCATGTATTAGGAATCTGTGTAATCTCTCTACTTAGCTTCAATTGAATAAACATTTTCAGAAGGTGTGTCTTTTGTCCTGATGTAAAATTTCAATTTGTATCTTGTAGCATGAATCCATTGAAAACTTCAAGAGATATTTCCATGATATTGTTGGGTTTGTATATTTTTATTAATTGTCAAATTTTTGTTTTCTATAAGTTTTATGAAATATGTATATACATGTGTATTGGATTGTAATTAATGAACATAGAAATGACAATAAATATTAACAACTTACTGTAATACAGGAAACTCGTATTGAATTGAATAATAAAACAAATGAGGTGTAACCTGTCTGTATTTTTAGGTTCTTTGTGGTAGAGGATCACATTCTGAGTACCACTCAGGGACTCGTAAATCGAGCCTACATGGATGAGCTCTGGGAAATGTCAGTCTCCAAACTCGCTGCTTCTCTCAGAACAAGTGCTGTAAGACTTGATAGCCATATAAATTTTTTCTTAGAAAATTTATGTTTTAGGTTATTACAATTGTGAATATGTTGATCAGTGATCAGAAACAATTGCCAAGAATAAGAACATTTTATTCAATCTTGTACAATCTGTATTTATGAAGATTTTGTAATTATTTATGATGTACTCTATCTTGCATTGCAGGCCTCCTGTAAGGATTCGGAGATGATGCTAGATATTAAGAAGCTGATTGTACTGTTCTGTCATACCCTGAGGGTAGGTAAACAGCACATTTTTTTTACTGATAACCAATGTGTTCCTTTTCGTTGTTTTATGTCCCATAGAGTCACTGACATACATGTATTATGATTATATTGACAGGGGTATGGTTTTAGTGTAGGACATCTATTAGAGTTGCTGTTAGAGATGAGGTAAGGAGGTTTCCATCTTATACACATGTACAGTTTATGCATTAGTGTTTGGCCAAACTCAATGAAGACCTGATGCATACATGTGCAAATGGCAGAAATTCCATTTAGCAATTTTCATGCTATTAAAAAATATTTTCTTAGAAAATTTCAAGGTATATTCCCTGTGGATGTCTTTAACATAGCTGCATACATCCTTTTAATTTCTTTTCTGGAAATAGGTCATTTCCTTTTTATGTGCAATAAGTAATTGATATATGAGCTTCATATCAAAGGGTTTGAAGACAAGTTATCACACCTGTTATTTACCTGTAGCTATGTGAGGAAATCTTAATTTTACCTTTTCCAGAGACCAATATAGTGATATTCTGACCAGACAGTGGGTAGACATCTTCAATGAGATCTTCAATGAGGATAACTACACTCCTATCTATGTAGAGTCAGTAGAGGAGTATACAGCTATTGTCACACAGTTTCCATTCCAAGATGAAGAGCTTGAACAGGTGAGAAAATATTTCTAACTTATCTAAAATATCAAACTACAGTTGAAGTCAGGGTAAAACATTTTTTGATTGTCCACTTGAAGATTTTGAAAATTTCTTTTCAGGAAAAGGATCTAAATCATTCACAGGTGTGGGGATAACTTTCTCAATTACTACAAACCAAAGCATGATAAATTAAATCCTACTATATATTTATTGATACCTGAAGGGAGGGAGGGGAGGTTTGGTTCAGTGCAAGAATTATTAAAAGAAAAGAATTACTGTCATAAAAGTAGTGTGTATGATACAATCAAAATAGTCTGGTATGGCATTGCCTCTACGATAATATTAATTTGGGCAAAGCAAAGAATTATTCACTTTATGGTTCTTTTGCTTGGTCCAGCTACATATATCTTACCCATGTAACCAAATATGTTTGCCTAAAACCAAGTCAACAATTTACATATGTATGTTTGACTGCTTGTAAAACCTCTACATTTTGACCCTTAAAGTTATTCTCAAATCCTCATACGATCTCTTTGGAGTCATTTTGTGGATTACTTCAAATTTTATCATGCATTGTTTAAATGATTTTATTATCTTGAATATTTTTTAGGGATGTCAACGAATAGTCGACTATTCGACTGTCAGTCGAATGAACCGACGATCGAATAAGGAAACAACATTCAAATATTAGAAAAATGCGAGAAAATGGGGTGATAATGAAATTTTCATCTCAAAATGGAAAAAGGGTCCTTCCTCAAACTATACAGCTGTATAGTGTACGTTTTCAGACGAATAAAAACAGTCACAGTATAAAAATAATTTTTCCACATTGTACATATGGAAAATACAGTAATTACATGCTGCGATTATTATTTCTCAATCCCTGACTTTTTTTTAGCTCACCCGAGCCAAAGGCTCAAGTGAGCTTTTCTGATCAAAATTTGTCCGTTGTCTGTCGTTGTCGTTGTCTTCGTTGGCGTCGTCGTTGTCGTAAACTTTTCACATTTTCATCTTCTTCTCAAGAACCACTGGGCCAATTTCAACCAAACTTGCTACAAAGTATCCTTGGGTAAAGAAGATTCAACAAATGTATGTGCCCTTTTCCAAGGGGAGATAATTATGAATTAGAGAAAAATTAATGGCATTTTTAGGTCACCCGAGTCACTCAGGTGACCTATTGCGATCCGTTTTCGTCCGTCATTGTCTGTCGTGTGTCTTGTATCGTGTGTCGTGTGTTAACATTTGAACATTTTCAGCTTCTTCTCTGAAACCACTAAACCAATTTCAACCAAATTTGGTATACAGCATCTATGGGTGAAGGGGAACAAAAATTGTGAATTTCATGGTCCCCGCCCCCTTGGGGCCTGAGGGGTGGGGCCAAAACCACTAAAATTAGTGCAATCTTTTACAATCTTCTTCTTTACTCCTGGACATCAAGCAGGCTAACTGTTGACATGAATATAATAAGCATTGAGTCCTCTACCAAAATTGTGAAAGTCATGGCCCCAGGGTCAGGGGTTCTAGTGCTAGGGTGGGGCTAAATAGGTTATATAGTGAAAATGCATTATTTCCTTAAAAATCTTCTTCTCTGCTCCTGGGTATTAAATAAACTAACTAAGTACATAGTTATGATGAGAAAGAATGCCTCTTCCAAAATTGTGAATTTCTTGGACCCAGGGTCAGGGGTTCTGGTGTTAGGGTGGGGCTCTATTATTTATATAGTGAAAATGCATTGAATCTCTGAAAATCTTCTTCTCTGCTCTAGGGTATTAAATAAACTAACTAAGTACATAGTTATGATAAGCAAGAGTGCCTCTTTCAAATTTGTGAATTTCATGGCCCCAGGGTCAGGGGTTCTGGTGTTAGGGCGGGGCTCTATTGATTATATAGTGAAAATGCATTGAATCTCTGAAAATCTTCTTCTCTGCTCTGGGGTATTAAATAAACTAACTAAGTACATAGTTATGATGAGCAAGAGTGCCTCTTTCAAATTTGTGAATTTCATGGCCCCAGGGTCAGGGGTTCTGGTGTTAGGGTGGGGCTCTATTGATTATATAGTGAAAATGCATTAAATCTCTGAAAATCTTCTTCTCTGCTCCTGGATATTAGATAAACTAAGTAAGTACATAGTTATGATGAGGAAGAGTGCCTCTTCCAAATTTGTTAATTTCTTGGCCCCAGGGTCAGGGGTTCTAGTGCTAGGGTGGGGCTATATAGATTATTCAGTGAAAATGCATTATTTTTAGGTCACCTGAGTCACTCAGGTGACCTATTGCTGTCTGTTTTCGTCCGTCGTCGTCCGTCGTACGTCGTTCGTCGTACGTCGTTCGTCGTCAATCGGTCGTAAACTTTTGAACATTTTCAGCTTCTTCTCTGCAACCACTGAACCAATTTCAACCAAATTTGGCACAAAGCATCTATGGGTGAAGGGGAACAAAAATTGTGAATTTCATGATCCCTGCCCCCCTGGGGCCTGGGGGGTGGGGCCAAAACCACTAAAATTAATGCAATCTTTAAAAATCTTCTTCTTTACACCCGGACATCAAGCAGTCAAACTGTATGCATGATTGTAATCAGCATTGAGTCCTTTACCAAAATTGTGAAATTCATGGCCCTGGGGTCAGGGGTACTTGTGCTAGGGCGGGGCTAAATAAGTATATAGTGAAAATGCATTATTTCTTTAAAAATCTTCTTCTCTGCTCCTGGGTATTAAATAAACTAACTAAGTACATAGTTATGATGAGCAAGAGTGCCTCTACCAAAATTGTGAATTTTATGGCCCCAGGGTCAGGGGTTCTGGTGTTAGGGCGGGGCTCTATTGATTATATAGTGAAAATACATTATTTCTTTGAAAATCTTCTTCTCTGCTTCTGGGTATTAAATAAACTAACTAAGTACATAGTTATGATGAGCAAGAGTGCGTCTCCCAAAATTGTGAATTTTATGGCCCCAGGGTCAGGGATTCTGGTGTTGGGGGGGGGCTGTATTGATTATTACATGTATAGTGAAAAAACATTAAATCTTTGAATATTTTGTTCTTTGCTCCTAGGTTTTAAGCAGATGAACTACCTATATAGTTATGAGCAAGGGACCTAATCTTCAAGAATTGTAAATTTCAAGGCCCCAGGGTCAGTTGTACCATAGAGGGGGGGGGGGGTGTACTTACATACTGAAAATGAATGAATTGTTTGAAATTTGCTCCTTGGTATTAATCAAATTTTTTTTGAAAAGCAAGGATGCCTTTCCAAAAATTGTGCAATGTGTGGATCAAAGCCTAAGAGTCAAGGATTCATGTGTGGTAGCGGCACTACTGATTATTGCTGAATATTACTGATTTGTTGAAATGCATTTTTTGTTCCCCTACCCTGCCTATGGGTATTAAGTAACCAAACTAAGGAACTGCTAAGTGTATAGTTATGATTACCAAATTGTAAATGCTATAGCATCTGGCTTAAAACATGGATCAAATTCAATCACTGGAAAGTTGTTGAATAATGCTCAGGTGTTTTTTTAAAAAATTCTCCTCTGATCCTGAGTATTAAATAACTAACTAAGTACATAGTCATAATGAGCAAGAGTGCCTCTTCCAAATATGTTAATTTCATGGCCCCTATGTCAGGGGTTTAGCTATTTGGTGTAAGGAGAGGGAGGCTCTACATTACATAAATTCTTTGAAAATCTTTTCCTTTGCTCCTGGGTATTATGCCAATGATCTAAGTATATATATATATATTTATGATGAGGAAAGGTGCATCTAGCAAAATGGTTAATTTCATGCCCCCCTGGGTCAGGGGTATCGGGGGGGGGGGGGGGTACATAGTCTGAAAATAAATGAATGCTTTGAAATTTACTCATTAGTATTAATCAACCATATTTGATGAAATAACATTTATGATGATAAAATTTTGAAATATGTGGCCCCAGGGTCCATGGTTTCTGTGGGATAGGGTGCACAATTGCATGGTTTAGAATGGAAGTGCATTTTTCTCTTAGTTACTCTGATCTACTTATGGGTGTTAAGTGACTATCTAGTAAGCATTGCTAAGTGTATAATTATGATAAGCAGTAGTGCCTCTTTGCAAAATTGTGAATTTCATGGCCTCTGGTTTAAAACACAAACCAAATTCAATTGTTGGAAAGTTGTTACATGAAACTGAGGTGACCTATAAGGCCCGTGGGCCTCTTGTTAAAAAATCTTCTTCTCAAGAACCACTGGTCCCGGAAAGATGAAACTCATGTGGAATCATCCTCAGGTAGTGTAGATTCAAGTTTGTTCAAATCATGACCTCCGAGGGTAGGGTGGGGCCAAAATGGCCGATCAAAGTTTTACATTGGAATATATAGGAAAAATCTTCTTCTCAAGAACCATTGAGACAGGAAAGATGAAACTCCTGTGGAATCATCCCCAGGTAGTGTAGATTCAAGTTTGTTCAAATCATGACCCCCGGCGGTAGGGTGGGGCCAAATGGTCAATAAAAGTTTTACAAGGAATATCTATGGAAACCTTTTAAAATCTTCTTTTCAAGTACTTTAAAGCCATGCTTAGTGATATTTATAGGGAATCATCCTCAGGTAGTGTAGACTCAAGTTTGTTCAAATCATGACCCCCTGGGGGTTAAAATTCAAGCCCCCCCCTCCCCCCCCCCCCCCCCCCTTCAGTAAACTTTCAGTTCTGATCTGATGTGTGCTTTTTCCTAGCCAATTGCTCAGGTGAGCGATGTGGCCCCTGGGCCTCTTGTTGTTATTGCACATATTAAATTATGCAACGCTATACTGGACTATAAAATCGTTTAATTGACTTGTCCCAATTATATTTATAAACTCTAGGAATTTCAAATGCTTAGGAACACACAATATTTGCATAGCCGTGAAGTTTTAAAGTTCGATAATTATTAAAACGACAATTTTACATAAAAGACATTTTGATATATAGCTTGGGCAATCATTAATTAAAAAACAGTATTTAACATTTTCATCGGAGGTGTGGATAGTGTGTGTTTACAATTCCCCATTTCCAATTTATTTCAATTTTCCAATTTATTTTAATTAATAAGCTTTCAAAAAAAAAAACTGTGCTATTAAAAAAAAAAATAATAAATGCTCTCAATAATCGACTATCGTTCGAATAATGCTATCGAATGTTCGACTAAGGAAAATTAATATTTTGACATCCCTAATATCTTGTTCTCTTTTAAATAGGAATCATTCCCAAAAAGATTTCCCTTTTCCCTTTTTGTGCCAAATATCTACACACAAGTCAAAGCATACATCAATGCTTGCCTCAAATTCTCTGCTGATTTACACTTAAGGTAGGTTGTCTAGAAAGACTAGAATACATCTATGTATCTTAGTAGATTCAATACTTTGATATTCATATTGTAATCTTGTGTTCAGTATAGCTGATTTATGTGTATGTACTTTTAATGTGGATATTTACATGTTTCAAATTAAGCAAATAAAACAGCAAAAACCATATGTACATATAGGGATATTTCATTATATCAAGATTATGCATTGTTAATACTGAATAAAAGACATAGGTAAAAGGGAGAGGATTTACAATATGTGTTACTGTATGTTAAAGTTTAATTCCCTGAATTGCTTTTGTTAGCCATACAGAAATAGATGATATGATTCGGAAATCAACAAACCTGTTACTGACCAGAACACTGGGTAGTTGTTTGTCTTCGTTAATCAAGAGGCGGGACTTAACGTTACTACAGGTAAAAACTGAGTATTTACATCAGTGTGATACTGTAAATTAATTTATAGAGAGAATTTTGTCTGCTCGACAAAATTTCATGCTCAAGTATTCTATTGAAAAATATGTAGAGCAATAATCAAAATTCATTCAAATTTTTAGGTCACCTGAGTAAACTCAGGTGACCTATTGCTATGTGTTTTCGTCCATCGTTGCCCGTCGTGCGTTAACATTTAAACATTTTCAGCTTCTTCTCTGAAACCGCTGAACCAATTTCAACCAAATTTGGTATATAGCATCTGTTGGTGAAGGGGAACAAAAATTGTGAATTTCATGGTCCCTGCCCCCCTGGGGCCTGGGGGATGGGGCAAAAACCACTAAAATTAGTGCAATCTTTAAAAATCTTCTTCTTTACTCCTGGACATCAAGCAGTCAAACTGCTGGTATGATTGTAATCAGCATTGAGTCCTCTACCAAAATTGTGAAATTCCTGGCCCCAGGTTCAGGGGTTCTGGTGTTAGGGCGGGGCTCTATTGATTATATAGTGAAAATGCATTAATTCTTTGAAAATCTTCTTCTCTGCTCCTGGGTATGCTTCTCTGCTGCTGGGTATTAAATAAACTAATTAAGTTCATAGTTATGATCAGCAAGAGTGCCTCTACCAAAATTGTGAAATTCATGGCCCCAGGGTCAGGGTTTCTGATGTTAAGGCGGGGCTCTATTGAATATATAGTGAAAATGCATTATTTCTTTGAAAATATTCTTCTCTGTTCCTGAGTATTAAATAAACTAATTAAGTACATAATTATGATAAGTGAGAGTGTCTCTACAAAAATTGTAAATTTTATGGCCCCTGGGTCAGGAATTCTGTTGTTAGGGTGGGGCTCTATTGATTATATAGTGAAAATGCATTAAATCTTTGAAAATCTTCTTCTCTGCTTCTGGGGTATTAAATAAACTAACTAAGTACATAGTTATGATGAGCAAGAGTGCCTCTTCCAAAATTCTGAATTTTATGGCCCCAGGGTCAGGGGTTCTCGTGTTAAGGCGGGGCTCTATTGATTATATAGTGAAAATGCATTTATTCTTTGAAAAGCTTCTTCTCTGCTTCTGGGTATTATAAACTAATTAAGGACATAGTTATGATGAGCAAGAATGCTTCTACCAAAATTGTGAATTTTATGACCCCAGGGTCAGGGGTTATGGTGTTAGGGTGTGGCTCTATAATGATTATATACTGAAAATACATTACATCTATAAAAATCTTTTTCTCTACTCCTGGGTAATAAGCAGATGAACTATTTATATGGTTATGATGTGCAAGGGCTTTTCTTCCAGAATTGTGAATTTCAAGGCCCCTGGGTCAGGGATACCAAAGAGGGGGGGGCTCTACTTATATACTAAAAATGAATTGTTTGAAATCTGCTCCTTGGTATTAATCAAACATTTTTGATAAGCAAGTGTGCATTTCAAAAATTGTGCAATGTGTAGACCTAGGGTCAGGGGTTCATTTGTGGTAGGGGCACTCATGATTATTGCTGAATATTACTGATTAGTTGACATGCATTTTTGTTCCCTTACCCTGCTTATGGGTATTATTAAAGTAAACAAACTAAACATTTGCTAAGTGTATAGTTATGATTAGCAATGGTGTCTCTTTCAAAATTGTGAGTGCCTTAGCATCTAGCTAAAAACATGAACCAAATTCAATCATTTGAAAGTTGTTGCATGATGCTCAGGTGACCTATAAGGCCCATGGGCCTCTTGTTTTTTATTGAAATGCCAAAAATCAATTTTAAAAATTCTGATATGAGCTGTTGCCAAAATTAAGTGATCTATAGGAGATTTGAAGTGCTTCATAATTCTGAATTTTTAAAATGATATTTAATTTTTTTTTTGTAGTTGATACAAATTGCCATAAATATGAATTACTTGGAGAAATCTTGCAGCTACCTAGAAGAATATATTTCTACCATAACGGGGTAGGTCTTGTTTCAAAAGTTTTGCAGATTGCACGATGCTTATGAACAATAACCACTTAAACATTTACCAATTTAAGATATAGATTCAATATCTTTAATGTAGAATGAATTAAATTATATGTAAGCATCTGTTAAGAATATTAAGATATGACAACAACAAAAATAGTCAAGAAGTCTTTAATGTAAACTCAAATCAAAGATAACAAAAAAAGGTAAATGTTTGAACATTTGCCTGTAATGTATACAGTAAATTGTGAATATCGAAGTGCAAGGGATGGATGATTTTCCTTTGTTATAAGCGTAATTTGTTATATCCGTAAAGTTTATAATATATTTGGAAGTCATGGAGAATGAAAATTACTTCATTGTAAGCATCAATTTGTTCTAATCATGTTTGCTATAACCGTGTTTTACTGTATTTTAAGATCTTCAAATAATTGCCTGCAGGAAATGGTTAGGTCCACAGTTAGGGTTTAATCAATTTGGTCAGAAATAATGTATGTAGGCCATTAATTTCTAAATATGATATTAATTTAATCTACATATTGAAGTTTGTGCTTGCAAAAAAAAAGAGATTTATTTATTTGTATTTAAGAGGAATGTGACTCAGATGAGCCTTTAGCATCTTGTTTGATGTGATTGAAAGGTTTGATTCTGTATTTTGTAGAGCCCAGAGTGATAGTGTACACATGGCAAGGCTCCATGGAACCTCAATGTTTAAGGTATGAGTGTATAATTTTAGCACAATTTTGAATTCACCATAAAGGGAAATAACTACATCATACATGTATTCAATTTGCTTCATAAGCACTTGTGTATATTTGAATATAGTATAATAATTAAAACTTAGTCCCATTATTTTTCCAGGATTCCAGAAGTGATGCGGAGGAGCACATATACAACAAACTTAATTTAAAGATTAGTGAATTCATAGAACTAGGTACAGCTAACTGTTAAATTACTGAATCTCATACTTACTTATTTTCTTTATCTATTATGACTTAATATTTCTAATTTAATATGACAAATAATTAAAATGGATTAAAAATGTACATGTATCAAACTATATGAAAGGTATATTAAACTATTTTTAAATTTTGCAAATGCAATGCATAATAAATTATATTTTCCTCAATCTCCATGCCTTGCGGTGAATGTTACTTTTAAATTTCACTGTCGTTTATTACAGCTAACTATGACTGGTTGCTGCCCGAGTCTAAGGGACACGCTAGCGGTTATATCACAGATCTGGTGGCTTTCCTTCAGAGTACCTTCATGTCTTTCACAAACCTTCCAGTAAGAAGTTAGAACTGTTATCACATGTATCTCCCAAACTCTCTCATCAGTAGGATTGTAGGAAGCTTGTTGTATTCATGGCTTTGGTCCATGCATAAATAGCAAGTAGGATTTTCTATTCTAGACAACGACTTTTTTTGTGGATTGCATTTTAATTTACAATAAAGGAGTCGAAATTCCACAAAGAATGAGATTAGACTGCCCTCCCTTCCATTCCAATGAGGCAGGGAATGTGTTGTTTTTCCAGTTCTGAATGTAGTTATAAACCATATTTATACTAAAATTCTTGCTCTCCTGAATTTTTATAACATGTTCCAGTGATTCGTTTTCAGGATATTAGTTTTAACCCATCGGTAAAAATTACATTTGAGTTTTTAGTTGAATAAAGAGTCTTTTTAATAAAGCTAGAAGTGTTATTTTTAAAGGCATTTTTATTTGGTTATCTTAGAACCTAGTTTTGATTCCATTTTTGCTTTATAGTTATAAAATTTAGTTTTAACAGAATTATCACTCATGAAGAGAGAAATCTAAATAGTTTTGTGAAATTTGCCAAATGCAGAAAATATTTGAAAAGGTTGTATTAGCCCTCAAGAATGAACATTAGTGGCATTTTCATTCTTTTCATTAAATATTAAGAAAATGAAATCTATAAAATGTAAAGAAACTTCCAGCAAGAATTTTAAAAGATCACAAGAATATTTGTCACCAAAATAATTATTCATTCTCTATCATGTTACAGACTTATTTAAAGAATGTTTTTTAAAAATAAATAATTTTTCCCCACAGGAAAAGGTCGCCAAAACTTCTTGTATGTCTGCATGTAAACATGTGGCTACATCCCTAATGGAGTTTATAATGGATAACAACGTCAAACATGTGACTATGGGAGCACTGCAGCAGTTCAACCTTGACCTTATTCAGTGTGAACGTGAGTGAAAAACTACTTGCAATATAATTATACATGTACATGTATATCAAGTCAGTAAGGTAACGGTTTGTATTTTTGAGGGGAGGGGGGTGGAAATTTGGAAACGTTATGCATTATGAACATAAATGATCATGCCTCCATCCAGATTTGGAGCAACAGTGATTAATAGCTGACACAATTTCTTCTCTTTTACATTATGACAATGAGAACTGAAACATTGTTGATAACTCAAGGCACATCATCAATCTCCAAACAAAAACAAAAAAAATAAAAGTTGCAATGTTTGTTATGTTTTCAGAATTTGCAGCTTCTGCTCCAGTACCTGGTACAAGAGATGGGACGTTACTCATGGCGTTTGCTGATCTTAGGCAAGTAAGTATCTGAATAAGGCTTTCTTTATTTCAGTGTCGGTGCTACATACAGTATTACATGATTCCTTATCTTTCAGCTTTTGGACCTCTTCCTGAACTGGGACTGGTCCATTTACCTGGCAGATTATGGTCAGCCTACATCCAAATATATCCGGGTGAAACCTAGTGATGCCATTAGTTTGTTAGAAAAGTAAGTAATATATCCGGGTCAAACTTAATGATGCCATTAATATGTTAGATAGGAAAGTAATATTTCCAGGTCAAACCAAGTGATGCCATTAATATGTTAGAAAAGTAAGTAATATATCTGGGTCAAACTTAGTGATGCCATTAATATGTTAGAAAAGTAAGTAATATATCTGGTCAAACCTAATGATGCCATTAATATGTTAGAAAAGTAAGTAATATATCTGGGTCAAACCAAGTGATGCCATTAATATGTTAGAAAAGTAAGTAATATATCTGGGTCAAACCAAGTGATGCCATTAGTTTGTTAGAAAAGTAAGTAATATATCTGGGTCAAACCAAGTAATGCCATTAGTTTGTTAGAAAAGTAAGTAATATATCTGGGTCAAACTTAGTGATGCCGTTAGTTTGTTAGAAAAGTAAGTAATATATCTGGGTCAAACCTAATGATGCCATTAATATGTTAGAAAAGTAAGTAATATATCTGGGTCAAACCAAGTGATGCCATTAATATGTTAGAAAAGTAAGTAATATATCTGGGTCAAACCAAGTGATGCGATTAATATGTTAGAAAAGTAAGTAATATATCTGGGTCAAACCAAGTGATGCCATTAGTTTGTAGAAAAGTAAGTAATATATCTGGGTCAAACCAAGTGATGCCATTAGTTTGTTAGAAAAGTAAGTAATATATCTGGGTCAAACTTAGTGATGCCATTAGTTTGTTAGAAAAGTAAGTAATATATCTGGGTCAAACCTAATGATGCCATTAATATGTTAGAAAAGTAAGTAATATATCTGGGTCAAACCAAGTGATGCCATTAATATGTTAGAAAAGTAAGTAATATATCTGGGTCAAACCAAGTGATGCCATTAGTTTGTTAGAAAAGTAAGTAATATATCTGGGTCAAACCAAGTGATGCCATTAATATGTTAGAAAAGTAAGTAATATATCTGGGACAAACTTAGTGATGCCATTAGTTTGTTAGAAAGGAAAGTAATGTTTCCGGGTCAAAACCAAGTGATGCCATTAGTTTGTTAGAAAAGTTAATAATTTATCTGGGTCAAACCTAGTGATGCCGTTAGTTTGTTAGAAAAGTAATATATTTTTTTATCAATGATAAAATATTTCACTTGGTGTTAGAGGAAAACAAAATCCCAAAACATATTAGCTGTGAAGTTATATCATTGCAATAAGATCATTTCCTTTTCGTGGAGACGTAAAATTCACTCATGTTTCTATTTAGGCTGAGTAATACCGACAATAAGAAAAAGAACTTGTTTACGTCTTTGAAAAAGAATGAAAGAGACAAGAAAAAATTGATAGATACTGTCTTAAAGCAACTTCGTGGGTTAGTGAATGGAACTCCTTCCATATGAATTTTGAAAGCAACACTGGAAGAACAGTATTACCTAGGAGATCAAACTTCTGAAGATTTGAAATTTCTGGAATGCAGTCATTGGCTATATCAACTCAAAGGATTTTTTTATATCAGTGTGTCCACATGAAAATAAGTTCAACAGGATTTTTATTCTTGTTCATTTTTTAAAGTCACTGATCAATTGAATGAAATATGTTTTTGATAATACTTGTGTGAATTGATGCTAATTAATGTAATTTTTAATGTATAACTACCAATATGAGATGTTAAGTTTGAAGCTACCAAATATTCCACGATACTGAATATTTTGTACATCAATATCAATAGATATATGCACGTTTTCCGTACCAATTGTAACCTCTGAGGTTATTCCTTGTATTATTTTAATACAGACTGCTGTTTTTTGGCGGTCATTTAACATTAGTGTTAAGAGTTGATTTGTCGCATCTAGAAATTGCACCCTTTTTATAGTTGTATGATGTAGGTAATAATTTTAACTAAAAGCAAACATTTAAAACATGAATGATGCAATTTATTTTCTACATATAAAAATTATCCCATCTCACACCAACACATAGTTCTTTTGAACAGTCTTTTTTACTCAATAACCATTAATTCCAGTATTTATAATTTTGGTTGTTAAAGATCAATTCTCATTAATGTCACACACATAAAGAGACATTTATCACAGTTTGAATGAGTGATCTGATTGTCATTTGTGTAGATATATATCACTTGTAAAACTTAATGCTTGCACATACTGCAGCATTTACATTGTTTATCATGTACCAAACAAGTCACAAACTCATTGTCACTTCAGCTGCTGCATATGATAGTCTTGATCATTAAATGGACTTGATGCAGCTTCAATTTTAACAGATGCTTCCATTGTCACTCACATGTATATGTAAAACACAAGGGGTGCTTCTTTCAAGATTTATTTTGAGCATCACATGTAATAGCCACCAGTACAGCCACAGTAAGGTTTGGGTAATCCTTTGTACAAATCTTATTTATTGGTAATACCTATATAATATAAAGCTACTACCATATTTTGGCTTGAGGGGTTAAACATAGTATCCAAATATACTACAACAGATATACTGTGCCAGTAGTTAGCATCAGTTTGAAGACATCTTGTTTGTATTTAGATGGTGGTAAGCCACTTTGTGTGATTTATCATTTTTGCAAAAAAAGAAGTTAGTTGCAAGTGTTATGAATTCTAAGTGCAAGGGCTAGGGAGGGTTTCAATATTTATTAATCAATGTGCAATATAACAAGTGATCCCAATTACATCACTTTTATCATATGTATTTCTTTGTTGATTTTATTTCCTTGTGCTTGAAAATTTGGAAATAAAAGTTAAATTATTGTTGGATGTTAGTTCTGAATTACATCATTAAAGAAAAGGATTACCTAGAAGCTGGATCAGAGATATTTCTTCCGTAAACGGAATTATCTGAATGATTATAAATAATTAATATTTCAGCCCTTCTGTGTTACTTCTTAGAGTCTTATTATGTACATGCTGATATATGCATAAAACATGTACAAACTGTAGTAAAAACTTGAGTTTAGGAGAATGCACAGTTTATGTTACAAATTTTATGTTTTTAAAATTTTTTTTTCTTTTCAAATTATTTTAATGCTTCAAATACATTTATGCAAAAAAAGTTTAAAAGTTAAATGAGCTTGAAAGATATATAAGTTCTGGATATATAAGTCATTAATTGGTTACACATGACTTATCTAAAGATTATTTTCTTTAAAAAAAATTGTCCAAAGCCATGCATACACTTAAATTTTAATAAATAATAATTCTATTGCCCTGGGGTAATGGGTTCTGGTGGTGGGGCAGGGCTGTATTGAATATACAAAGAAAATCTTCAACTTCTTTGAAAATATTCACTTTGGTAATAATGAGTAAACAAACTATGTGCATGGTTATGTTGGCAAGGGGCCTCCTTCGACATTGTGAATTGAGCTACAATGTTCAGGTAGTGTTTGGTCAAAGAGTCTGTTTCTAGGAAAAGAGATGTGGGTATTTTTCATTATCTAGTTATTAAATCTTGATCAGTAACCAAAAAATAATAAGTTGTAATCCAATGATTTTTTTAGAGTGGTCATTAAGTGTTAGAAATTTTCTAGAAGTTAAAAGAAAAAAATGCATAAAACACAATTCTCTAGCACCCCACCCCCCAAAGTCGTTAATATTCATCCACTTCTGCATTGTAAGTAGGTAGGTTCTCCGTTTATAAGCTCAAGTAGATAAATATTTGTCATGCATCTCAATTTTCACACATATGCGAATATATTTATCTAGTAAGGTACTTTTAAAATTTCAAATGTGTACATAGTTAAGCCATTTTCAAAATTCATCATGACTCAAACAACTTGTATCAGTTTGGCCTTTGACTTGCATTGTGCTGATCGGAGATACGCTATTCAGCCTTTGACATCAATGTAATACATACCGATTCACGTTTCTCTGTAAATACTCAATTTAAACAAATGATTGAGAACGGAGACATTTATCATGCCTTCAGGCATGTTCCCCTGGTGGTTGAAAATTTTTGGTCCCAGCTTGTACGCGTGCATGTAGGAGACAATGGACCAAAACTGGGTCTGGTTTGCTATATCGGAGGTTCAATCTTTAGGGTTCCCAAAAGAGCAACTTTTGTGTAAATTTTCAAAGGATAGGGTCAAGAGGGTTGTTCTATATCGCTACTGTCATCGTCATGAACTCTAAATTTAAATTTCCAAAAGAAATATACACACTACGTTGATCTGTTCACCGATTATTTGAGTAAAATTATAGGTTTTTACTGGTTCCATAATGACGGGTTAACGATGCTGGGCGGAAATCTTTCTAAAATCTTAATTTATAGGTATATTGTGTAATGTCTATACATCTCAGAATAAAGCTCTCTAGGCCCTTTTCTCATGACAATATTTTCTCATTATGGTGGTGCCTATAGACTGGTCCTGGTTCCTACGTGGCGCACAATGTTGCCTCTGATGCTCATTGTTGCTACATCTTTTCTCTGCTACCCACGGTACCCTTTAAAAAAGAACTTCCATTGTTGTTCCTTCACCAAATCAAAAGTCTAATGCGCACAAGTGTTTAAAATTTTTTTTATTAATATTCTATATAGACACAACGCACATTTATATCTTTATTCGGAAGCATTTTTATTATAACATCACATTTGAGTTTTGGCACAATGAGGCAATGTAAGACTAGATGATTTGACAGATGAGATGTAGACGAATGTATGATGCACGCAAATTATTCGTTAAATAATTTGAAAACATTTACATTATGTATAATTGATTTATAACTCGCATAATAAACATAAGGGTATACTATATTACTGTATACTAGTATATAATTTAATTTAATAAATTTATACAATCAAACCTTGTTATATAGAACTCATGGGGCCGACAAATATGAGAAGATTCAATATATTTAGCTAAAATTCATTTACTGAAGCAATGAGAAAACAAATTTGGAACCTACGGAAGCCCATTAGTGCCAACCTGTATATATAAAGGAAAAGCAATATATAAAAGCAAACCTCGATATATAAAGGAAATGCGATATATATCTCGATATATATAAAGGAAATGCGATATATATAAACACAACTGGGATATATATAAAGGACATGCGATATATATAAACAAAACCCGAAATATATAAACAAAACCTTGATATATATAATTATATATAATTGTTGACCTGTTCGACTGTCCATCAAGATTGTGTCAGATTAACCAAATCAAAAGTACTCATTTATAACTTTAACGCTATGCATAATTTGTTTAAACAAATTTTATTAATATTCTATATAGACACAACGCACATTATATATCAAAAATTTTATTCCGCCTTTGATTTCATTATTAGTATATATATTATGAAATATAACATCACATTTGCAGTTTTGGCTTTACATGTATATGATCAATGTTTTTACAACCTAGAGCTATCTTGTTTACTGTTTTACAAAAACTTAGGCGTATTACCTTTGGTTTCACGACCGAGAATTTATGAAAATAATAATGTTTAACAGGAAATCTCTTTTTTGATGCCCTAATTCAAATTTATTTAAATTCATTTTGAAAATAATTAACTAGTATGCCCATTGATTGTTAAAAAAGAAATCATTCTTGTAAATTGACAAGTAAAATTTTACTGTAATAATTTTAGGGTCTTTAATGGTATGGAAAAAAGTGTATTTTGCTTCATTTGCACACTCACATAATAAACGATTTTTTGGGATTTGAAATTCTCCATAACATATAAAACGTTAAAAAACTTATAAAGCATGATAAAACACACTTGTATGTTTGCAGAATTATAGTATATAATATACATTTTAAGCAGAAAATCAAAGTCTTTGAAATGTAAATCAATTCAAGATTATCATTCACACACTGTAAATGGTACACATGGTACAGAAACATAAAAAAAAAACATATATGGTATACATGTACATATGGAGCAGACACAGACAACACATTTTAGAGATAAATGTACATAATTTTTCAAAGAATCAACATAATTTTGGCACATGAAGAAGAACAGCAGTTTTTTAGCTTTAGTTTTAATCATCATAATTACCAAGATACACAAATAAAGAAAACAACACACTGAATTTCAAAGTGGCAATCAAAACATTCGAGCTGCTTATCGTATGTTGGCGAAGTCTCTGTTGTTATGAAGGTCATTAATTAAACATGTTAAAGGTCACGCAGTGGAAATTTTTCTCTTTATATATATCGAAGTTTTGTTTATATATTTAGCATTTCTCTTTATATATATCGCATTTGTCTTTATATATATATCGAGGTTTTGTTTATATATATCGCATTTCCTTTATATATATCGAAGTTGTGTTTATATATATTGCATTTCCTTTATATATATCGAGGTTTTGTTTATATATATCGCATTTCCTTTATATATCGAGGTTTGCTTTTATATATTGCTTTTCCTTTATATATACATACACATTAGGAACCTCCAAATCACTTCGATATGCTATAAATCGGTAACACTGTATATAGCTGGCTGGTATCTGATAATGCGTGTGACCGCAGTATACATTTTAATGCCGCAGGCTTTATCCCTTTTCCCACCTTCATCCACACACCGAGAGAAAGAACTCAAACTCACTCATCTCTTCGCCGTGGTGAAGCCACTCCCAAATGGCTTGGTTCTTCTCGGGACTGAGGTAGCGGGATTTCAGAATTTCGGGGATCTCGGGTTTGGGGGGTTTCGTCTTCTGGAGTTGTTCGTAGCTGTTGAACTTCTCCGCGGTCAGTTTTAGTCGTGGTCTCGTGGAATGTGAGCTCGTGTTGCTCATGATGCTGTCACGTGTCATGTGAGGCGCTAACGACGGACGGGAGATGGCAAGCTTGGCCGTGCCGACATCCTCTTGTGACTGTTTGAATTTATCGTCATTATAATCCTCGCCATCTTCCTGCACACTTTGGATTATTTTCTCCACTTCTTTCCGGAGTTTCTGAGCTTCTGGATGAGCTCGCGTTTTCATTGGAAGATACAGATTGGACCTTGTTTTCATTTGGTCAAGATCAAAATTTGACCGCCTTGAGCCACCGGCGGGAGCGGATCTGGCGTACAGTTTCCTTATTTTCTCCGACTCTGAATTAATTTCCACCGGAACAGATTTTAACAGTTTTCTTGTCCACTTTGTATCACCTGTATTTGTATCAAAATGAATTTTTGCACTTAACTTCAATTTGTTTTCGTCGAACCTGAGTTTATCGCTTGCGTACGGCTCTTGGAACATTGCCCTGAGGTCTGTCCGATAGTGGTTATTAATTGAGATCATGGACTTATCAATTGGTAGAATATAACTAATGCCTTTGCTGACTCGCTCTCGCGTGATGGCATCCTTCATTTGTGGAATTGGCGGGAGATCCGGCCACTCGTATTCCAGTAGTTCTACATGGTACTCCTCGGCGCTGTCCGTGACCTCCGGTTTACCCCCGTTGGTCTGGGGGTGGACACTGGGGCTCGTTCTTGGACGAGCGAAACGGAGATCAGGCGATGCTATATCACCCGGCATGTTTTCCTACAGAATCATGGTTCTAATTCATTCCTACAAAGTAAAAGCCAAATCACTACATTTTAAAGCCTCTAAAGCTCATCTTAGTCTTCACTGAAACAATTAACAAATTATTGGATATGTTTAAAAAGTTTACTCTTGAAAGTCGGGGAAAAATTTATGAACAATAAAAAATAATATAATTATTAACATATGCATTCCAGTTTCCGACAGAGATTTTGCAAGGTTTAGAATTGCATGGTTTAAGACACCTTTGTAGCAACTTATCAAAGTGCATGTGTTTGTGTGTTGCCCCCCACCCCCATCCCATCCCAACAGACTCAAAAATCCCATTTCTTGAGGTTGGATATGAATATTTCCCTTACTTCTTCGCACACTTTTCTCCAAACTGAAAATTTGACAATGCTTAACCTTACAGCAACAAAGATTGGGGGATGGCAAAAGAAAATTTATCATAACAAGTGTATATCAAGGAAAAGTTGGGAGGGCTACCCACCCACCCCCTCCCCCTCCCCTCAATGTTAGAGAGTGGTTTTAAAATTACAAATATAACTCTCAGTTTCTGAATTAATTACAATATATACGTTCTTCTTACATTTTGTTCTAAAAACTTTGCAAAACAATGACACATGAAAACTGAAATATGTACTTTAATACAGAATTCGCTCCGAATCATTAAATATGAAAGTGTGTATATAGATAATCAATTTATAACTGTATTACCTCTTAAAAAGTTACGTCCGTCCGTAAACATACCCGGCACATGGTGAGCTATTTTTGTTGCTAAGTACATTAAGATTGACTACAAAAACCTTTTCGGACACATAGAGATTAACGCTAATCGAACGATTTCTTAAACCCATTCACGGATGCCTAGGATTAGAAATCGACCTATCAAATGTTCTACACGAACCTTTTCTCCCCCGGTATAGATAAAATGCCCACAATCGAGTTATATATACTCTTTTTTGTTTAATCTGTAATAATCCAATGTCAATAATTTGAATAAATTTAATTGTACTAACTACTGTGATAGACATTTTTATATTCTGTAAATATAATATGAAAGGAAAAATGACAAAAATTTACGAGGCCATCTACTTAAGGTTGTTAAACAAACTATTGGCCATTTGCTACTTAAGTGCGATTGAAATTTTTCTATTAAAGTTACGAATCTTGTATGTACAAAAAGTCTTACCTACTTTTTATTGTCAATACATATTCCTCCTTTTTCATCCATCATGGCATGTTTTCAATTTAAAAAAAAAATCAGTGTTCAACTGAGCAGCCCGGACTAGAAAGGACTTGTATTAATTAGCTGCCAAATGAAGCCTGATTAAAATCCTCGTTGCGCCTTTTACAGTTTAAAGGTCTAGATCGATCATTTCAAGCGCCGGCAATTGTTTTGTTAATAAAATGACACCGAAATAGTCAAAATATACATACTGGCAATATATACTGTTAAACACATCCAAATACCAGCACGCCAAATTAAACTTGATATTGCTTTACGGCCGGCAGGTTTACAGATTTATCGTCTTTCTATGGTTAAAAAAAGGTTAACATTAATTTAAGAGAAAACAGCGTACATATGACAAATTTAAATGGATCTTGATATGAAAGTTCGGTAAATAACAAAGGTAGAAATTAAAATCGGCTTTGTGGCGGATAGAAATTGCAATTTCTGTTTAGGATCAGACCCTTATATTAATTTGTTCATTAACACTCTTGAGAATTTGATTTTAACAGGTTTGTTTCCCCAATGTCGCCATTATTAATCTTCCTGAGAAGAAATGCATCTAATGTCAACATCATCATGCTCAACTATGTCTTTCAGAACTATTTTTGTATATCTTGTAAACATAATATTACCAAATTAAAAAGCTCGCCAAGCATTGCTTTCATGCACCGTAAAACACAATGAAACGAAGAATTTTAAATATTTAATAATAACGAAGGGGTAGTTTTAACACAAAATTGAAGACACCAAACTACTGTTAATTATTACCTACGAGTTCAGAACCAATAATCGTTTCCAGTTCGCAAAATGCACAGAATTTTATTCAAGCCATAAAAAAAGACAACGGTCAACAGTACAAAAATATATTCGTGGAAGTTGGCTTTCGGGGGGGGGGGGGGGGGCAAGGATATATTTTCCGGGGGTGGGAATGTCCTACTAATACATGTATATATAAATCTCTCAAGGTGGCCTGGTAAACATTTTAAAAAGTACCGATTGTTGAAGAAAGCTGCGCATATACTCATTGAATACATTGTACAAAACATTTCAATACTTTTAATAAGTAACAAAATCAATGTTTTTTTTTTCAGCAGATCTTTATTTGTATGCTTTGTCTTTCACAAATTACATATTTCAATACCCCTCTCCCGAAATTTAACTCTAGACCGAAAAAAGGTTCCACACGAGGCTCCCTTCCCTTCACAGAAAAATGACTGAAGAGTTGGATTTCCCCAACGAAATTTTACGGGGGTGGGAATGTCCTACTAATATATATAAATCTCTCAAGATGGCTTGGTAAACATTTTAAAAAGTACCGATTGTTGAAGAAAGCTGTGCATATGATGCTGAGATCATTGAAGCGGGGAGGGTGTGTTTGAGGGTGAGTGTGTGTGTGTTAATTTTTGTCAGTATATACTTTACTGTAGACATGATAGAAAAGAATTCAAAGATGTATTTTACAACTTTGCCAATTTAAAGTATAGCAGGCGCGGATCCAGAAATTTTTTCCAGGGGGGGTCCACCCAGTTCAAAAAAAAAAAAATCCAATCCCAGAAATTTCTTGACAAGCAAAAAAAAAAAAAACAAAAAACAAAAAACAAAAAAACGTTAACTCGCCCAAACGTGAAAAACCTATTTCGTTGTGAAAAACTTCTATTGCTGTCTCAAATCTCTCACATTTCATACCCATTTCAAACAAACATGTTCAGTTGATTTTTGCGTTTTCCAGGGGGGGTTGACTTTTCTCATGCTTTTATATACATTTTTTTGTGTCTGACCCCCCGACCCCCCCTCTAGATCCGCGCATGTATAGAATAGACAAGTTTTAAACCTCCATCCTTTCCAAAAAATCAGTTGAATTTTTTTTCAATTTTGCGTGTTTTTTTATTTTGTGTCTTCTTTTTGCTTTAAATGAAATGTTTTTTAAGGGCCTGAATGCACAAATATGTCCTATCTTTTTAAGCCTAATCCCAGAATAATTTTATGCCCTCGTAATCGAAGATTCGGGAGTATACACGTATATATTTTGCGCTGTTCGCAAAAAATTTACATTGCTCATAACTTTTGAGTGTGTGAGGCTATGGCTTTCAAATTTAACAGGTGTATATATTCCTTGTGATAAGACCTGTCTTTGGGTACTACCAAATTTGACCTTTTGACTTTGGAGTTTGACCCACCAAAAATTAACACTTTAACCAAGGTCATAACTTTGAACAGTTGGTGCTAGGGCTTTCAAACTTCACAATTTTATTCATTGTGACAACACCTTTCAAAGGGTATAAATACTTTTGACCTTGACCTTAGAATTTAACCCAGTATTTACAAACTTTAACCTTGGCCATGACTTTAGAACATTTAGGACTAGGGCTTTCATATTTCACAGGTGTATTCATTGTGACAAGACCTTCCTTTGGGTACCAACAATTTTGATCATTTTGACTTTGACCTTTGGAGTTTGACATGCATTTGACAAAATTCAACCCTCCTCATAAGCTGACATACAAGGGATATCAGTGTTTCACAAAATTAATACATCTTGTTCAAGCTGTAAAGCCACCTGAAATCCCACCCATTCAAATGAGAAATATAATACATTGGAATGAAAGAAAGATAAACAAAGAACCACAACTATTGGATATCCTCTTTTAATAGAGTAACAAGGCTCTTCAGCACTTTTATTTATTTCTATGCACCTTATAACATGATCTAAAGTAATGTGGTATGCAATTAAGTCATATATTATTTACTTACAGTAAAATTATTTCATTTGCAGATAATTTCAAAATTCACACTGAATGGGAAAAAAAAGATTGCAGATGACAATCCATAAATCGCTTGTCTTACAGAAAAAATGAATTCATATTTGTGATTGATGAATCATAACTTTCCAAATACAGATCTGTACCTTATCAAACTAGCATATTTAATTAAAAAAAATTAATGTACAGAATTTAATATTTTTTCATGATAATTACATAAAGCAGCCATTGAATAAATAATAATAAAAAAAAAAAAATGAAAAATTAAATCTTAGTCCAATATTCAACCTTTTTCAAATAAAGGTAAATTAACAAAAAAAAATACAAGTCTATTTCCATGTATTAAAAAATCATTTAGATGCTATAAATTATCTGCCGTCTTAGAGATTCATGCAAGCAGCAGGTGAAAGTGCTGAAAAATGAGGTACATGCAGGGAACGGGGAAAAATTCAAGTATCTTCAACCAGAACTGTCTCAAAGTCTGATTGATTCGTCCATGGCATAGACCCCCCCCTTTAACAAAAGACACTGAATTCTATTTTTAGCTATCTGAGATATTGTTTTTACAAGACCCAGACAGCTCTAATTAAGATTTTTTTTCAAAGAGCTATGATTTGTATTTTTAAAAAACAGTTTCTGAAAATAGTCCATGTATGGAACATTGTTTTATACACAGAAATATACAAACTTGAGTAAAAAAGAGGTTACTTTAATTAAAGGTTTAAAAACAAAAATGATTTTCTCTAAAAGGACACTGAGATTTCATTGCATAGCTGATAAAATTAAAAACAAAATTATTAATATTTATAATAATAATGATTAATCACAGCTAAAGTGAGAAATAAAATAAACTTAATGAGTGACACAGATCGTTTGTTTGATATTTGGACATAACCATCTAAAAATATCATGAAACAATGCCATTTATTACAGGAGTGTAAAATTTACAATATCAATGCCAAAAATAGAAGAAAAAATCAAAGAAAAATTACAATAGTTCACTAGAAATTTTCATTAAATACATGTATTAACGATACAACCAAGTGAAATCTACAATTAAAAAAAAAAGATATGTAACAAAGAAAAAAAAAGATATGTACATAGGTAAAATACCCCCGGTAATCATCAACATCCACATCTTTAGTAGATTAACAAATATTAACTTCTTAACTACTCATCATTATAAATATAAGATTTATCTGCTTGAAAAACAGTATGTACAAATATTTGAACAACCTTAATAATCTCAACTTAAAATCATATCAAAATAAGTTTTTTCTCATAAAATACAATGCCCAACATTACAAATTCCTTAAGTTAACAACTTATTTCTAAAGTTAGGCAACAATTTCCAAACTGCTACAAAAAATAAAAATTGACTTATTGTAGCGGTAACAACTGACAAAAACATGAGGTTCATGGGTCACAATGTTCACCAGAAGTACTCTTATTCTCAAATACAAATACATGTATTTTTATTAGAACACTTTACAAATTCCTATTAAGTTTTTTTTTCAAAACATATACCCCTGGTACGGGTGCGTATCAATACCGCTACATTTTCAAAATTTTCATTACCGCTACATAGTCATAACCGCTACGAAAAACCTTACATTACCGCTACATGAAAAAGTATACATTACCGCTACATTGCCTCTTTCGCTAGCCAGCCACATATGCGTGTACAGTACAACCTGATGAATGCATAAGACCCGTTTCCCCTGCTCACCACGGGTAGGTGAAAGTAGGACTTTGAGCAGGACGTTTTTTTTTATTATTAAAATCAATTTTATTTCATAAAACACACACACACACACAAATAAAATCAAGCACTGTTCATAGATAAAATTGCGAGTTTTGTTAAATGTATTTTACACTATCGCTAAAGCCTTGAAAGCCATTTGCTTGACATATTGTTGTTTTCTAAATTGAAAACCATCGATAAGTAAGCCGGCATTCCCTCAATTTGTAACAAACTTCTCAATTGTGACCATAATGTTCAGATGACACTAAATAATTACATTTCGACTGCAGAGTTATTCATATAAATATACTCATTCTGATTAGATAGTGAGTAAATTCTGTTGATTAGAACTCATATACAGAACCATACCTGGATAAATCGATATGTAGCGGTAATGAGTTGTTTTGCGCTGATTGAATATGTAGCGGCAATGAGTTGTTTTGGGCCGGAAAAATGTAGCGGTAATGATCGGTCGAAAATCTGAAAAAATGTAGCGGTAATGATCGGTCGAAAATCTGAAAAAATGTAGCGGTAATGATCGGTCGAAAATCTGAAAAAATGTAGCGGTAATGATCGGTCGAAAATCTGAAAAAATGTAGCGGTAATGAGTTGAAATATTTGGCGATGTAGCGGTAATGTTGACCTCCCCCTGGTACATGTTAAATGTATATAAAACCTCAAACCTATAAATAATAGTAGATCCCCCTTTGGCAAAAATTTTAGATTTAAAAACATAGGTAATTAAAGATTATGAAGCTCACCTCGACAAATTTTATCTATAATAAGTAAGGCAAATATCCCGTTTTTTCTAGTTAGTATGCACTCCAATATCTATGCAAGTTTGGCTGAAGTAAGACTTATATTTACTTGGAAATTGATTTGCCGCAGCTCCAAAAACTGTAAATCCAAATCAGGGGCAAGTCTGGAGGATTCCATCCTTAGTAGGGAGGTCAACAAATGGTCGACTATTCGACTGTCAGTCAAATGGACCGACGATCGAATAATGAAACGATATTTGAATATTTTATAAATGCTAGAAAAGGGGTGATAATGAAATTCTCACCTCAAAATTGAAAAAAGAGTCCCTCCTCAAACTATACAGCTGTATAGTGTACGTCCTCAGACAAATAAGAGCTCACAGTCACAGTATATAAATATGGAAAATACAGTAATTACATACTGCGATAATTATTTCTCAATCACTGACATTTTTTGTTATTACACGTAGTAAATAATGCAACGCTATACTGGACTATGAAAGCTATTTAATTGGCTTGTTTGTATCAATTACATTTATAAACTCTAGGACTTTCAAATGCTTAGATACAAAACAATATATGCATAGCTGTGAAGTTTTAAATCTTGATAATTATTAAAACAATAATCTTACTTAAAGACATTTTGATATATAGCTTGGGCAATCACTACTTGAACAAACAGTATTCAACATTTTAATCGGAGGTATGGATAGTGTGTGTTTACTTTACAATTCCCCATTTCCAATTTATTTCAATTTTCCAATTTATTTTATATGCTTTCAAAAAACATTGTGCTATAAAAAAATAAATGCTCTGAATAGTCGACTATTGTTCGAATAATGCAATCGAATGTTCGACTAAGGAAAATTAATATTTTGACATCCCTAATCCTTAGACTGTGGAGTCCTATATAGGCTTTATGATTATAGAGCTACACCAAAAATAACACCCTAGTCACTCATCTGGACACCAGACAAACTTTGATGAAAAGCACGGTGACTGTATAACATTATAATAAAGGTACATATACATGTAGCTATCTGATGAGGAACCTTGGCACATTTCACTGGGCAAGAGGAGGCAACTCTTCTCTCTAACTAACGCCCCTCCTGGATAACTCATCCTTCACCTTTCTGAGATAGGACGAGTCTGGATAACCACTACAGGAAGAAAGAATGGAATGGTAAAATATTAACATATCAGAGTATATATAAACATAGAAAGGTTTAACTCTCATATGGAGGAGTAATGTTTTGCAAAAAGAAAAAAAAAATTTCATATAATGTACTTTTTACATGAAAATGGTTATAGTTTTATTAGTGCATATACTAATAAATATTAATATTTACTTTGGAATATGGAAATTTATCACCAAGATCAATTTGTATTGAAGACATTAGACACATACTTCAAGCCATGAACTGATGTTTTGTGTGAAATACACCACTCCACGGTCCCTCGACTACTGACTCTAAAGACAAGGTCAGCCTCAAACGCCCTCTTTAGGAGCCGTAATATTTCCCTGCCCTCTGCAGAATTAGGGAGGTAGGCCTTGTGTTGTACCCCCGTGTAGGCACTACAACTGCTGGATCTGTCCTTTCTCTGAAAAAAAAACCCACGTAAGTATTGACAATAAAACATGAAGTTGCTAAAAATCAATTTTTAAACATAGCTTGTAATTCCACTCACTGATTTAATAAATGAAATACCACCATAAAATTTGTCTTTTATTTTCTCAAACAATCATTTTTAATCAAACTTGATAAAAACTTTGGTAATATTGCAATCTTGTATATTCATATTCAGCAAACACAACTTTTACAGAAGAACTTTCATTCTCCTTAGATTGATTTGTAAATACAAATGTTTATTCTTACCAGCACTTTTCCACTTGGGATATCAAACTGAATTTCAATTGCCCCCTCACAATACTCATACCCAGGGACAGACATGTTCCTCCTAGTCATGTGTGACATTGTCCCCTGGGGTAGGGAGGAGTGGACCACTGTACTCATTAACTGACTACGAGGGGAGGATTCAGCTTCTTCAGATGTGGTCTTACTGAGCGTAGAACTGGAGTACATGGCCCCACACTGAGGACATTTTGGTCCATATTTGCGGAACTGTCCTTCGATACAATCGGTACAGAATGTGTGGTTACATTTGTACAATGTTTTCGACTTTCTTATTTTTCCATGACATATTTTACAGAAGGAGACTTTATCCACACTGGGGCTCTCCAGGTTAACGGGAAGACTGTGAAATTCCTCTTCGTTGTACTCTCTGGTGTAACTCTTGAATGCTCCATTTGCAGTCTGATTCAGTTTCAATTTGGATAATTCTCTTTCCATGTTAAAGGGATCCATGGTAACTGCAGCTTTTAAAGGAGTATTTTTTGTTGTGACATTTTGAGTTGTTTTGGTTTTGGGTTTCGCTCCACCACTTGGTGGTGAGGTCGTGACCAGGGCAGGCTTCATAGCTGGTGGTTGCCGTGGTGATTTTTGTTCCTCTGATTGTTTGGTATAGGTCGCTTGACTTGAAGGTCGATTTGAGCTTGAAGGACGTGGTGATTTCTTCTCCAAAGTTGAACCACTTCCATTAACTCTTAAACTGGATGACATTTTCTTACTAGAACTTATATCATCCTTGATTTTCTTATCATTAGCTGCAGATTCTGACTTGCCCTTTAGTCTTGACAATGAACTGGACCTCCGCCGAGCTCGAGAAGTCTCATTGTGTCCCAGATCTGTTTTTCGTCCGTTATCTGTCGTTATGTCGTCTTTAATCAGTGATCTCCCGGCCACCATTTTGAGTTTGTTGGTGGTAGCTCTCCTCTTCTCCTGTAGCCGTGTGAATCTGTCGATGGCCTCGGCTGTGGCCCGGTCCTGTCCTTCGTCAAGTAGAGACTGGAGAATGGCTATAGAGGTCGCCACTCCGTCCTCATCAGTGTTGACTAGAGTTATCGCCTTCAGGTGGGCAGGGTCTCCCATCTCACTGTGGAAAATGAGAACACCATCCAGGAAACATTTGATGGAAACATCCAGAGGGGCTCCAAATACTCCTGTTTAAACCAAAAGGAGGGAAATAACATGCACATTTAACTTTGTAAATCAGTTTAAATGTATTTATTTAATTATCTACATTTTTAGCTCTACTGGTCAGAGACCAGAAGAGCTTATGCGATAGTAATGCGTCCAGCGTCCGTCCGTCTGTCTGTCTGTCTGTAAACTATTTTTCAAAATGCTACTCCTCCTACAATTTTAGTCTGATTTCAATATTACTTGGCACACAAGTAGACTACACTAAGATACATAGAATAGTGCATCGGTTTTTGATTTTGATGAACGGTGTTGCCATGGTCACTAAAAATAGAATTTTCTGTGAAATTCCTTAAAAACGCTACTTCTTCTAAAGTTTTTGTCTGATTTCAATATAACTTGGCACACAGGTAGACTACACTAAGATACATAGAATAGTGCATCGATTTTTGATTTCGATGAACGGTGTTGCCATGGTTACTTAAAATAGAATTTTCTGTGAAATTCCTTTAAAACGCTACTCCTTCTACAGTTTTGGTCTGATTTCAATATAACTTGGCACACAAGTAGACTACACTAAGATACTTAGAATAGTGCATCGGTTTTTGATTTCGATGAACGATGTTGCCATGGTTACTTAAAATAGAATTTTCTGTGAAATTCCTTTAAAACGCTACTCCTTCTACAGTTTTGGTCTGATTTCAATATAACTTGGCACACAAGTAGACTACACTAAGATACTTAGAATAGTGCATCGGTTTTTGATTTCGATGAACGGTGTTGCCATGGTTACTAAAAATAGAATTTTCTGTGAAATTCCTTAAAAATGCTACTCCTTCTACAGTTTTTGTCTGATTTCAGTATAACTTGGTACACAAGTAGACTACACTAAGATACATAGAATAGTGCATCGGTTTTTGATTTCGATGAACGGTGTTGCCATGGTTACTAAAAATAGAATTTTCTGTGAAATTCCTTTAAAACACTACTCCTTCTACAGTTTTGGTCTGATTTCAATATAACTTGGCACACAAGTAGACTACACTAAGATACATAGAATAGTGCATCGGTTTTTGATTTCGGTGAACGGTGTTGCCATGGTTACTAAAAATAGAACTCTGTGAAATTCCTTTAAAACACTACTCCTTCTACAGTTTTGGTCTGATTTCAAAATAAGTTGGCACACAAGTAGACTACACAAAGATACATAAAATAGTGCAATGGTTTTTGATAAGTACAAACCAGTAGAGCTACAGTCTCAACAGAGACTTCTGGTTATTAGCTCTACTGGTCAGAGACCAGAAGAGCTTAAGCGACAGTAATGCGTCCGTCGTCCGTCCGTCTGTCTGTCCGTCTGTTCTGTCTGTCCGTCTGTCTGTAAACAATCTTTCAAAATGCTACTCCTCCTACAGTTTTGGTCTGATTTCAATATAACTTGGCACACAAGTAGACTACACTAAGATACATAATTCTGTGTATCGGTTTTTGATTTTGATTAACGGTGTTGCCGTTGTTACTAAAAATAGAAATTTCTGTGAAATTCTTTCAAAATGCTACTTCTCCTACATTTTTGGTCTGATTTCAATATAACTTGGCATATAAGTAGACTACACTAAGATACATAATTCTGTGTATCGGTTTTTGATTTCGATTAACGGTGTTGCCTTGTTATTAAAAATAGAAATTTCTGTGAAATTCTTTCAAAATACTACTCCTTCTACATTTTCGGTCTGATTTCAATATAACTTGGCACACAAGTAGACTACACTAAGATACATAATTCTGTGTATCAATTTTTGATTTCGATTAACGGTGTTGCCGTTGTTACTAAAAATAGAAATTTCTATGAAATTCTTTCAAAATGCTACTCCTCCTACAGTTTTGGTCTGATTTCAATATAACTTGGCATACAAGTAGACTACACTAAGATACGTAATTCTGTTTATCAGTTTTTGATTTCGATGAACGGTGTTGCCTTGTTACTAAAAATAGAAATTTCAGTAAAATTCTTTCAAAATGCTACTCCTCCTACAGTTTTGGTCTGATTTCAATATAACTTGGCACACAAGTAGACTACACTAAGATACGTAATTCTATATATTGGTTTTTGATTTCGATGAACGGTGTTGCCATGGTAACTAAAAGTAGAAATTTCTGTTAAAAAATCTCAAAATGCTACTCCTCCTGCAGTTTAAGTCTGATTATAATATAATGTGGCATGCAAGTAGACTATACTAAGAACATAAAGAGACTTAATAAAGGATCATTATTCTTTTTATTGCTGTGGTAAAGTTTCAATTCCCAACTTCTTAAGAACTTTTCTCTTCCTTTGCTATAAGTACAAACCAGTAGAGCTTCAGTCTCGACAGAGACTTTTGGTTTATCATTTATTAGATAAAAATTTAAATTTTGGCCAAAAAAAGCTTTTGTTTGCCATTCCCAGAAACTTGTAGCTCTCAAATTGATCTTATCAATATTTCACTTGATATAGGTAGAAGTTTGTCTTTTTGATGGAATAAATGAAATTTAAAAGGCAACAGCATAACATACCTGAGCTGATACAAGGCAGAGCAATGGATGGAATCCACAGTTTGTTGGCATACTTGAAGACGTTGACGTAGGTGAGAATAAGCTCATACAAACACCTATCAGGTAGATTATCCAGCCAGATAGGCCCAACGGCATGTAGTACGTGTGTCACCCTCTCAGGCAAACTTCCTCCTGCCCGGGTGTGCATTATCTCCCCTGTCGATAACATCCCATTCTTCCTGACAAACTCTTCACACTCTCTCTCCATGGTGGGACTAGCAGCCCTAGCAATGGCCCCAGCAACCCCAGCACCGTTAATAAGGCTCCCATTGGCTGCATTGACTATTGCCACGGTGTTGACCTCAGTGATGTTACCTTGACACACAGTGACCTTGAGTGATCCTGCATTAAAAGTAAAGCTGTTGGCCTGTGAGTGGTCAGACATTAGTGCTGCCCTCTGGCTGTGCCTCAGGGCCTCAAATTGAGGCTCCAAGGAACTGAAGTGAGATGATAGCAGCCTGTCAATGACCGAGGTGGAAGAATCGTTTTTCTCAGCAGCTTTGCTTGTACTGGGTTTAACACCTTTATCTACAGTTCTGCTTGAACTGGGTTTAATGCTGGTTTGGTCACTCTCTTTCTTAATGCTGTTAGATTTTGTTGTTGTCTTAGATGATTTAGGTGGCCCTCCTTTCTGCCTGTTTGTGTGAGGCAGACTGGAAAAGTTCTCAAAAGTATCATTGGCATCATCAAACCTGTAATTATTACGTATACATAAATATATATTCATCATGTAAACCAAGTACATGAACTCTTAATTTTGAAAAATTTTCTGAACATTTTGCTTTAACACATTTAAGCACCGATTGCCCTACTTTTCAGCATGTAAAATTACCACATACATGTATATGTTTTTATTTAACACTTGTTTGTTTTTGTTTACCATCTGTATGTTTCCATTTACTAGAACTAACCTTTTGGTTTCCCTCCCAAATGACTCTTCATCTGAGCTTTCATCTTTATTTGAAGGGAAAACTTGAATGGATTCTCGGCCGTTGATGCTCTGTAAACTCAGATAGTCCAGGGGACGGTCCATCTGGTTCTGGTAGCCAGGGAGACTGTTGTCATTGAGATAGGATGTTGACGGTTTTAAGGCTGGGTCCTTGTGGTCAGATCGTAGATGAGATTCAGCAGTCGGCACTTTCTCTGATTTGGTAAATAGTCTATCCGTCTCTGTATGGTTAAGACTGCTTGACTTACGACTCATTGAAAACAAGTCATCCAGCTGAGACTCGGAATATTTACTGAGTTCCTGAGTCCACTCGGCTCCAGGACTAGTAATAGGACGGACATTACTGACCCCTGAGATGGATTTCACCTGAGTATCGTGATCTATTTCCATTGGTAAGTTCCTTCTGTCCCTGTAATCACTAACACTGGACTGCTTGTGTTTGTTTACTTCCTTCTCCCTGAAATATGCACTGGTCTCATCTTCATCATCTAGATATCTGTCATCACTCTTACTCCAGTAAGGAGCTTGGTTCTCCTTCCTGCTGTTACTTGATAGAAAATGCTCTGCTGACTCTAATCTATCTGATTTCCCATTGCGACTAGATTGTTTGGAGCTGCTCAGACTTTTCTGTAAGTTGTGTCCCTTGTTCAGTGCTCTCGAATGAATCTTCTCTTGTTGATGTAAATACCGACCAATTATTTCCCATCCCATTTCAATTTGAAACATATTTCCCTCCAGAATACAGCACCCTGTGGGGTCAGAGTTCAAGGTCAATCCAATGATGTACAATAGATGGTCCTTACAGGCGGTGACAGATTCAATGAGAAGAGACACAGAAGGATCTATCCTGGCTTGGATGGTGGAAAAAATCTGAAGAACAAAAATAAATTAAAGATGTTCAAATTTTGCTTGAATTCTGCCATCGAGTTAGGTGACAAAAAAGGATATAAAAATTACTCCTAAAGTGATTTGTAAAATCAAATTTATAAATTCTTAAAGTCTCTATAATAGCTTTTTCATTGATATTTTCCTTATCAGATAAAATCCAAACAATAAGCAGAGTTTAACAATCAAAATTGTGAATGGATAAGACCAAATAATAATAATAATCCCTGATCATTCAAACCTAAGGTCCTGAGAGATTGTCTTACATTGGGGGGTAGAAAATACATATCCACCTTCCTGCCAGCCACTGTATGCTCCTCAATGGACATAACTTGTGTAGCAACTGAAAAACAGGTAGAAAAAATCATCACTGGAAATCAATGTACCCTACACCAAAAAAAAAACAAAAACTTTGAAAACATTCTTAGTTTCTCACATTTTCTTTCTAATACAGATTTTACTCTCAAGCTTCAGTTTATTCCTCATGATCAAACTCAATGTTCTTTGCAATTTGAAATACTTCAGTATGAGTCTGAGTTACAATCCACTAAATTTTTTTATTTAATTCATATCACAATGCCAAAGAATAATTTTTGTTGTTTTAAATTTACCATGACTCTCTTGAAAAATAATAACAGCATCACTGTTCATTAGTGGAAAGTAGATCTTCTCCACTGGACCCCCGCCATGTTCTGGTTTACTGAAGTACACCCTCAGCTCGTCTTCTCTTGTTGTGGTACTAAGTCCAGTCACCCGAATACTTGACATGTTTTCAATCCTCCAGATAGAACTTATGTTTTAATCTTATCCATTACAAATCCTACAATCATGACAATTGAAATAGCACATATTATTTCAATGAATAATTTCACATCTTTGACATAATAATAGATTACATGTATCTTCAATTGAGGATGACTTTTATTGTAGTAAGAAAGAAACAAGGGAATTTTTTATGACAAGTAGCAGATGGTTCATTTTCATGCAAATCATGTAATTTTTGCCATTGAAATAAAATAGCTAAAAAATTAATGTACAATAGCTTATTTTCAATTTCAGATTAAATCCTATTAGTGTTGTCACGATGATCGATTTATAATCGATGATCGGTCGGAAAGGCTGTCGATTCTAGACAATCGATTGGAGATTTTAACAATCGATTAATCGGTATATTTCAGCACATATCTTTTTTTTTTTTTTTTTTTTTTTTTTTTTATAGTTTTCTCACTTTTATTTCAAGAACAGGCTCTTATTATCAAAATATATATCTTTCAAGAGTTGTCCTTTACTATTTTAAAATTCATGTACTTAAAATCTGTTTAAAATAAATCAAAAGATAATGTTATTTGTATTTCTAAACTGAAGAAACTAAACTACGAGGGCCGTTCAAAAATTACGCGGACTGTGCTATTATTTACTCTTACAGACGTCATATAGTTATAAAATTTCATAGAAATATGTATCTTGAAAATTCCAATAAATTTTGGGCAAAATTTCTGTATTTTAAAAAAATTCTACTAAAATTATCGGTATGTTGATATCGTTGATGGAGAGGTACGGCGCACGACAAAAAAATTGAAGCAGAAGCATGCGGATTCAAAAATTTAACTCATTGATTTTCTAAAATTCGCGATATTTTTCAACAATTTTCTCAAATGTACCTTTAAATTGTTCTATTATTATGTATTTAGATTTCGGACGTAATATTTGAAGTACTAACAGAAATATAGTGATTTTTCTCTGATGCGATTCCCGTGAAAACGACTGTGAAAATGACGTCTCCTGAATTGACGGCGCACCACTCTTTTGTTAAAATATGTGTAATGCTCGAGATATCGACAAGATAGATCCAAAATATGCATAATAAAACAAGTAGTAAACTAGGCTACTCGTGACATTCGCCCACAAATAGCAAATTGAAAAATTTAAGACAGTTAAACCTCTGTAAAAAGGCTATACGGGAGGACGGGAAGATTATTGACGAAAAGTTAACTTTATCCGGACTGTAAAGAACGTGATTGAGAGTCACCAATATCACACTATATCTCATGAGTAGTTTTTGGTTTTAAAAAAAAAAAAAAAGAAAGAATATTCTTTACTTGTTTGATAGATTTTAAGCTTGACAAGAAATTGTGTTTTGATGTTGAGTAGATAAGGTAACTCAAACTATACAGGTACTCAAGGGAAAATGTTGAGAAAATGAAAGCTCAATCACATATTTTTTATAATGCTTGTGACGTCGAAGATTTTGCTGCGCCGTGACTTAATGGTATGTCCTGAAAAATCACTCAAAATTAATACCAATTTAAAACATTTTGATATTAAATTTTGAAGACCATATAAGTAAAGATTCTTTTATATTATTTGTGAAATTTTGCCCGATTATGTCGTCAAATATTTCTTCTGTGCAACAAGTCCGCGTACTTTTTGAACGGCCCTCGTACTTGTATAAATTAAATAATTATATTAGTTTTCAGTATTTGGGGGAATTCACCTGTCATTTCATACGGAATCACAAGGAATTTGCAATATTTAATGTCTTATATAATAACAGTTAAAAAAATTAATCCCATATACATTTTAGATGATCATGTAAATTAAAACCTGATCTGTCAATGCTTACTTTTCCCAGGCCAAGTGATTCCTAATCATGCAAAAATCGTTAATCAAATTGCATATATACAGTTTTTAGAATTTCAGTCTGTACAATGCACCTTTACTTACATTATTTAACAATAAAATTCTAATTTTTTATAAAATCTAATGCCTATTTTACGCAAAAGGTTACCGATTCGATTATTGGCCGATGATCAGTCGGTTAGGGTCAACCGATGCTACCGATTAATCGATTCTGAGTTTCAACCGATTTGACAACACTAAATCCTATGCACCTTATAGCTGTCAGCATTTCGTGTTTTGAAGAAATAAAATGTAGAAAACTCTGACAGTCTTCATTATTCTTTATTGATAAGGGAACATACTTTGATAATGATAACAAATAACATCCAGCTTTCTGGAAAGAGTGAGGTTTATTGGTTATCTTGTAAATATTCACTTTCTCTACTTCTCAAATGCTATAAACTTTTGATTTGCAAGGTAAGTGTATGCATGTAATTTCATAAGAGGTGGCTGACACAACTAATGTTCAAACTTACTGTTGGCAATATCTTGAATCTATCAGCGTGTTAATTTCTGGATTTTTTAGATTCCCATAGTGACTGTTTGTATGTTGAAAATGAAAGTGGGTACACCACCAACAAAGGTCAAGGGAGATAATTATAAAAGAATATTCCGAGCCCGATCCGAATTCCCTTGTTTTATTCATGTTAACAATGATTATTTCAAATTGACGAGTTTCTGTTGGCCATAAACTACAAATAAAAATATTATCACATATTTGCACAAGGCTATTGGGTAGATCTATATGAAACTTATTTTTTTTCAAGAATTATTTTACATCGGGTTCATTATACAAAATACAGTAACTTAACATGTGCATGGTCAAAACACGATCTGATGATGATATAAAACGGAATGAGAGTGCAACAGAGATAAAAAAGTATTAGTAAGTTATTTTAAGACATTCATGATTATTAGGTCAGATACATTTATATATCGTCTGTTCTTCTGGGACCAGTTCTTCTCTACCAAGAAGAAGACAGAGAACACCTTTCCAGATACTTTTTCAGTGTTAGTCTAATGATTCCATGTGAGTAGGCTGCACCTGGTTTAGATTAATTTGTTTTGATCTAATTTGATTTAGGTAATGCCACAGAAAAGTGCCTCCTTTAAGAGAGGTAAGGCCAAGCCTAAGGCTAAGTCACAAGGCATAACAACCACAGATGAACCAGCAGTAAAAAAGAAGAAAACAATTAAGGATGAAAACTTCCCAAGAGGTGGGGGCGTCTGGAAGATCCAGGGTAGTTCCGATCAATCATCCTCAGAAAATATTGCTAATCCAGATGCTGAACTTTTTAAGGTAAACTTTGATATATGTTCATTGTTTAGAAATAGGAAGTGCCACTTTACGTTTTGTGTATAAATTGTGATTCATCCAGCAGGTAGCTTTACAGAGTAATATTAACTTGATAACTTATCCAATTTCAGGAAGTTGATGAGCAACACAAGGCATTACAGTCAAGACGAAAAAAGAAAGAAGAGGCCAAGAAATCAAAGGCTCAACAAAAACCTAGGGTGCCCATATTGGTGGACAATCAGGCAGAGCCACACCTTCTAACTAGACAGGTACTGAATATTACCATGTCTCTAAAGATGTGTAAAGATTGCATAGATTTAAAAGATTTCTACACAATATTTTGTCTTTGATAGTGATATAAGTTTTATCAGAAGTAGTTGTATAAAATCCATGCAGTTGAACAGATTTGATGTAATTTTCATATGAAGAGGTTTGTGTAATCTGGCAGTTAAGAATATTTTAGTCATTGACACTAAAGACAAATGGCACATTTTCTGCATTTTGATCAATCAGCATCATAAGATGCTTTAAATGATTAATGTTACTTAATGTTGTACTCCTAACAATGAACATTTCCTTCATTGAATGATCAAAGCCATCAAATGTTAACACATCAAGCATTAACCATTTTAAAATAGTTTGTCACTGAAAAAGTACTGACAAAGTAATTTTACGTCCTAACAGATTCTAGCCCCAGGAATGCTAGTCCTAGGATGTGTCAAAGAGGTCCATGAATACAACCTGATCATCAGTCTACCCAACAATCTCTCTGGGACTGTGGCCTTGACCCAGATCAGCCCCGCCTACACTCAGCAGCTTCAGAGATTGACCCAGTTATCTGAAGAGGATGTGGCAAATGAGGAAACAGTCAGTGAAGTTTATTTCAAGTCAAACAAGATGTCACTTAATATAATGAAGCCCCCATCTATATGGAATTAGTTATCAAGATAAGACTTTACCCCCAAACAACTTTGATATATTGAACAGGTCTCAAAAAAAAACCTTTAAGATATATCTCAGAGAAAAATAGCCTTCTGTATACTGAGAAAATTTCATTTCTATTTTATTCTCAATCCTTTCACCCTGAACACAAGTGGACTAATTTAAAAAGGAGGGAATTTAAAGAAAACAGTACTTTGACTTTACAAATTAAAAAGGGAAAAAAACATATGAATATAAATATGTATCTTTTATTCCAGGATGTAGCAGACCTACACACATTGTTTAAAGTTGGTACCATTGTGCCTTGTAAAGTCTTGTCTGTACAAAATACAAAACAGTCAGGGGTCAAAATCAAACTGAGTCTTAAACCAGAGGACATAAATAGGGACCTGACCTCAGATGGCCTGCACAATGGAATGGTATGAAGATTTTAAAATATTTGTAGACTCCTTACAATTACCAACATTATGTAATTTTACTTTTTTTGCACAGATTAAATTAGGGATGTTTCAGCATTGATTTTACTATAGGTTTTATGGATAATTTTTTGTCTAGATAATTACATCTAGTGAAACAGAAACAAAATTTCCATGAACATTTTTTTATATGCACTTTTTAATACATTATTCATACATCGTAGTGTTGTCATTTCAGTCTATATTTGGAAGCATTTCCAGTGTAGAAGACCGGGGTTATGTGGTAGATCTAGGAATCAAAGGAGTTAAGGCATTCATGAAGAGTATGGATGCTGAAAAATTTATACAGCTTCATAATGAAGGTAAGACAAAGAGCGCACTATTCACAAGTACATGTGTACTGTAGATCACTAAAATTTCGCGATGCCTTATTTTTGCAAGATAGTCATTGACTCTTAATTAGCGAGACATTATTTTCACGAATTTTTTTTCCCCCTCTATATAATTGTAAGGAATACTTATAAATGCGAGAATGAAATTTAGCGAGCTCGTTGTCTCAAGTAATTACGCAAAAATAAAACGTGATTTACAGTATATGTCATTTATTTCCTGACAACAATTGATTTAAATGAGCTTGTGGCAGAGCATACATTTATACCAATATATTTACATCCACTGAATATTTTCTCCTTTATTTCTTAAGAAAACCCATTGCGTTAATCACTGCATGAACTACATTAGGCTGGTCGCCTGTTCAGATTTCTTGATCAGTAGCTGTTCCATCAATGAAACGTATAAAGACTTCGCATCATTAATACAATAATTAATCTTTTTAATCCTACTTTAAATGATTATTTAAACAGATATAAATATAAACAATAAAATGTCTTTCTTTGTTTGTTATTGCTGGAATAAACGGTTACGCGGGTTATGTATTTTTTCTGCAACAGCTGCTTCCGTTAATTCCAGTAATAACAAACAAAGCATTTTATTGTTTAAGTTATATTTTGTGGATAAGTGGGCCAGTCACTGTATACATCAATATATATCAATATGATCAATATTTTTTTTGCTAATGCATCACAAGTTAATTACTTTTACACTTTGTACTTCAGACAGGGAATTAATGTAATATGTTAGAGTTCCCTCCCTTTATAACACAGTACTTGAAGTGTAAGAAATCTGTACATGTGTGTGTAGTGTTTTAAATTCAATTTTGTACAGTACATGTATTTGCATGTTGATTATTATGAATGAAAGAAAATATGTAATTCAATATGAGGGGAATGATTCAAAATATGCAGGTTGTTCATAAAGTTTACGGACAATTGTCCAACTTAATGGTCTTAGTTATTCTTTTGTATACCTAAATATTTGCATAATTGTATGTACATTTTAATGAAAGCATCATTCATTCTGCTGTACTAAACAAGCAAGTTGATCTTAAATTCAAATGATTCATTAAAAAAACTTGAGGATTCCATTAAGAGAAGGCAATATACATAATTTTTATACAGTTAGGTACTTCAGTTTTCAGGACCTAAAATCAGATGGCAGCTTAAGACTTAAGTCAAAACTTGTTGTACTTTGTGAAAAGATTTTAAAGTTTTAAATGTTGTAAAAAAAATTATCACTTTCCTGCTGTAAATTTTAACTTTCAAGTTCAGGTCATTAAAAAAATACTAATTTATGAATGGCCGAGATTTTGAGATAAATCTAAGATTGTTTTATGATCTTTATATGAAGTTTAATCCCTTAATTTATTTTGTAGGTTACTCCCTGAAGGTTGGTCAGCCTGTTTATTGTGGACTGAAGCTGGGGGAGGATCGAATGGAGCGGGCAGCGGGGGAGACAAGGACAGTCAATGTCACGATAGATCCCATGGAGGTGTCCGTCTCACAGGTAGGGGGGATAACTTGTCAACCCTGTTGTTGTGTATTTTATTTTTCAAGTAAATTTGACAATTGTGGTGAGTAATAGAGAATTCTCCTGGGCATATACAGTGCATATCTGTTTGATTTGTTTTGGCTGCTTAGAAATGACTTGTATACATTTAGATGAAGTCGGTAACCATATTAAAAAAATTAGTAAATAATGAGTATACTCAAAAATAAAATGTGACACATTTGAAATGTGTAAATAAAATATCTAATATTTTCTAAATATGTAAACTGAAGGACAAGGTAACATGAACACAATTACATTAAATGTACTGTTCTTCTAGTTGAAAGGAGAAATGGACGTTAAATTCAATTACTTGGTGCCTGGAATGAGGGTTGCTGCCAGGGTAACAAAGGTGATTTTTTAAATTTTTTTCCTTTGTAGAATTTAACTAAGTATACTAATTACTGCTCTAAATACAAGATATTAATCTCTTCTTCATGATTTTTTGGAGGCAGATCAACCATCAAAACAATCCTTGATATTCATATCAGCATAGACATTTTATTACATTTGTTGCAGGTTTGTGATAATGGTGGGGTTGTAGTGAAATTTCTCAACTTCAAAGGAAGCATCCCTGTGACACATCTTAGCAGTCGATCCCCCACAAAAGGGGACCAGGTTAGTAAAAACGTTTATATAGGTTCTTTTGTTTATTTCTCAAATCTGTATTTTCTGGAAGAATAATCAGTTACAAATTTTTGAAGCAGGTTCATTCCTGCCTTGACCGATATGCAGGGGCAGTGCATCTCAGAAAACATACTTTATGTTCCATTGATTGTTTGGATTGACATCATGTACATGTACATCACCATGCATTTATATCTAGATGACTCTCACCAGATGACTCTCAAGATGAGAGGCTAGGTTAAATATTTATAAGTAATAACTATAGTTCTAATCCCTAGTAATATTAGTTAAATCATGACAGTTCTTACAAATTTTGAATGGAATGCACAGACTGGAATTTTTCATGAGCCAAGTGATTTAAAAATAGAAGGCTTTTACTTCAGTGACTGCACTCTAAATTCAAAAATGAAAATAATCTAATACCAGTAGATTTACAAGTAATATACATTTCTAATGGCATCTTCTATCTTTTATTATGCATGTCAGATTTGGAGGATCATTAAGACAAAGTGGATTTATTTTACTTTATAGTTTATGTCTCTGGAATCCTTTATTCTCTATCGTAAGAAGTTGGCTATATCAACCAGATAATCCTTCATGATGGATGAGTAGACTAATGGGGACTTAAAGATTTAAGTCATACTTTTGATATGTTCATATTTTGATTGAGTTGTTTATGTTTGATACAGTTGAAGGCCAGTGTCCTTTATATACACCCAACAACAAAGGCGGTTGTGCTGACAACACTCCCCCACATTCTGGATTACGGAGGAGTGCCGCAGAATACAGCTCTGACACAGTACGACAAAGGGGACATAATCGAGGAAGCTCGAGTCCTGTACACAGACCTCAAAAGGGGAGTCTACTTCAAGATAGAGGATGGAGTTACATGTACTGCCCTTGCTAGTGTAAGGCAGAATTTTAATGGACCTGCATGTAGAATTCAATGATATATCATCAAAAAGTTGCTCATTAATGTATGTTCTAATATTTTCAAAAATACAGTGTTTTAGTATATCAAATTGCTATGTTATTTTGATAGCCCAAGAACCTATCTGATGATAAGAATTCTGGTATGAAAGTCAACTTCAAGCGTGGGAGTGTTCACAGGTATTGTAAACTAACTTTAAGTTATGTAAAATTTTTTAGATGTTTGACCACTTTCGAGATATATGGTTACATGTGCAGTTTAAGATTAGGGAAAAATCATTTTCTGCATCAAGTTTTGCTCTAGTGCTTGGAGCTACAAAATATTAATTATATAAGCATAATGAATTTTGAAGTGTATGAATTTGTATCGTCTTTCAGTCTGATGCTTTACTTGACAGGTGTCGTGTTACAGGAGTAGACTGGATGGACAATGTAGTTCATGTAGGCCTGAAAAAGTAAGGCAATAATGTACACACTATACTCAAGTATTGTACTAACTCTGTCAAATAAACTCAGAATTGTAAATGCTTGAAGTTCAGATACATGTATTCACCAAACATGGAAAAATGCATGGGGCTAGAGTAGAAGAAAGCAAAAGCAAGTGAAATCTTTTAAATAATTTAAGCTTAAAATTGTTACATAATCATGGGTTGTTTTCTCACCCAATGCCTACTAAGATCGTGAAAGCAAGTGTTTATACATGTACATATACATCATGCATATGGATGAATTTTTTTTTCAATTAATGTAATAATACCTTTTAAATTTTATTTTAGGAGTTTGTTTTCCAAGTCTTTTCTAAGCTTGAAAAGTCTACACCCTGGAGATTTACTTGAGGTAATGTTCTAAATCACATGACTATTTGTTGATTAACTTTTGATTTATACCTTTTATCTTTTTTTTTCATGTACAGTATATTTGAGAGATATTTTTAATCAAGTGTATTCATTTGATATTGACTTATAATTGAACAATTTTTTAAAGGTTTTTTTAAGTTGCAAGAACTTGTAACCAATCCCTTTGTATAAATTATACAATAAAATATGTTCAAAACAAAACAATTCTATAAACAATATCTCTTCTATTGCAGTCCAAACTATGTGATGTCATGTGATTTTTAAGTTTAATAACAAAAGTTACAAAAAATTTATCATTCTGACTTACTTTACTGTAAATGTACCTCTTATGAATATTTAAATTTTTATTTGATTCAATTTTTGAACAATATTTATTTCATTCAAAGCAAAAAAGTTGATTTTCTGAGAACCAGAATAGCTTAGAAGAAAAGAATTGAAATAGAAAATTATTTGGTCTCTGTAATAAAATAACAAGGAAACTTATAATTGCAGTGTGAGGTTGTGGAATTGAGAGATAAAGGTGCCATAGTCAAGTCTGGCAATATATCAGGAATCATTCCCAGCATGCATCTGGCAGATATACCACTGAAAATGCCGGAAAAGAAGTTCACTCCTGGGCGTAAAATAAAATGCAGAGTAAGATGTATATTCTTTACAGGTTATTTCCTGGACTTTATTAGGCGGAAGAATTATTTTCTTCCATAATTTTTATTTTTAAAAGAAAATATGTGTAATGAAAACTTGAAATGACTTTTTTTGCTTTAATGTATTCCTGGTTGTTCAAAATGATATATTAATCATTTGTTTCTATTTCACAGGTACTGAAAAATGATCTAGTCAAGAAAAGCCTTGTTTTGACAGCCAAAAAATCTTTGATCCACACCCAGCTTCCTTTGTTAACTGATTTTACACAGCTTGAGAAGGGTCTGCAGGTGGAAGGATACATCATAAAAACCTACAGTAAAGGAGTCCTGGTGGGCTTCTACGACAATGTCAAGGTCAGTCTCTCTTTAAACTTTATTGGTCATAATGAGACTGTGTTAAAGTTGAAATTTCTTTTTTTTAAATTCTTGACATGCAGTCAAAGATCTTGGGATCAGATTTTTTTGAAAATATTTATGAACTGACCAATATTATTTTTTTTTATCTCCATGTAAAATGTATATTCATATGTATGAGATAGAGATACCTCACATTTGGTTGGCCTATACTGCTGATGAAGTTTAGTGCCAAGAGTACTCTCTAGCTGGTTTAAGTCTTGCCTCAGTCCAATCTAGTTAAATTCAGGCTTTTTTGATCCATGCCACATACACTCTGCATAAAATTGCATGAAATACATTTCTTTAAATATGCAGAGTGTTTATGTACCATTGGCATAGATCTAAGAAGTTTCAATAAAATGCAATTATTGTACATGTGACTTAAATATGGACAAATTACTTTTCCATTTAATTCATCTGCACAAATGATGATCTAAAGATCATTTCATTTCTTTCACTAGGGGTTTGTTCCTAAAAAGGAGTTAAGCACTGAAGAAATTTCTCATCCTGAGAAGGTGTTTTATACTGGACAAGTTGTCAAGTGTCTAGTTCTGGACTGGAACACAGAAAAAGGAACCTTAACACTGTCTTTCAAGGTATTTATCTATAAATATAAAACAATTTTTTTAGTTTCATGGAAATAAATTGATCATTAAATATTTATTTTTGCTTCTGTTTAGTCAGAAGATTGGGAACAACATGGATCCAGACTGGCAGATGTACCTGATAATTTTAAAATTGGCAAGGTGAGGAAGAAATTATATTATACAGGTATCCAGAGACATTCTATACATACAATAATTGTGGTCATTATAAATTACAATATCATCATTAATATCTTAATTTTAGACCATAGATTGTAAGGTGAGACAGAAAACTAAGACAGGATTGGATGTTGTCATAGGAACCTCAGGGGTGTCAGCTTTTTTACCCAGAATTCATCTCTCTGATTTCAAAGCAACATGTGACCTTCAGATGGAGGTCATAAAACCAGGCAATGTGTTGAAGAATTGTGTTTACCTAAGTCGTTCTAGTGTCTTGGTATCCTTTTTATGTGCTTATATTTATATATTTACATTTCCAAATACATTTCTATATTCTTTGCAAATTATTCATAACCAATGTTATACAGATAAAAGTTGAGTCCAAATTAAGATGTGAGTCTAACCCTTTTTTTCAGCTTTGCCATGTTTTTCCTAATTCAGCTGTAAATAGTGTTTTAATCTGGGGTAATATGTCTTGTAGAAAAACTCTTGTAGATTCTTAACTTTAAATAAAGATACTGAGTAGAAGAAAGTCAATTGTGGATTACTTCAAGGAGAATGCAGTGGTTACAAACATCACAGATTTGAAGGTATGAAATTAATAAAGAAATGTGTCAATCATTCATTTATAACCTTAAAAATTATACAAAATCTTAAATATTCAACTTGAAGAATAAAGCCTTTATTCTCTTTGTGATATATATCTCACCTTGACTCTGGTCCACCTAAAAGATTTTTTATGCTATTTTGGAGATTTTCTTTGTTATAAGTCGGTACAAATTTGTTGCCTTTTTGACAATTTCAAGTAAATCCATTAATGTTTTAACTTTTCTTAGTATTATTATGACACTTTTCACTTAAAAATCTAAAAAAGGCAATGTCACTTAAAATACAAATAAAACTAGAGACTCATGTTAGCTAGAATAAAAAATTTACCTTCTTTGAATTTAAATTTGTTTTATAGATATAAATGTAATTGCATGAAAGCAAAAATTCTTAAAGGCTGGAAAAAAACGAAAATTAAAAAAAAAAGTGGAATGACCTTGACCTTTGACCTTGGAAAAACATTCAAGGTCAAATTTTCACAATATGTTACCTTGTAAGCTGAAATTTATGAATGTACATGTATTAGTTATCAATGTATTGTGCCAGGGCTTCTTGTTGAGTAACAGATGTTTTCAAGTTTGAAGTTGTTTTACTAATGATGACTTTCTATTATCCTAGGATGGCATGTTGGTTCATATTAATGATGCACAGTTAAGTCCATTCAAAAGAGACAAAAAGAGCTAATTTTCTCATTTATGGGATCTTTGACCTTTACATGAATTTTAACCAGCAGGCTTGGTTGGTCTTATGATTAGCACCTTTTTAAAAATTTTTAATTATTTGTAAAATTAAGTCAGGGGGCAGGCTTGGTGGGATTAGCTCCTAACAGAGTAATCCTCTCAATTAGTCGAAGGGAAGGCTGTACGGATTACGGTTTTGAGTAGTAGCGATAACAAGGTTTTTCGCACAAAGGGCAATAACAGGGGCAGGCTTGGTAAGAGAACATTTTAATGATGTTAAGACAGTTTGTATATGTTAAGAGACAAAAAAGATATAAAAAGGCTTCAATTTTGGAATGACCTTGACCTTTGACCTTTACATGAATTTTAAGCTCAAAGCTCAATGAATCTTATGCAGTTGGTCCCATGTCTCTATCACTTCTCGTTTTGAAAATTTTTAATAATTTCTAAAATTAAAAAAGTTTAGGCAATTCATTGAAGGGGTCTAGAATACTTTCGCAATGAATAACAGAGTAAATTAGTGGAAGGCTTGGTGAAGGTTTCGTATTTCTACGGTTTACGGTTTCGAAGGAGTAGCGATAACAAAGTGCGAAAGGGGCAGAGTTCATATACGCAGGGTTTTTTGCAAAAATCTTTTAAAAGGTACATTCTTATAAACTATAAATCTTTTCAAAAGAACTTGAAACAAAAAGGCTTGGTGGAAAAATAATAAAAATAATAATAAACAGAATAAGTCAGAAAGGTGGAAAGCAGGTAAAATATGGTGGGATTAGCTATATAACAGAATACATAAATTATCACATATATCCAGACTTGGTCATGGAAATGTAAATAAGATACTACATTTCACCCTAACAAAGTAAGTCACCTATAAGGGGAAATTTAACCAATATGAAATTAAAATAAGATAGCGTATATACAGACACAGGCACCTGATGTTAGATTGAAGCAATGATTAGGATTTGAAATCTTACGCGAGCAATTATTTTCCACATAATTTCGCGAGAAGCATCACTCTCGAAAAAATATTACTCGCTTTTATTTTTATGGTGTTGAAATCTATGTAAATTCTGTTGATCAACCGTCCATTCGTGAATTATAATTCTCGCGATTTTACATTTAAGACCCAGTTCGCAATAAAAAGTACTTGAGAAAAATAAGGAATCTACAGTATTTTTCTTATATAAAAAAAATAACCCCATACCTAAAAATTCATTATGATACAATAATGCATTATTAAGTATGGGTTAAATTTTTTTTAATAAGGAAAATAAGTAACATCAGGTGCCTGTGATAGTGTGATAAGTTAAAGCTCTTTGAAATAAAACAGTCTTTATTAATTTCTTATCTTTAAAAAAAAAAAATTCATACAAAGATGTACACATTTTTAACAAACTTTTCTTACACTGTAGTATGTGTCAGACAGACAGTGGCAGAGGGCTAAGGAACAGTATCACACTGGTCAAGCGGTCATTGCCAGGATCCTACAGACCAACGCTGAGGACAACAAATGTCTGGTGTCTCTAAGGATGCAGGAGTGTAACCAAGGAAACACAGATGCCAGTATTGTAGAGGAATATTTACAGGCATTAGATACCATGTGTAAACGTGGAGGTAAACTTTCATTTAAATATGCAGTTTAGAGTATTCTGTCCATTAGTATTCTTACAATTGGAATATTTTATTGTAAATATTTGTATTACTGGTATCATATCCAAACCTGACTTCAAGAAATTGATAAGAGCTTTTTCAAATATTCAAACAAACCCCGTTTTCTTGAACAGAGGGGACCTAGACATTGCATATAGAAAAAGTGGTTTGGCCTATGGAGATATCAATGTATGAGATGCAGAAGTTGAACAGTACATTTTGTTGCCATTCATAAACATGTTCATTGTATTTTCTGTTGAAGGAAAGACATCAATGTTTCCCTCAGACATGGATATTGGTGACATATGTACAGCGTCTTATGTTGGCCGAAGTGACGACAAAGTTGTCTACAAACTGACTGATCATGCTGTCGCTGCTAAGTGTCCTGTGGATCTCATGGATGGTAAGAATGACAAAAAATTATGAAAATTCACCATTTAAACTTAATTTATAGAAATTCTCATATGAGATGTTTTCTTTGAGTTCCCTTGGTAACCATCTAGGAGCTAAAGCAGGTAATTTCTTTTCTGTTATGTTGACATGAAAGCAGTTAAAAAAACCCAGTGATATTATAGAAATGTCAAATTTTGTGTTATCCTTAAATCCAAAGGTCTAAAATCACAATTTAAAGAATTCTGGCATGGAAAGTTTGTTTATCTAAGTATTGTTTTTCTAAGTCATGTATGTGTTTTACAGATGAGGATGCTGATAATATAAGCTCAGTGGATGTGGCCGTTCTGAATTTCAATCTCAAGGACAGTAGTGTGGATGTAGTATCAAACAAAGAAATAGTGACAGCCATCAAAGAGAAATCACAAACTAAAGTAAACATTTTATTCTTTTGTCATTTTCAGCACAGCTATTTATCTCGGAGTTATATTTTCTTTTATCTGGTGGTCTGAGATTGCCAGTGGGTGGCAAGATTGCTTAGATGCTAGAGCACCTGACAATAGTGATTCAGGGGTCTCAGGTTCAAATCCTGGTCTGGTCCATTGCATCTTTCTTCCTCATTTGGAACATTTGCATTAATTCCATCTACTGATACTGTAAATGTATTACATTTGGCGGTGTATTCTTTTTAGCGCCTTTGGTGGAACAGAACATCCACTAATCAAAGTACAAGGCTAACTGTCATGCACATGTACACATAAATAAGACCATTAAGAAATGCGTTAAATCAAATTCACGCTAACATGCTCAAAAATCATTATCCGCCAAATATTGTACACACTAAATGTAATGCATTTACAGTATTTAAATCATCCTACAGTTTATATCTTTTTCATGTAGAGGTTAATTGTATTTTGATGACTATTTTCAGGGTAAAGTTAACCAGAAAGTGAAAGGAAAAGTTTTACTGATTTGTGATGAAGTTACCGTGATAATTCTACACGGGTCACTTAAAGGTCAACTGGCACACATTCCTACAAAGAAGGTAAGGGTGTTTATACAGTTAATTTTTGAAACGTACATTGAAAAATTTTCCTATAGGTATTAACTTTACTGTGCATTTGGTTTGTATCTTCACTAATTCATATGGCAATTTTTTTTTCCTCAGCATTTAAATGATGTCATCGGTCCAAGCTTTTCTGTAGCACAGCAGTTAAATATTTCTATTAAAAAGTAAGTTTATGACATAATTCTTTTTTCAATTGACATCTACATGTGCACTGTACATGTATAATACATGTATTTATGTAAATACACAAGTATTGTATGTCAGTTTGCATGTATTATTGGATGCATAAATGTAGAGTGAATTATTGCATGTATGAATATCTCATTTAAAAAATTTTATTTGTAGAATTTTCAGTGGTCACATTGTGGGTGTTCCTGATTATCCTTCCCACAGACAAACAAATGGACAAACTGTAGATGGTTTAGACAGTGAAAATGGTGAGGTCTCATTATCAATTAATTCTCACAGGCTTACAAAACTTTGAAACTTAAGATTCCTCATTCCTTCCAAACTATGTCGAAATGTCTCTCGCTTGTTTGTCAAAGTGGAATAAGGGAAATAACTCTTAAAAAAATTATTTCCTGTTTCATGTTAGAAAATTAATACCTGCACTAATTTTCATTATAGGAAAGTTTAATCTTGATCCAGGAAATGTTGTTGAGGGCCGCCTTCAGAAGCTAAAGAAGAGATCAGGAATTCTGGTCAATCTAGTGGGCGGAGCTAAAGGAATTGTTTGTTTGACAGACTTGTTTGATGAATATCGAAATGACCCACTGACCTACTTCAAGCAAGGCCAGCATTTAAAATGTTACGTGATTGACCTAGGACCGAGACAAACCTATCTGTTGTCCCTAAGAAAATCAAGGTAATCTAATTAACAAAGTTTGGCTTTAGACTCATAAATCATAATGGTAATTCTGATTCTGTGGAAACATTTTTATTTGTGGTGGTGAATGTTTGCAGGAAGCAAAAATTTATTGGTTCAAGGGGACCTTATTTTGTGGCTAATGCTTGTATAAAGAAGATTCAATGAATAAAAATGTTGGAAAAAAAATGTAAGTGAAGATGTAAATTCGTGGATAAGGATGACCATTGAAATCCATAAACATTGGAACCCCACAAATATTGATGATCATATAGTTTATAAAAGAATATGTCTGACACCTGCTTCAAAATAAATTTTGATGCATTTTATAAAGATAAAGCACAATTATGCTATTAGGTATTTAGCTACCTGCTCAGCTAATATTATGGAACGCCATAGCTGCCTTAAGGTATGGGACATAATGTTACATGGTGTGTTCTATATAATAAAGGGTTGAATCAATATAATAAATGGTCACCACTCCTTGTTAAAGAGTGAAGCGCACATAATACATGGTGTGTTTAATATAATAAAGGGTCGGTTCTTTATGTTAAATGGTCACCGCTTCTTATTATACTGTGAAAGATTCAAAATAAATGGTGCATTCAGTATAACAAAGGGTCGGTTTAATATGTTAAATGGTCGCCGCTACTTGTTATAGGGTGGAGTATACAAATTAAATGGGGTTTAATAATTTTAAATGGTCGCCGCTACTTGTTATAGGGTGAAGTATACAAATTAAATGGTGCATTCAATATAATAACGGGTCGGTTTAATATGTTAAATGGTCGCCGCTACTTGTTATAGGATGAAGTATACAAATTAAATGGTGTATTCAATATAATAGCGGGTCGGTTTACTATGTTAAATGGTTGCCGCTACTTGTTATAGGGTGAAGTATACAAATTAAATGGTGCATTCAATATAATAAAGGGTCGGTATATGTTAAATGGTCGCCGCTACTTGTTATATGGTGAAGTATACAAATTAAATGGTGCATTCAATATAATAAAGGGTCGGTTTGTCATGTTAAATGGTCACTGAGCACAGCACTACCTTTTATAGGGTGAAATATACAAAATTTGGCAATCGTACTTGATAGTGGTAAACATTAAAAAATACGAGACATTTTTGTTCCATAAGCCAGTTCTACAAACTTAAGGATAAGTTCGTCCCATTTTCTTTGCAAAATTTCATCCGGATTACTCATTCTTAATTTCTTTCTTCCCTTTTTTGAAATCTTTTTTTTTATTTTACATTTTTACGAAAAAATGAATTAGTAAAACAAGAGGTTAGAACTAAGATAATAGATTAATAAAATATTAGAATCAACTTGGGAATAAAACAATTACGGATTTGAAAAGAATACTAAAGGAGAACTGTGCCATTAAAATCCCTCTCTAACACCATTTAATTAAATTATCATAGCTAATATTTAATATGCGTTTTTTGAAACCATGTAAAATTAGTTGAATAAAACTATGGAACGCCATAGCTGCCTTAAGGTAAGGTACATAAAGTTACATGGTGTGTTCTATATAATAAAGGGTTGAATCAATATAATAAAGGGTCACCACTCCTTGTTAAAGGGTGAAGCGCACATAAAACATGGTGCGTTCACTATAATAAAGGGTCGGTTCTTTATGTTAAATGGTCAGCACTCCTTATTATACGGTGAAAGATACATTATAAATGTTGTGTTTAATATAATAGAGGCTCCTTGTTATCGGGTGATAGATGTATAAATGGTGCATTCGATATAATAAAGGATCGGTTTACTATGTTAAATGGTCGCCGCTACTTGTTATAGGGTGAAGTATACAAATTAAATGGTGCATTCAATATAATAACAGGTCGGTTTAATATGTTAAATGGTCACCGCTACTTTTATAGGGTGAAGTAAACAAATTAAATGGTGCATTCAATATAAAAACGGGTCGGTTTAGTACGTTAAATGGTCGTCGCTACTTATTATAGGGTGAAGTATACAAATTAAATGGTGCATTCGATGTAATAACGGGTCGGTTTAATATGTTAAATGGTCACCGATACTTGTTTTAGAGTCAATGGGAGATAAATGGTGTGTTCTACAAAGTAAGTGGTTGGTTTACCATGTTAAATGGTTACTGCTACTTGTAATAGGATAAAAGGCACATAATAAATATTTAAAATAAGTTAAATAACACATTCAAAAATGCGTCAAGTACAATGATCGTTATCTAGCTAATTTTACATGGTTTTATTCAACTAATTTTACATGGTTTCAAAAAACGCATATTAAATATTAGCTATGATAATTTAATTAAATGGTGTTAGAGAGGGATTTTAATGGCACAGTTCTCCTTTAGTATTCTTTTCAAATCCGTAATTGTTTTATTCCCAAGTTGATTCTAATATTTTATTAATCTATTATCTTAGTTCTAACCTCTTGTTTTACTAATTCATTTTTTCGTAAAAATGTAAAATAAAAAAAAGATTTCAAAAAAGGGAAGAAAGAAATTAAGAATGAGTAATCCGGATGAAATTTTGCAAAGAAAATGGGACGAACTTATCCTTAAGTTTGTAGAACTGGCTTATGGAACAAAAATGTCTCGTATTTTTTAATGTTTACCACTATCAAGTACGATTGCCAAATTTTGTATATTTCACCCTATAAAAGGTAGTGCTGTGCTCAGTGACCATTTAACATGACAAACCGACCCTTTATTATATTGAATGCACCATTTAATTTGTACATGTATACTTCACCCTATAACAAGTAGCGGCGACCATTTAACATAGTAAACCGACCCGTTATTATATTGAATGCACCATTTAATTTGTATACTTCACCCTATAACAAGTAGCGGCAACCATTTAACATAGTAAACCGACCCGCTATTATATTGAATACACCATTTAATTTGTATACTTCATCCTATAACAAGTAGTGGCGACCATTTAACATATTAAACCGACCCGTTATTATATTGAATGCACCATTTAATTTGTATACTTCACCCTATAACAAGTAGCGGCGACCATTTAAAATTATTAAACCCCATTTAATTTGTATACTCCACCCTATAACAAGTAGCGGCGACCATTTAACATATTAAACCGACCCTTTGTTATACTGAATGCACCATTTATTTTGAATCTTTCACAGTATAATAAGAAGCGGTGACCATTTAACATAAAGAACCGACCCTTTATTATATTAAACACACCATGTATTATGTGCGCTTCACTCTTTGACAAGGAGTGGTGACCATTTATTATATTGATTCAACCCTTTATTATATAGAACACACCATGTAACATTATGTCCCATACCTTAAGGCAGCTATGGCGTTCCATATAATATCACTTAATGTGTATCAATACTTATGGCCTTGCTATCTTTCTTAGGATTACCAATGATAAGTCAGATGTCAAAGATCCGGAAGTTCTGGGAGTGAAGTCCTTGAAAGTGGGGCAGGTTGTGAGAGGATACATTGTAAAGAAGACTAGCTCTGATATCTTAGTAAGGTAAGGGCCATGGTAACTAAAATTAAAAATTTCTGTAAAATTTTATTAAAAGCTACTCATACTGTTGTAGTCTTATAGCAATCTTGCCACAAAGAGAGACTTAATCTAGGATCATTATTCTATTTATTGCTGTTGTCAAGTTTCAAGTCCAACTGCTACTTTTCTCTTCGTTTGATTTAAGTACAAACCAGTCAAATTCTCATTCACTCTTAGTTTTAAGAAGTTTTATTCATAATTTCTGATGTTGACTGCTATTCTGTAGTGTATTTAATGAGTTTCTGTTTTTTTCAGGATTGGCAGGGATCTTTTTGGGACAATAGATGGAGCTGATTTCTCACAAATAGATAGGAGAACCAAGCGTCTCTTATTTAATGGAAAAATTGTAATCTCTGCAAAAATCACCAGGTAAGTAACCAGGAAACATTTGAAATGGGAATTTTTTATAAGTCAACTGAATCACTCAGGTGACCTTTATATGTTTTGTCATATGTTGTGCAATGTTAAATGTTCATTGGAAAATACTGGTTTTTGCAGTTCCCTTACTTTTAAATATGAGAATAAATACAATCAGCCTTTAGAAAAAAATCATACATTTTAAAATATGATACATATATATTTGTCTCCTTGTAAGAGTTAACTGTATTAACACAATAATATTTTTTTTTCCTGTTAGTTTGGAAGGTGACAAAGTGAAGATGAAATTTTTATCATATAAAAAGGATGAAACAAGAGGAAAAACAGTAAAAAGGCAGCTTAGCACAGACTCTGTAGAAAGTGAGGGCTCCAGACAGGTGAACAGTGAGGGAGACTCAGAGGATGAAGGTGAAAAACAGCCAACACGAAAGAAAAAGAGGAAAAAAAGAAAGAATGATGAATGTGAAACCCAAACAGAAGAATCTCCAAACAAAACAACAGAGAGGCAGAGCAGTCTCAGTGAGGTAAGTAGGTCTACGCAATAATATTGATAATCCGGTATACTGTATGTTGTGATTTGTTAACAAAAAAATTGTGTTCCATTTCTTTTTTCCAGTGCCCATATACTGGCAAAAAGCTTAATCATTGGATTTCTAAAGTATTAAAAATATGAAATTTAAGATATCAGAAACGTATTCAATCATGCCAAACATTTAGACCCATTGCTGTTGTTTTGTGTGGTCACACTGTTGCAAAACAGTGGTGAAATCAACACTTTCTTTTTGAAACTTGTTTACATGATTAAAAAGTTACCTACACTTTGCTGCTGAAGGTAAAAAAAAAACAAAACATTTTAACTGTTGAAAATATTGTAACATATATTGCAATACACTTTTAGTTATCACAATAAAAAATTCCCAGCCAAAACAGGTCCTGGAGGTCAGTTAGTACAATCCTCAGTTAACCTTGGACTTTCAGGAGGGCGTGACTTTCTCGACTCTGCGTAATAAGCGTCTCTCAAATGTGAATAGATTCTCATTGGTTAAGAAATTGATAACATCAACAACTTTGAATTGCTGGTGACAACGATGAGACAACTTAAGCCCCACCTCTTTGCCATACGAAAGACGATCATTGGGTCATTCCTACACTTGCTGATATTTGCTGGAATGTATATTTCAACCGTGATTGAAAAGGCTGTGTAAATTTCAGATGCTAATTAGGTAACGTTGAGAGTACAAAGCCTTACTGAAAGTCCAAGGTTGATTTGAGAATTTTACTAAATACATGTATTGATCTATCAGGGATTTATAAACTGCTCTAGTAAGGTTTAAGTGTTAAGTTTAGGGGTTTTTCACAATACATGATGTACACCAATGGAGAGTTGCATTTAAGCCATTGATATTGAAATGATTTGTGATTTTAATTTAAATGCAGTCTGTACATGTTATAATGATGTCTCCTATAGCTTCCCAGTCTTAAGATTGACCAGGCCTTCTCTTGGGATGCAGACCTGTCGTTACCACCAGCAGATGGCGCTGGCAGCAGTAGTGAGGAATCGGACACAGAAGAAAACCAGGTCAGTGAAATCTACATTCTGAAGTGAAAGTGAAACTAAAAAAAATTCAAAAACACATACATGTATTTTTTATTAATATCTTATGATGATATAATAAAGATTCTTTTTGTTTCTAAGAAATAGTTATTTGTTCTCTTTAGAATAATTATTTGGTCTCATTAATTTATTTCAGAGAAAACCACAGAAAAGCAAGAAGGATAAAAAGAAGGAAGAATGCATGCTTTTTGAGGTATATAAAAGTAGACCCCCCCTACCCCCAAAAAGGCAAAAATCTTGCTTTGTTTTTAACTTACAAATGCTATAAATTGTACTATCCACCAACTATTAATTAATTCTACTTCAGTTTGAAAAGAAGCAGTTGGAGGGGGTGGTAGAGCCAGAGAAAGCTGACGACTTTGAGAGACTGGTGCTGCAGTCCCCCGACAGCTCACTGGTGTGGATCAGATACATGGCGTATCATTTAGAGTCCTCCGAGATAGAGAAAGCTCAGGCCGTGGCAGAACGAGCTCTCAAGACCATATCATTCAGGTAAGAACCAGCTCTCAAGACAATATCATTCAGGTAAAAACAAGCTCTCAAGACAATATCCTTCAGGTAAAAACAAGCTCTCAAGACAATATCATTCAGGTAAGAACAATCTCTCAAGACAATATCATTCAGGTAAAAACAAGCTCTCAAGACCATATCATTCAGGTAAAAACAAGACCTCAAGACCATATCATTCAGGTAAAAACAAGCTCTCAAGACCATATCATTCAGGTAAAAACAAGACCTCAAGACTATATCATTCAGATAAAAAACAAGACCTCAAGACCATATCATTCAGGTAAAAACAAGCTCTCAAGACAATATCATTCAGGTAAAAACAAGACCTCAAGACCATATCATTTGGGTAAGAACAAGCTCTCAAGTCCATTTCATACAGGCAAGGAATACCTGCAAAGGGCACAGTTGTTTTTGTGACTGAGGAAACATTCTACTTGTATTCATAATTATATAATTGTTTCCTGATGAGAAATGTTGCAAGTAAAATGACACACAAATGAAAGCTGTTTTACAGTATTAAAGCATTTCATGATGATGGATTTTCATGTTAACACTGATTTCATTTTACAGAGAGGAGCAAGAGAGACTTAATGTGTGGGTGGCCTATCTAAATCTGGAGAATATGTATGGGACCCCAGCTCAGCTACAAAAAGTATTAGAGAGAGCTGTTCAACAGAATGAACCTCTAAATGTGTACCAACAGCTGGTCAGCATCTACATCAAGTCTGGAAAACTAGAGGTAGTTTAAAATAACTTGTTCATATTTTTAAGTTATTAATGGACATGTAGTCTATGGTTTTATACAAATTAAAGCATAAATAAAAGGAACCCTTGTATGATGCATTGATGCCTTGATTTTCATACTAGCTAAGTGATAAGAGCACCTGCATGGTTTGAGTCCTAGTCTGACTGACATTTTTCCCCACCTGTTACATAGGAAAAAGAGAACTTTCTAATGATTTATACTGGATAAGAGATAAAGAAAATGAATCAACAGTTGTTTTGAGCATCTCTAAAATTTTACTATTATTTTGTATTCATAAAGCTTTGTGCATTACATAAAATCTTTATTTTGGTCTGCAGGAAGCAGAACAGTTGTACAGCAAGATGGTTAAAAAACACAGTGCCAATAAATCTGTGTGGCTTGGGTTTGGAGAGTTCTTATTCAGAAACGGACGAGCTGAGTCAGCTCGAAAACTGTTACAGCGGAGCTTAAACTCATTAGAGAAAAGAGATCGTAAGTATGATTGTTTTGTAACCACTGAGAAGAAACCGATTGCCATTAAAAATAATTATTCATCCCATGCATGTATTGTAATAGCCTATTGTGCATTTTGTTGAAAGAGAATGGTATTAAGGACGTACGATCCTGATATTTTGAGTGTATTTCGCGCAGGTCCTTTATTCATAAAATTAAGCATCATTTTTAGGTTCTAACAATAAACTGAATTCTACAATGCAAATTAAACTATATTCAATGAAAAAACCGCGATTAAATTCCATTCAAGTAAAATTAAGCTAGGGACTATATTTTGTGGCGGAAGGTGTTTTAGACGAAAATGGTCAGTTTTTAGCTCACCTCAACGAAGTTGGGGGAGCTTATGTAATACCCTCGGCATCGGTGTCGGCGTCTGTGTCGGCGTCCCAGGTTAAGGTTAAGTTTTTTGGAGCAGTTTTCTTTTTAAGTACTTTTATGTCCTATATTGATTAGACATGCATGGAAGATGGTTCTACTGTGTTTCATTGTACCATTCAAAGTTTCAGATGCTGCAGTTTCAGCAAAGGAATGACCAGGTTAATGTTTTTGGAGCAGGTTAACATTTTTGGTGCAGTTTTTGGTGTAGATTTCATTTCCAAGTTACTATAAGCCCTATGTTGACCAAACTGGCATGGATGATACATTTAAGGATGCATACTACCGGGCTTGCTTCGGATGCTGAATCTGACCTACATTTTCCGGTTGAGTGAACAGGTTAAAGTTTTTGGTGCAGGTTTCATTTCCAAGTAACTATAAGTCCTATGTTGACCAAACTTGCATAAATGATACATCTAAGGATGGATACTACCAGGCTTGCAGGTTAAAGTTTTTTGCAGGATTTGCTGAATCTGACCAAACTTGCATGCATGATACATTTTCCGGGTGGTTGACCTACATTTTCCAGTTGAATGAACAGGTTAAAGTTTTTGGTGCAGGTTTCATTTGCAAGTAACTTTAAGCCCTATGTTGACCAAACTTGCATGCATGATACATCTAAGGATGAATATTACCGGGCTTGTTTCTGATGCTGCATCTGACCTACAATTTCCAGTTGAATGAACAGGTTAAAGTTTTTGGTGAAGGTTTCATTTGCAAGTAACTTTAAGCCCTATAATATAGTATAAACCAAACTTGCACAAATGTTGCATCAAGAGATGTTGCTAGTTTAAATTTTTTAAATTAAATATTTTCATTTTTGGAATGTACACTTTTTTGTTGGTTAATTGTGTGACTTTGCCTTACTTAAAGACAACATTCGTTGAGGTGAGCTCTGTAATCTCTGATTACCTATGTTTTCCATTTGAACTAGAACAGTACTGTTAAATTTGGATGCCTATTTTTCCATGCTGGTTGCACACAAAGCTGTTTTTTGCATTGAAATATGTTATGCTGGTTCTGAAATATCTATTAAATTATTTCTTATGAATTCTATCAACAAAGTTTGTTAAATATAGTAAATATATTTTGAAAATCCTGGAAAAAAATTGAGCCAATTTTAACGTAAAATTCACACTTTTTTAGCAATATCTGAAAATGTACATCATATACCCCCACTTTTGATGTTCTTTTCGAAATATTCAAGATAACTTTGACCTATTTGCTTAAAATCAGAAAAAGTTTAAGACTAGAATAATTTTCTTGCTTATTATATTTTCAATGCAGGAAAAATAACATTTTATTAGTGCAGAAAGGTCAAATAATTGATTATGCCAAGCAATTAGAAACTTTTTCTTAGTCACAATTTTTAAGTGTCTTTTTTTTAAACAGACTTAGAGTTCATTTTGTTTCATGCTTTAATTGGATAAAAATATTGAAGGGAAAACGTCGAAGATGTAATTTTTAATTAAGACACAAATTTCAGTGCAGAAAGGTCATAATAAATGTACTGTAGCGCTAAAAGAAGCATATTGACCCCCATTTTTTGATTTGAATTTTAATTAAGCTATGTATATAGAAACTAAAAATATACTTGACAAAAAAAGTTTAAGACTTTAAATATCAGGATCAAACGTCGTTAAACATAAGGCAAAAGTTTTTGTTTTGTTTTGAACATATTTATTGTATAATTTATACAACGGGATTAGTTACAAGTTCTTGCAACTTAGAAAAACCTCTCCCTATAATATATACAGTAATTAAATTAGTGATAGGCAAAAGTAGTGTATATGTCCTCAATCTTATATTGAAACATATAGAGATAAGAAAACAGAATAGATGGTCAACTCTCATTGAGACTGTGATGGAAGCAGAGATTTCCTTTCAAAATTCCATGTTTGTTTTTTGAATCAATTAGATGTGGAAACAATATCTAAGTTTGCCCAGATGGAGTTTAAGTTTGGGGATTCGGAGAGAGGGAAGACCATGTTTGAGAACATCCTGGTGAACTACCCCAAGAGAAGTGACCTGTGGTCAGTGTACATAGACATGGTGGTCAAGGTGGGGGACATTGAAGGAGCAAGGTAAAGCCTGTGTATTAATTGGATGTGTTTCATATAAAACTTTTTTTCATGAAATCAAAGTTAAGGAACATTATTTTCATGTAACAGACATGTTTTATAATGAAATTCAATTCAGTGGTTAAAAGCACCTCTCTAACAAGACAAAGGTCCTGGGTTAAATTCTTTGTCTAGCCATATATTTCTTCTTTTTTTTAATACACACATGTATAAATAAATTGTATAGGATTTAAATATTCATTGACAACTCCTCTCTCATTTTATAGAGAGTCAGAAAAAAATGGCCAAAAGTACTTACTGGTCTTTATACCCTCGTACAGCACCTTTAGAGTAGTTAATTTAGAATTTGACCTTTGAGTTTGATTAAGCATTACCATTTCTGATTGTTACAGGCTGCTGTTTGAGAGAGTCATCAACTTACAAATGGCAATGAAGAAAATGAAGTTCTTTTTCAAGAAATTTTTGGACTTTGAGGAAAAACATGGTGATGAGTCCACAGTGGCCGCTGTGAAACAGAAAGCTCAGGAGTATGTAGACTCACATTGAGTAGTACTCAATAGTGAGGTCAATGGTGTGTTCATTATGAGATTCATCGGATGTCTACATTGAGTCAAGATGAAGATGTTGGACTCCAGATCCTGGATAGAAATCAGCTTAGATGTTCAGAGATTGCTCCCATGATACCATTTATCTGCACTAATTCATAAACCCTAAGAAAGAATAACAGCAGAAATATAAAAATCCTAACTCCAGATGACTTCATTCATACCATTTTTGAAATCTTAAAAGAAGTTTTTAATCATTTGGAAATGTTGTTACCTAAGTCATGTTGAATAGTTCATGATTTATATCATAATGCAATAAATAAATATATTATTCTTATAAAGAGGTTTCAATTTAATTTTTAGGTCACCTGGGTGATCCAGGTGACCTGGTGCTATCTTGGTCTGTTGTCGGTCCTAAATTTTTGAACATTTTTAACTTCTCTTGCACCACTGACCCAATTTTAACCAAGTTTGTCCTATATACTGTAAAATCACATATTTTTGTGGGGTCATATTTTTGAGGTTTGAGTAAAAACTATTGGTTCATGGGGATTTGAATTCGTGGATGAAGAATTGTTGAGTAGTTATGCATGCAATATTTTACATTTCTTGGTGGACATGAATTCATGGGTCTCTTCATTCCTCGAAAACTACAAAAATTAAACCTCCACAAAAATTTGTGATTTCACAGTAGATTACTGTATACAGGGTTATTTTCGCCCCATCTTATTTTCCTTCTGTACACTTGCAATCAATTTAGCCCCATTTTAAATTCACCCTGTCATAGTTTGATTTAAGTAATTATACTGTATTCTTTGAATTCGCCTCGTTTTAAATTCACACAGATGAAGGTAGGGCGAAAGGGGCGAAAATGAAACAAAGGTGAAATTTTCCCTGTGTACAGTATATAGTGAAAGTGCATTATTTTTTTGACATTCTTTTTTCTCTGCTCTCAGGTGTTTTAAACCAGAAGCACCATTGCTTATCATAAGTATACACTTGCTTTGCTTACTTTGAATTCTTAATACCCAGATAATTCGTAAAATACACTGTATGTATTTCCGCAGTATAATCACAATATAATCAGTAGTGCCCCTCACCGCTGACTCGGGGGTCACATATTTCAAAATTTTCAAAAGACACCTATGCTCATCATAAATGGTTGATTAATACCAAAGAGCAGATTTCAAAGCATAACCGGGTACTGGGTAATTCATTTTCAGTCTATGATCATTTGAGCTTCCCTCCCCACAGTACCTTTGACCCAGGGTCCATGAAATTGACAATTTGGGAGGAGGCACTCTTCCTCATCAAAATTATGTACATAGTTCATCAGCTTAATACTCGGGAGCAAATGAGAAAATTTTCAAAGAGTTGATACATTTTTACTATAAAATCATCCGAGTCCCGCCCTAACACGAGAACCCCTGGGGCCAATTTTACAAAAGAACTTGCGACTAAGACCTCAAACTTAAGTTGGTTGTAAAAGTTAAGTTGGTAGCAAAATTAACGATTATGTTTAAAAATTTTATCATGAAAATATCTTTCTACATTCCTTTTAAAAAGGTTTAAACCATTTTCAATTTCATGCAAATAAGAAAGTTATAAGCAGAATGAATTTTGGTCTTAGTCGCAATTTTTTTTTTGTAAAATTGGCCCTAGGGGTTCTCGTGTTAGGGCGGGACTCGGATGATTTTATAGTAAAAATGTATCAGTTCTTTGAAAATTTTCTCATTTGCTCCCGAGTATTAAGCGTTTTAATTAAGAGTATTAAGAGTATTTGTAAAACGGGCACTTGACCCAGGGGTAATGAATTCACAATTTTAAAAGAGGCACTCTTCCTCATCATAACTATATACATAATTATTTGGTTTGATATCCAGGACAAGAAAAGAAGATTTTCAAATAATTAATGCATGTTCACTATATAAACATTGGAGCCCCGCCCTTGTACCAGAACTCCTGAACCAGATGCAATGAAATTCACAATTTTAGAAGAGACACCCTTCTTCATCATAAATTCTAATGCACATATTTTATTACCAAGGACCAGAGAAGAAGATTTTAAAAGAAATAATACATTTTCACGATATATTCAAGAGAGCCCCGCCCCTAGCACCAGAACCTTTGACCCTGGGGCCATGAATTTCACAATTTTGGTAGAAGACTCAATGCTCATTACAATCATATCAACAGTTTGACTGCTTGTTGTCCTGAAGAAATGAAAATTTTAAAAAAATGTATTAATTTTAGTGTTTTTAGCTCACCTGAGCCGAAGGCTCAAGTGAGCTTTTCTGATCAAAATTTGTCCGTTGTCTGTCATTGTCGTTGTCGTCGTCGTCGTAAACTTTTCACATTTATATCTTCTTCTCAAGAACCACTGGGCCAATTTCAACCAAATTTGGCACAAAGTATCCTTGGGTGAAGGGGATTCAAGTTTGTTCAAATGAAGGGCCACGCCCTTTTCCAAGGGGAGATAATCATGAATTTATTAAAAATTAATGGCATTTTTAAAAAATCTTCTTCTCCAGAACCGCTGGGCCAGGAAAGATGAAACTCATGTGGAAGCATCCTCAGGTAGTGTAGATTCAAGTTTGTTCAAATCATGACCCCCGGGGCAAGGGTGGGGCCAAAATGGCCGACCCAAGTTTTACATAGGAAAAATCTTTAAAAATCTTCTTCTCAAGAACCACTGGGCCAGGAAAAATGAAACTCATGTGGAATCATCCTCATGTAGTGTAGATTCAAGTTTGTTCAAATCATGACCCCCGGGGCAAGGGTGGGGCCAAAATGGCCGACCCTAGTTTTACATAGGAATTTATAGGGAAAATCTTTAAAAAATCTTCTTCTCCAGAACCACTGGGCCAGGAAAGATGAAACTCATGTGGAATCATCCTCGGATAGTGTAGATTCAAGTTTGTTCAAATCATGACCCCTGGGGCAAGGGTGGGGCCAAAATGACTGACCCTAGTTTAACATTGGAATATATATAAGAAAAATCTTTAAAAATCTTCTTCTCAAGAACCACTGAGCCAGGAAAGATGAAACTCATGTGGAATCATCCTCAGGTAGTGTAGATTCAAGTTTGTTCAAATCATGACCCCCGGGGCAAGGGTGGGACCAAAATGGCCGATCCTAGTTTTACATAGGAATATGTAAGAAAAATCTTTAAAAATCTTCTTCTCCAGAACCACTGAGCCACTGAAAAATCTTTAAAAATCTTCTTCTCCAGAACCACTGAGCCAGGAAAGATGAAACTCATGTGGAATCATCCCCAGGTAGTGTAGATTCAAGTTTCTTCAAATCATGACCCCAAGGGTGGGGCCAAAATGGCCGACCCGAGTTTTACATAGGAATATATAGGAAATATCTTTAAAAATCCCTCTCCAGAACCACTGGGCCAGGAAAGATGAAATTCATGTGGAATCATCCTCAGGTAGTGTAGATTCAAGTTTCTTCAAATCATGACCCCCAGGGCAAGGGTGGGGCCAAAATGGCCGACCCTAGTTTAACATTGGAATATATAAGAAAAATCTTTAAAAATCTTCTTCTCAAGAACCACTGAGCCCAAGTTTTACTCTAAAGGGATATATAGAGAAACCTTTTAAAATCTTCTTTTCAAGTACTTCAAAGCTATGATGGAATCATCCTCAGGTAGTGTAGATTCTAGTTTGTTCAAATGATGAACGCCTGGAGGGGGGGGGGGTAAATTCAAGCCCGATGTGCGCAGGTGAGCGCTGTGGCCCCTGGGCCTCTTGTTTGTCCTACCCCTCAGTCCCCAGGGAGGCAGGGATAATGAAATTCACAATTTTTTGTTCCCCTTCACTCAAAGATGTTATTTGCCAAAATTGGTTGAAATTGTGGATCAGAGAAAAAGTTGAAAATGTCAAAAGTTAGCACACAACAGATTACGCACGACGACGACGGACGAAAACAGATATCAATGGGTCACCTGAGTGGCTCAGGTGATCTAAATTGATAAATGCACTTTGTGTATTTGGTATTAAAGAATTCTAGATTACGTGAGCAATATGTACTGGTCCCAGCTGACTAAGCAAGTAACATCATTGTCTCTTTTGTTAGGCTTATTTTAGGGGAACTGAGATTTCATTCTACAGGTGGTAATCCAACTTATACCCATACCTCCCTTTCTACAAAAATCAAAATTAATTTAATTACCAAAGCTAAACTGGATTCCTACACTTCATAAAAATCATTGCAAACAAAAATTCTTCGTTGGTTCTAGTGATTGTTCTGCCAAGCCTCTTTCTTTGCCCCTCACTAATTTGGCACGCCAAATTCACAAAAATGAGATAATCATAGTTTCACAATCGATAAACTAGGTTTATCGGTTGTAAACTATAGTTTACGAACTGTAAACTATAGTTAACAACGTTAATTTATATTTCACATCTGTAAACCATAGTTAACGCGATAATCTATGTTTCACGACCGTAAACTATACTTAACACTGAAAACAATCATTTGCGATTGCAAAACATAGATTTTCTGATAAATACAGTTTCAAAATTTGTAAACTATAGTTTACAAACCGTTAACTATAGTTAACGATCTGATAAATATAGTTTCACGATTTGTGAAACTATGATTAACAACTCTTAACTAAAGTTAACGATCGTAAATTATAGTTTACAGACGTGAATCAGCAAAATCTATTGTTAACGTTTCATTACAGACAGATAAACTTAGATTATCATTCGTAAACTATAGTTAACAACCGTTAAATATAGTTTTACAGATGAAAACTATACTTAACGAATCGTTAACAATAGTTAACTATGGCACGCCAAATTCACAAAAATGAGATAATCATAGTTTCACAATTGATAATTGATAAACTAGGTTTATCGACTGTAAACTATAGTTTACAAACCGTAAACTATAGTTAACGATTCGTTAAGTATAGTTAACGATTCGATAAGTATAGTTTTCATCTGTAAAACTATATTTAACGGTTGTTAACTATAGTTTACGAATGATAATCTAAGTTTATCTGTCTGTAATAAGCGTTAACATAAGATTTTGTTGATAAACATAGATTCACGTTTGTAATCTATAGTTTACAATCGTAAACTATAGTTAAGAGATGTTAATCATAGTTTCACAAATCATGAAACTATATTTATCAGATCGTTAACTATAGTTAACGGTTTGTAAGCTATAGTTTATAAATCGTGAAACTGTATTTATCAGATAATCTATGTTTTGCAATGGCAAATGATTGTTTTC